TGTCACAAAAATTGTGTACAAATTATCTCAGACAAATTTTGATGGATTGTCCTGAAATTTTGCAGGTTTATTTTTTCAGGGATCACAGTACCTATTATCATGAAAAAAGGTGAAAAGGTACAATTTTTTTCGAAAATAGGTAACAAATAGGTAACAATAAAAGTACTGTAAAACATGAATAAACATGTAATTTAAGGTTTATTAACATTTTTATTGTTAAAAGAAAGTATTTTTTTCAAATATCTAAATATATAATTATAAATTTTAAAGTATTTTTTTCAAATATCTAAATATATAATTATAAATTTTAAAGTATTTTTTTTCAAATATCTAAATATATAATTATAAATTTTATAAATTTGTAAAATATATATAATCAAAATTTACTCCAAATATATTTATTTCAGGGTTGCCACAAAACATAGATTTTAAAATTCCATGACTTTTCCAGGTTTTCCAGATCATTTCTTTAAAAATTCCAGACCCAAAAGTGAAATCGTTTTGATAAATTTTTTTCTAATTACGACAAAAAGTTTAAAAATCTCCAAGTAAATTATAAATAACATAAGTTATTATTTTTTAATTTTATGAATAATTGAAATTAAGATTAAACTTTGCTAGATTATTTGTGACACACTCCAAAGAAAAGTCCTATGAAAACCTTAGAAGCAAATCGTTGTTTGTGTTATTTTTAACTTAATTAAAAGTAAAAAATTAAAAGTTATTGTTTAATTTTGTAAAACCAAATTTAATTTTAATTTATTATGTTAGTTGTAATGAAGATTTTAATATCAGTTTTTTATATTGAGAGTTAATCCCCTTTGTGTAATTTCATTCAAAAAATTACAACCATAACCTACAATCTTTTGCTTCTAAAGTATCTTTCTTCAGAGCGCATCACACTTACATAGTTTAAAGTAAACGAAAAAATATAGATAAAAATAATAAGAATTTAAAAATTTAGTTTTGTTCAGAATTTTTCACAATTAAACGAGTATTTTAATCATTTTAATAACATTTTGAGTTTCTACAGGGTGTCCGCTGAAAATATGAAATAAAATTCCCGTACATTTCCCACATTTTTTATACAAAATTCCCGTACATAAAATATAAGGGTTTATACAATATTGTATATAAAAGGTAAAGTATTAAGAAAAAGTAATAGAATTTTAAATGTTTATTTTTTTATTATTTAAATAACATTTAATCAGTATTAATATTTTTATAGTACATACTGGGGTCACAAAGTTTCAGTACATTTGGACTGATTACATTTGAATGCTCGCTTCACTTCAAATTCAAATATTTTAGTAAAAATGGGTGTAACAGATATCAAACCAATTTGAGATATAACAGATATAACCAATTTAATCATGTCAAAATTAAAATATAATTAATTAAAGTTAAATAAATAATATTTTTAAGCTTTGACAGTTGTACAATATGAAGTATTAATTATATTCTTTAATTCTAGACCAAAATTATTCACAAATATTAAGTATTTTCTTCAAATTCTATAAAAATAAATTTTCTTGCTCTAAATTTTTCGCAGAATATAAATTGCAAATTTGTCGATTCTATTCATTCATTTGTTTTATTAATTAACCACACTTTTGAAAAATATAGAACCTCTTGATTGTAGGGAATTTAAGATAATTATTTATTATTAATTGTTATAATGTTACAAATATTAACTGTGTTATTGTTACTTATTTCATTTCTATGTAACATCCTTCTTGTTTTACAATAAATAAGAGATAAATGTTTTTCAAAAATGTGGTTAATTGATAAAACAAGTGAACGGAAAAGGCGAATTTGCAATTTATATACTGTGAAAAATTTAGAGCAAGAGAAGTTATTTTTACAGAATTTGAAAAAAATACTTAATATTTGTGAATGATTTTGGTCTAGAATTAAAAATGGAATTTATACTTCATATTGTACAACTGTCAAAGCTTAAAAATATTATTTATTTAACTTTAATTAATTATATTTTAATTTTGACATGATTAAATTGGTTATATCTGTTATATCTCAAATTGGTTTGATATCTGTTACACCCATTTTTACTAAAATATTTGAATTTGAAGTGAAGTGAGCATTCAAATGTAATCAGTCCAAATGTACTGAAACTTTGTGACCCCAGTACATATTTTTTAAATTCAAACAACGAAATATAAAATTATTTTAAATAAATATCAAACAAAATTATTTTTTTAAGTCTTTTTTTACTTTGAAATTCTACTTCAAGCAATTATATTGTGGACTCAACCTCAATTATAAACTTTTAGGTGCTTGCACATTTCCAAATTTTTTCATTATTACGACCATTTTAAGTAAAAAATCCCGTTGAACAAAATAATTCCCGTACATTTCCCGCACATTTCCCGTACAAAAAAAATTCCCGTACAATTCCCGCATTTCCCGCTTTTCCCTGTATCTAAAATGCATTGAAAAATATTAATTTTAAAATTATGCAAAGGAAAATATTGACCAGAAGAAACTAAACTTTAGAAACGATTTAGATTTTAACTGTAAGCACTAAATTTAAAATCAAAAAGATATTGTACAATAACAACTTAAAACTTGAGATTTTGAATATTCAAATAGAAAAAATTGAATTTTCAGAATGAGAATTTATAAAATTCCCTGACAATTCAAGGTTTTCCAGGTCTGTGGCAACCCTGTATTTCTTTGATGACGATCTCTTTGGCATGATTTTTTACTGCTTCTTTTAAAGCATTTTGCATTGATTCTGAATTTTTGGCAAAAAATGTAAAATTACATCGTCCAACGGGGGAAAAAGTTACCACACGTCCAACCGATTAATTAATGCTTTATTTTAATGCTTATTAAATAAGGGTTAATTTTATGTAAGAAAAAAGATATTCAAACGCAGAAAAATAATTATGAAATAAAAAATAATTTTTAAAACTTACTGTGATAACTTAAAATAGGTAAAAAAGGTAACAAATAATCAAAATAGGTACACGGAGAAACTTTTTCTTCTAATATTGAATATATTTGGTTATCTTTATTCTAAAAGTACGTTAGAATGTGAGGATTTTTCGTGCGTTGTGCTAATAATTTCAACATTAATACGAAAATATGATAAGTTCGTTATATATATTAAGCAACCTTCGGTGTACAAAAATTACTATCTGCATTAGAAATAGTCTTATTTTTCTTTAGAAAAGAATAAAATGCCAGTTTTTGTTTGTGAAATAATACGGTAATTCTAACCTTTTTTCCACATATAGACAGAATATATAACAGACATTCTAACGTAACATACCAATTTTGGAAGGACTGCGGGCGGACTTAACCGATTTCGCCCGAGCATCACCGAGTCCATCACCTGACGTCGCGAACTAACCCTAATGTTTTCGAAGTTGAAATTCACACGTGTATGAAAGAAAAAAACCTTTTATTAATAAACGTGAATGTCTCCTCATGCCAAATTAAATTCAAGAACTGTTCCTCAATATAACATAATTTTTTTCACGACTTTTACTTATTTACATAATTTGATTAGTAAGTTATTTTAAAAAATGCTCTCTCTCGAAGGCACATATTTTTCCACTCGTTTAATATATAAGGACGATTCAGCTGTGTACTTCTAACGAATCGTGCGATCTTTCGGTTTCCGTGACCAATCATCGTGTCTTTACTTGCGTGTGCGTGTGTGCGTTAATAATATAGGTTAGGTTCTTACGTCGTGTTAAATATATTTACCTACAGTTACAGTGACATACACTAATGCCATCTACCATCAGATCCAAGTATCACTATCGTCTCTATGAGTATCTATAGACAATTAATTTGTTGTGTTTCTTTTTAATTCATGGCTTTCCCAACTTTGCAAAAATTATTATTTTCTTTCTAAAACAACATACTAATTTTCGTTAGTTTCCTTATGAAGAACTGTAAAATATATACTGAATGAGTGTTTTTGATAGTCTCAATAGCAATTTCTATAACCTATGTCGTTTTTCCCTTGAATCTAACCTAACATACTAAAATGTCTCACCAGTTTTAAGAATTAGTGGTATTAAAAGTTTCTCCGTGTACAAAAGGTACCAAATTTCAAAATAGGTACAAAAAGGTAAATAGGTAACACTCTGTGATCCCTGTTTTTTATTTAATACCTAAAATCTGACACAAGGATTTTCGAAAATATCTACAAATTTTTTTTTTATACAATTTTTTTAAAATTCAGAAAAATTTTTTTTTGTATTTTTTGAAATAATTTTTTTATTTGTTAATATTTTTATTAATTATTCTTAAAATTACATTCCTGACAAGAGAACGAATCGATTGATGTATATAAAGTAAATATTTTATCAAAATTCATAAAATTAATAAATATTTTTCTTTTTTACAAAAAATTTAAACTTTGTATTTTTTTCATAATTTATTTAATATTAATATTTTGAAATGATTGTTCTATCATAAAAAAGAAGCAATTGGCAAATGAAAGTGTAAATTTCACCAAATATTTATATAACAACTTATAAATGATTTATATAATTTTAATTTTAACAAATCTTCTGGACGAACCCTTTTGTATATAGTTTTTCAAAAGTTTGCAAAACCGCAATTTTTATATATTGAGGAAGCTAAATGGTCATGAAATGAACAACTTGTTACTATTGGTCAAGAAAATATAAAATTTAATCCTCTCGTCGAACAAAACAAGTTTCAATACTGTCATAAAAAAATAAAAAATTGTATATTATTTAAAAGTTAAATGTTCTGGAGAACCTTCAATACTGAAACTAATTTAATACTAGGAAGATAGGGATATTTAAAAAGGTTTCAGTTTTGACATATGTAATTTTATAATTTAATAATTAAATATAAATAAATATTAATTTTATGAAATTATAAAAATATTTTTATAATTTACTAATTAAATATAAATAAATATTAACAATTATTTTTAAAACTCATATCAGGATTATTTTTTATAAACTATTAAATAAATTTTAGAGAAAATATAGAAAAAATATTTTTTTATTTAACTGTACAGACATTTACACAATTGAATTCTTGATTTGTATTTCGAATGGCACAAAAAAACGATAAATAAATAAATAGAAAGCATTGTCCGAACAGAAATTATTACAAACATTTTCAACTATTATTCTAAGGGACTATTTTTGTAAACATAAAAAAATACTGATCGTGTAAAGTGTTAATGTAACAATATTAATGTAACATAAATTTAAAGTAATTATCTAAACACTGTAATAATTGTTTACATTCATAATTATGATAAATTGTAAATAAAGGGATGTGTTTGAATGTAATTATTCTCTTGTTATTAAAATCGTAATTTATCAAATTTTCTTTTTCAAACTTTCTTTTGTGATCTAGTCACTTTTTTCGGTTTTTCCACTTCAAAATCCGAGTTATCATTATCGGAAACAATTTGTTGCTTTTTTCCTGCAGTTACTTTTAATGATTTTTTAGATTTACTTTTAGTTTTTGGTTTTTCTGCTTCAAAGTCAGAATCACTTTTTTCGCTTTCATCATCTTTGTGAATTATTCGTTTTCTTGTTGTGTTTATTCGCTTTGGTGGTTTAACGGATTTTTGTGATTTAGTTACTTTTTTAGGTTCTTCTATTTCAAAGTCTGAATTATTTTCTTCAAAATCATCATCATCATCATCGTAAATAATTTGTTTTTTTGCAGCACTTCGTTTTGAAGATCTTACAGATTTAGGTTCCTTTTCAGGTATAGTTTGTTCAAAGTCCGACTCACTTTCTTCATCATCTTCATCATCATGGACTTTTTGTTTTCTTGATATTTTTCGTTTTAATGGTTTAGAACTTGTTGCTACTTCTTTATTCATTTGTGTCTTGATCAATTTCGCTTCGTTCTTTATTTGCCCTTTCTTTTCAGAATTGTCACTTTTCGTTACCTTTAATTTCTTTATAATCTTTTTTTCTTTTTCCACCTGCAAAAAAAATTATTTCGAATGTAGATTAAATTCAAATTAAATTTGTTTAAATTAAATTCAATTCAATTCAATTCTTTATAATGAAAATTTTAAAAAAGGGAAGAATTGATAATTATATTTGTGAATAATTAACAGAAGAAAAAGGAGGATTTTTATTAAAATTCCTACCGTATCCTCCACAGAGTTGATTTTTCGTTTGGACTCTAATTTATTTCTAATGATAGCAACACGTTCTTCAACGGAATCATCACTCTCGTCATTTTGATTAGTTGAATACTTCGCGGCCAGCCTCAATTTAATTATTAAACCATATATCAATTTTCGCCAATTTCCGTAAATTCTTTTTTCACGTTTTTCAATTGAACGCTTTTCAGCTTGAATTTGTTCCTCTTCCCAAGCATTTCTCAAAACGTCTTCGTATTCTTCACAAATTACGTAACCCTCAAAGGCTGGATGTGATCCGCATCCTGAAAAATTGAAACCAACGACTGCTGGGACACAATCAATGTCCATTTTTTTAGCCACACGATTTAAGCCAGGAACTGAAATTAGTAAATATAAAAATTAGGTTGGGAAATTAAAATACCCAATTCGAATCAGAATATTTTGTTTGTTGTTCTCTAATAACTTAAAAAGAAAATAATAATAGACTTCGCACTCGATAATTAATTTAAAAAAAAAATATCAAAAAGTAGCTTTCAAACTAAAAAAAGTAGCTATCGAAAAATTAAACTTGGAAGACCAAAAAAATCGTTTCAGACACTTGACAAAACTAACAAAAATTCCATTCTATATTTTCTTTTCCTGACTTTTTCCTAATTTTCATCAAAAATATTTACTTCTTTCTAATCTTGCTAATAAATTGAATTCCTGCAACGAATTTTATTATTCATGAAAAAATATAAATATTTATAAAAATAATTTAATTCTTGAGAAGAACTTTATAAAAATTTTTACATTTTCTTTTCACTAATTTTATGCAAATTCTAATTTAAATAATTGAATTCCTGAGATATTTTTATTATTCATAAAAAGAATTGAATTCTTATGAAAAATTAAATTAATTTACAAAAAATTGTTTAAATAATTGAATTCTTTTTGGAAATTTTATAAAATAGTAGATATTGAAAATCATTGAATAGCGAAAAGTTTTTAAAAATAATTAAATTTTACAAAGAATTCTCTTAAAATTTTTGACAATAATTGAATGTTTGTGTGGCATATTATTATATTTTTTTTTGAAAATAATTGAATTTCTAAAAAGCATTTTATTATTTATGAAAATAATTGAATTCTTGGAAACGATTTTATTAGAATTTTTAAAAATAATTAAATTTCCAAGAATAAATTTATTACTTTTAAAAATAATTGAATTCTTGTGATGAATATTGTTATTTATGAAAATAATAGAATTTTGTAAAGAATTTTATTAAAATTTCTTAAAATAATTGAATTTTTTCGGGAATAGTTTTGTTATCTATCGACAAAATTGAATTATTTCGAAGAATTATTTATGTAAATAATTGAATTATTTTTAAAAAATTTAATTAAAATTGTATTTAAAATGATTGATTTCTTTCAAACAATTTTATTAAAATATTTGAAAATAATTGATATTCTGTGAAAAATTCTAATATTTTTGTAAATAATTCAATTCTTACAAAGAATTTAAAAAAAAATTTTTTTTTAAATAATTCATTTTCTGGAGGAATTGAAATTAAATTTTAAAAAATAATTACATTTTTTGAGCAATTCCTGTAAAATTGTATTAAAAATAATTGAAATCCTGCGATGATTTTTATTATTTATGTAAATAATTGAATAGTTGCAAAGAATTTTATTAAAATTTACAAAAATAATTGAATTTCTGATTTACTATTTATTAAAATAATTAAATTATTACGAAAAAATGTATTAAAATGTTTAAAAAGAATTGAATTTCTGGAAACAATTTTGTTATTTTTAAAAATAATTGAATTTATTCTCCATAAGAATTTTATAAACATTGTTTTAAATAATTAATTTTTTCGAAATATAATAAATATTAAAATTTATTTTAAATAATTGAATTCTTGTGGAATACTTTATTTGTGAAAATAATTGAATTTTTCGTTTAATTAATTTAAAATAGTATTAAAAATAACTGAAATTCTTCGATGATTTTTATTATTTATGAAAATAATTGAATTTCTGTGAAAAATTCTAATATTTTTGTAAATAATTGAATTCTTCCAAAGAATTTTAAAGAAACATTTTTTTAATCAATTGATTTTTTTCAGGAATTGAAATTAAATTTTTTTAAATAATTACATTTTTAAGCAGTTCCTGTAAAATTATATTAAAAGTAATAGAAATCCTGCGATTTCTGAGAAGAATATTATTATTTATGGAAATAATTGAATTATTGCGAAAAATTTTATTAAAATTTTAAAAAAAAATTGAATTTCAGTGAAAAATTTTGTTATTTTTGAAAATAATTGAATTCTTCATAAGAATTTTATAAACAATGTTTTGAGTAATTCATGTTTTTGAAATATAATAAATATTTAAAAACAAATTATTTTAAATTATTGAATTCTTGTGGAAAACTTTATTTGTGAAAATAGTATTAAAAATGATTGAAATTCTTTGACGAGTTTTATTATTTATGAAGATAATAAAATTCTTGCTTAGAATTTTATCCAAAATTTTTTTTAATAACATTCAATTTTCATGAAAAATATTATTAGTGAAATATAATTAAATTATTGTAAAGAATTGTATAAAAATTTTATTAAAAATAATTGATTTTTTCGAAATTTTTTTGAAAATTCTATTCTAAATTAATTGAATCGTTTTAAAAAATATAATTATAATTTTTGAGAATAGTTTTTAGATTTCTAATATTAGCGAATTTAATGTAGTGGAAATTCTTTAAAAAATAACAGAAATGGTAGTTTTTAGTAGCTGAGTGCGAAGCCTGTAAATAACAATAAAGTTTACTCACGATCGATGTGAACAGTTCCTTTAGGAAGCATCGACATTTTAAAAAGATATACATTCCCGTATTCGTTTCTTGGTACTTTACCATCTTTTGCCGCTGGAGGAACGTATTGATCAGTTTGCCATTTTCCAAAAATTTCAAGAGGCAATCCTTTTATTTTTGTTCCCGAAAACTAAAAAACATTGAAATATTGTCCTTTTTGTTATTTAAATACAAAAACAAAATATGTTTTAATATAAGATGTAAGTAAATTATCAGTTTTCCAAGTCAGGGTTTGACTTGGTCTTTGACTTCGAGGATTGACAATTAATTTTACATCTTACATTATCTTTTACCGAGTGATAAACTCTACTATTTAAAATGTTTTACTATTTTTTTAAAATACGAATTTTCCAAACCTTATCGTATTTAGGCATTGCTTTCACAATTTTGTAGGGTTCCTGAGCTGGTTTTACGACTCTCGCGAATTTTATCCAAGTTTCACGTGATCTTAAAGTGTGTACACAATAACGGGAATAAATTCCCTCGCCATTTTTTAAATAACCCAAGGGTACAGCGTCCGGTGGATAGATTGCTTCAAACTTTAATAAATGCCTTGCGAGCGCATAAAGAGGATGTCCTTTGCATTCTGTCATTGTTTTTGGAAGAGGTAACTCCAATTCTCTGCAAACATTCATTTATGATTACAAGGATCATAGAAAAAAGTTACTTACATTTTATTTATTTACTATAAAATTGCAAGAAATTGCATTTAAGATTCTCTTTCCAACATTAAATGCAAAAAATTATCGATTGGAAAAAGCTACTTTTACAAAATATTCATTCTAAAGTTCATGGAAATTTTCCTTCCTTCGTTAGAAGGTAAGTCGCAATTATTATCTATGAGGAACCACTTCAGAAACAAGCAGCACTTATGCTTGTAAATGAACACTACTTACACACTATTAAAACAACAGATTTTTATATTATCGCTATTATAGGTTTGTTTTTGTTTTCTAAAAAGATAGTCACCTAGCAAAAGATTACAAAAATATGTAAACCTGCAATTTCCAGTCGTAAAAGGCATATATTTAATATCTTTTTAGCAATTTACAAAAGGATTCCTCCAACCTTCATTTACATTTTCCACTAAAAATTTCTATATCGTTTTTCAAATATAACTTCATAACGTATTTTGCCATGAACTTACTCAAAACTCAGCTACCATAGAGTTAAGACGCAAATGAGGAATCGAATAAATGATATTTAAATACCGTTAGAATAAAAACGTGTTTAGTTTTTGTCGGATAAAAAATAATAATGAAGTGTATAACGGTTAGTTTCTGGTTAACATTATTTGGTGTGGTCATGCTTGGAGAGGCAGGTGACGGCAAATATACTCGAGGATTAATAAAGTACTTAAGAAGGCAGTCGAGACTACATCAGGTAATGTTTATCACTGACGATCATCTACTTTAAAATTCAAGTTCAAGTGCCGACTATCTGATCAGAGATGTTTCTCGACATTTTCCATCGTTGAGTACTAGTTTCTCTACACTGAACGAAAGTCTACACAAACACTTTCCACCTTCTGCACGACCACCAAGACGAACGACGTTATTCATTATGATTCTCAATGGCGATCAAGGTGTGATTTGGACTAAAGTTGCTCTTGCACTTATACAACTGAAGCAATTGTCGCAGGGACATTCGTATCCAAAATGTTTGATTAACATCATTTCTCAAAAAGAATCTCAATCGATAAAGGAAATTCTAGAATATTTTTGGTCTCTTGATTTTCTAGACATTGCAGTTTTGCAACACTTGAGAGATAACCAAACATCCCTGGAATTGGGAGCAGACAGACTGCCTATTTTGCATGAAATTAATCTATTTGCGAAAACTTACACCGCTAATAAAGTATCAGCCAAGACAAAATGGTTTCCAAACAAACTTCTAAATCTACATGGAAGTCTAATGAAATTCGGTCTCGGTTTCTTGAAGCATAATGACAACAAAGATCATTTTAAATCCCACTTGAGATTTGCAGGCATTTTTTTAAAAACAATGCATTGTTTTCTAAAAATTACAAAAATTCCATCTTTGCTTCATTATACATTGAATGAGGCTATTTACCAAAAGAAAGTGGAAATGATCTTAAATCTTAGGCAGTTCATTATTTCAGAAAGTCTTTCTTCAAAAAAGCCTCTGTTACGCATAGTGAACTTTAGAAATGGAAAGGCTGTGGTTCCAGTAACTTTAAAGTTCTCTAAAGTAATCGTAATTTCAAAGGAATTCCTGTTCATGTTACTTGCAACCACGGTTGTAATTGTAGGAATTCGAATAACAGCTTGGATTTTAAAATTCAACAGGACAACTTGGCAATTGTTCAACATCAGTCGAATTATAATGGGAACGTCTGTCACCAGAGAACCTGGGAAGATAACAGAAAGAATAGTTTTTGGTACATTCATGTTGAGTTGTATTGTCTACTCGAGTTATTTCTACTCAGTGATCTTGGACATCTCTTTGCAAGCCGAACCTCAAATTTCAAATCTCGAAGAACTCGCCAACTCGTCTCTAAAGCCAGTAGGATCTCCTGTTTCAATAAAGTCAATGCTTGAAAGTCCTATTAGTTACATTCGAAAACTAGGCACGAAAGCAAATTATACTTCTATTGTGAATACAGATAATGAATGTTTGGCTCACTTAACGAAATATGTAAATGTCACTTGTATTACAACGGAAGCAGTTGTAAATGAATTCAAGAAGCATTCAGAATACAGCGGCAGAATACTGCAAGAACCTGTGTCTTATTTTATTGTGAGCTGGTTAGCGAGAGACGGATCTCCTTTTCTTGATCGCTTCAATGAAGTAATACTCAAAGCATCAGAACACGGTTTACTGCCTCCTGCTCTGCACGAAAATAACAAGCAGCCAAATAGGCCTTCATCTCCTGAAGAAATCAGTAAGGAAAAATTGCTTATGATCGTCTGTTACTTGCTTGTTATAGGATACTCCACCGCAGTGTTATCTTTTATTATGGAAATAATGAGCGTTATTAATTGGCGGCGTAAAATTCATGCATTTTATCATCGATGCTGCAAATGTATGAAGTAAAATATGAAGAAAAGGAATTGTCAGTAAGCTCTTATTTTATATTTACGCCATGTCTATTTGAATAACCTTTTCTTTTTCTTCTATTTATTTTGACTACACTCAGAAAATTTTAGTGAGACTGCAGGGTTTCATCCGGCTGATTAGTTTCACAAAAATGTTCTCAGTGTACCTACTGACAGATTCCAGAAAAATGAAAGAAGGTTATTGCACACGGAGAGACCCACATTCGTAAAAATTACTAAAAACGGTTGCAATGACCGGAAATAAGGGGACTTTTAGCATAATGTACTACAGAATTAGATAAATTTACAAAAGAAATAGATAAATTTGCTACATTGAAATAGCAAGTTTTAATATTTTGTGTAAGAGTTGTAAATGTAGCGAAAATTGATTATAGTTTTCTCTAATTTAATTAGACAAAATCTGACAAATGAAAACATTTTCCACTAAAATCTTCTATCCACTGTAGTAATTTTTGGTGAGCAAGTGTGGCTAGCGAGTGCAGTCATATGGCGCCTGTATTTCTATTGGTTGCTAACCTCGTCAATCTCCGTAAATGAGCCGATGCCTTCCGATCATTGACAGTGACTATGTTTCGCGTATGTAAAATAAATTTGGATATTATCTACAATAATTAAATATAAAGTGAAACGTAGGTCGTTCGGTATCTCAGAAATTGACCATTATAAATTAATAAATTTTGCATTTATTCCTGTCCCAAGAAGTATGTCTTATAATAAGTTGTTAAAAGTAAACTGCTTTCTCGTAAGTGCTGTAAATTTTCATCATTCAATATATAAGGAAACAAAGATGTATACTTTCAGTGAAATTCGTTGTCGTGCGTGCAGTTGTGTATTAGTGTATTAATTAACCGCGTCTATACATATAAGTGAAATAAACATGTGTGTGTCTTCAAATATTTATCCAACAACAAATATATAAGTGTGTGAGTGTGTGTGTCTGTGTATGTAAAAATCCTTCCAGTTTACCTCCACTAGTCAAGAATTGACGGGAAACCGGCGACAAAAATCCGTATTTTTTCTTTTCACTCTTTCTTTCTGCATTTACAACGACTATAGTAATTTTACGTACACAATGTTTCTGAGTTTTACTACAGTTGTTTGGAACTATTGGACGAAATAGTAAGAAACTTTGCTAATTTGGTGAACATTTGTCGGGATTAGTGACTTAGTGTAGAAAATAGTAAAAAATACAAAAAGTCCCCTTATTTCCGGTGGTTGCAATGTGAATATAGTAAATTCTAGTGTGATTTTATACAAAAATTAGTAATCTCGGTCTCTCCGTGCAGTTCGACATTATTATTTCTAAGAATCTTAGCTTTCCCTTAATACTTAGAAGAATAAAGAAGACTACAGAATTTTCGAGTAGGGTAATCGGTACAATGGTTGGCCACCCCACAATGATTGGCCGTCCAGTTGAAATATAAATATAATAAGAAATAACTTATATAAAAACATTTTATAAACCGCGGTTCATTAACTTAATGCAATCAAGCAGCCATTTTTACAATCATAATTATGTTGTCTATTATTATTAATTTTAATTTAATTATTTATTTACGTGTTTCGAAATTCCGAAAACTGTAAATAAATTGAAAAATCAATGTTCAAATGTGTAACTTTCACAACTAGTTTATTTATCTTGCGAGTTTTTTGTAAAACTTTTGCTATAATAAAATAATAGTTATTATCAGAATATTGTTTTTTTAATCATACGAATTTTCATTCTGATGAATGCAACAGTGGATCTGATAAAAAGAACCAGGTCAAAACCCCAAAATTTATTTGAAATTAGCTGATCTCTTACTTGTGATTTTTTGACTGATTATACGAATCAGATATCAGAGTTTTAAAGTTCAAAATGGCGGATCCAATATGGCTGACAATTTTTTAAAAATCTAGTTGGATTTTTATAAAACTGGGTGTCTAAGAGATTTTAGGATCACTTATTACAAAGCTAAAGTCAGATTTAAAAAATCTCAAATGTCATAACGAACATGAAAAGTCAAAATGGTACATTTAATATGGAACTAATAATATACAATAAAAAACTTTTTTTTAAACTGAATTTCGTTGGGAAAATAATTAATATTCAATAAGTTATTTTAGTCAAAGCCAAAGTCATACTCCATACATATGGTTCCTTTCGAGCAAATAAAAAATTTCTTTCCTTGTATAAATCACGATTTGTTTTCTCTATTAATGAAATTATTTAAAAATACGGACTTTACGGATCAAAAATGAAAAATCACGGGCCAATTACTGGCAAGAATAAAACATTTAACTTAAAACTATAAATTAAATTTCTCATAACTATAAAACATGAAGAAATCGATAGAATTCTTCATGTTTTATAATAATTAAAGATGACCTAGTGTTAAAATCATTATTTTATATTAAAAGAATATTGTAACTATAACTGCAAAATTATTTTCATCATTTCAATTCAATTATTATTTTCTAGAATTTTCAACTAAAATTCTTCTTTAAATCAATTATTTTTAATAATTTTCAAAAAAACTCTTTGAAAATTTTCAAATCCATTTATTTACAATTCAATTTTACGAAATTTCAATTATTCGTAAATTCTTCAATTAAATATATATTAGAAAATAACAATTTCAAAAAAATTTTATAAGAAATTCAATTAAACCTTTTGAAAAAAATAATTTCACAAAATTGTATAGGTATAATTATTTTTTAATTTAAAACCTTTTCAGAATTTAATTATTTCTAAGAATTCAAGCTTTAATACTTTTAATATTCAATTACTGTATAAAATTTTGACTAAAATTAATTTTTAAATCAATTTTTATTAAAAAATTCTACGAGAATTTAATTCTTTAAATACAAAAATTAATAATTTATTAAATAATTGAATGTTTCATTCCTTTAATATAATTAATAGCGAATGATAAATTCCTCTGATATAATTGAATGTTTCTTTAAATTGGATTCTCATAAAGAATTGTTTAAACAAATTTTTAAATAATTGAATTCATTTGACGAATTTTAATAAAACTTTTAAGAATAATTACATTTTTTGAGAAATTTGATTAAAATTGTATATTAAAAATAATTAATTAATTAATTAATTCCACGATAAGTATTATTATAATTATGAAAATAATTGAATCCTTATATAAAAAATTTAATTATTTATGAAAATAATTGAATGTTTGTAGAAAATTTATTTATTTATGAAAAATAATTAAATTATTGCGAAGAAATTTATAAAAAATTTGTAAATAATTGATTTCCTGTGAAATCTTTATTATTTTATGAAAATAATTAAATATTTGCGTAGAATTTTATTAAAATTTTTTAAATAATTGAATTCTTTTGAAAAATTTTATGAAAATAGTAGATATTGAAAATCATTGAATTGAGGAATGTTTTTGAAAATAATTGAAATTTTGCCTAAAATTTTAATAAAATTTTTTTTAAATAATTGAATTTGGGAAAAGAATTTTACTAAAATTTTTTTAAATAAGACTTTTAGCAACGAATTTTATTGAAATTTTCAAAATATTGAATTCTTACGAAAAACTTTATTAATTTTTTTTTAAATAATTCAATTCTATCAAACAATTTTATGAAAATTGTGTTTGAAAATAATATTAAATTTCTGTGAAAATTTTATTGTATATGAAAATAATTGAATACTTAAAAATAATTTTCTTATTTATGAAAATAATGGAATTCCTGTAAAAAATTTCATTATTTATGAAAATAATAAAATTAATGCGAAGAAATTTATAAAAAAAATTTGTAAAAAATTGAATATCTGTGAAATTTGTATTATTTTATGAAAATAATTAAATATTTGCGTAGAATTTTATTAAAATTTTGTGAAATAATTGAATTGTTTTGGAAAGTTTTATTTAAATAGTTAATATTTAAAATCATTTAATTGAGGGAAATTTTTGAAAACAATAAATTGAGATTTTGCCGAGAATTTCGTCAAAATTTTTTTAAATAGTTGAATTGATACGAAGAATTTTATAAATAATTGAATTTTAAATAATTTTAATTGAATTTTAATTTAATTGAATTTTAATTTTAATTGAATTTTAATTTAATTCAATTTTAATTTTAATTGAATTTCAAATAATTGAAATCATTGAATTGAGGAAAATTTTTGATAATAATTGAAATTTTGCCTAAAATTTTTGAAAATAATTGAATTTTGGAGAAGAACTTTATTATTTATAAACAGATAAAGAGAATTGAAATTTTTATGAAAATTTTTGAACATAGTTGAATTGGTGGTCGTTAATGGAGAATAAATTTTAATTTTTAATTTTTCTTAAGGAAAAGAGTATAAAATTAAAAACATTACCGTTTAAGAAGTAAATCGTCTTCAGCTTTCGATATTTTTGAATCTTTTTCTTTCCACGGATTCAAAGACTCAGCCCACCAATTTTCATCAACTCTCTGCTTTCTCGTGACTGTCATCCAATGTGGACAATATCTGCGAGTCACGTCTTTCACTTTTCCTTCAGAATTATACGCAACAATGTATAATACAGGAGCCATAGCTTTTTCCTAAAAGTAAAACTTTTTTTTTATTACCATTTCCATTTTTCGAAAAATTTTATTTTTGAAATTTTTAATTGTAATTTTCAATTGTAATTTTTATATTTGAAGTATTTTTAATAAACTTACGTAAATTTCCTTGGCGCAATTAATTTTTGCAGATGGAATACTGACGGGAATCCAATTTTTTTCCGAGTCTACATAAACTTCTACCCAAATATCCTGAGTGGCTTTTTTCACTTCCATCTCATCGTCGGAAGAAATTAATTTTCGATTTTTTTGTGATTTGCTAGCTGTTTTGGTTTTCTTTTCTTGAGGTTCAAAATCGGAATCAAAGTCAGAATCAGTTTCAATAACTGCTATAGATTCTTTTTGAACACGATTTCTCAATCTTTTCGCCACGGAAGTCTTACTTTTATCTTTCTCCGATTCTTCAACTTTCTCATTTTTGTTGCTTTTCGAATTCTCTTTACTCGACTTTTTAGTTTTCTCATCGTTCTTTTCTTTATTTAAAAGTGCAGCCGCTTTTTTTCGCGCTTCAATTTGAGCATTTTTTCTACCCTCGGGACTATTGTCTAATAATGGTTTTTCCGATTTCTTAAGTTCTGTACTTTTTGATTTTGTGCCCTTTTTCGTTTGTGCTTTACCTTTTTTCGATTTCTCCTCCTTTTTCTGTTTCCCATCGACTTTTTCCTTTTCCTCCTTTTCACCCTCTTCTTTCTTCGCTGGAATTAATTGTTCACGTTTCGGTTTCAGAGGAGGAGGGCAGATGTTGACGACTAAACGACAATTTAAACCGATTGCACGTAAAAGTGCGACAAAAAGAAGAACTAATTCACGATAATTATAAACTTTTCTCTCTTCGATTCTTTGTAAAAGTGAAGAAGTCGTTAAGAGTTTTTCCTCTGTTTTGGAAACCATTGTGAATGTTTTACTGAACCAAGTGGTGACTCTTTGTACATAAACGAGATCAACTCGTCCTTTTGGATAATCATTCTTTGTTATTAGCGATAAACAAATGGCGAGAGTTTCCGGATCATTTGCCATTCGATTCAATAGAAAGCCATGAACAAGCCACCAGAGTAATCCCACCTTATGAACTAAGACCTGAGTTGTTCTTATTCGTTGGTTTAATTTGTTTCTTAAAATTGTTTCAAGATCTGTTTTCTTTTTTTTTCTTTCGTGCATTATACTTGAACCAGGAAGAGTTATAAGTACACCTTCCTTTGGAATTGTGTACTCCGATGACGTTTCTGGTTTTTCATCTTCTTCCTCATCTTCTTCTTCGGCTTGTTGATCTGTTTAAAAAAAAATGATGATAATCTGTTAGTCCTCTTAAATTCGTAAAAACTTAAAATTTTGACTTCTCTTAGAGTTTTTATTAATTTTTCACCTACATTTCTATCAGACAATAAACATTTGAATTTCAGAGTTGCCACAAAAATTTAATTTTGTTATTCCCCGATTTCCAGATAAAATTTTGACTTTTTCCCTGACCCTAAAGAATATTCTGATTCACTCTCAAAATTATTAGATACTCAAAAAAATGTTCTATTGAATTTATTTACAAATTTCTTCAAAAGTAAAATTATTCGAAAACATTAATAACTTCTTTTCTAAATAAATATTTAATCATTTTTTTTTCATTGAAATTAAGATGTTCAAAAATTTCAAATTCAAACCTTTTTAAATTGAATAACTCATAAGAATATTATTATAAATCATAAAGATCACTTTTTGAAGAATTTTATTAAATTTTTTAAAAATAATTGAATTCCTGAGAAGAATTTAAATAATAATTTTTGACAATAATTTAATTTTTGAGAAGAATTTCCTTATCTATTTATAAAGATAATTTAATTCTTGAAGAGAATTTTAAAAAAATTTTGAAAATAATTTAATTTCTCCAAAGTATTTTATTACTTTTCAAAAGAGTTGAATTCTTGTGATGAATATTGATATTTATCAAAATAATTGAATTTTGGAAAAGAATTTCATTAAAATTCCTTAGAATAATTTTTTTATGGGAAGAATTTATGCAATTTTGTTGTTTGAATTATTGCAACGAATTTTATTGTTTTATTGAATGTTTCTTAAAATTGAATTTTTTCCTCAAGTTTTAATAAAAATTTTAATAATAATAATTGCATTTTTCAAGGATTTTATTTAAAATTGTATTAAAAATATTTGAAATTCTGCGATGAAAATAATTGAATTCGTAAATGAAATTTTATTATTTATGAAAATAATTGAATCTTTTCGTAGAATTGTATCAACAAGTTTTTTCTATAATTAAATCTGTTGATAAATTTTATGAAAATAGTAAATATTGAAAATTATTCAATTGCAAAAAACTTTTGAAAGTAATTGAACTTTTGCAAACATTTTTATAAATTTTTGAAAATAATTGAATTTTTGGCGAAAAATTTTGCTATTTATAAAAATAATTGAATTCTTGATGAGATATTCATTAAAATTTATAAAAATAATTGAATTCGTCCAAAGTATTTTATTAAAGTTTGTTTAAATAATTGAAATTTTGCCAAGAATTGAATTAAAATTTCTGACAATAATTAAATTCTTGAGAAGAATTTTGATATTTATCAAAATAATTGAATTTTGGAAAAGAATTTCATTTAAAAATCCTTAAAATAATTGATTTTATGGGGAGAATTTTGTTGGTTATCAAGATAATTGAATTATTTTGCAGAATTACTTAAAAATTATTAAAAATAATTGATTTCCTGCGACGAAAAAAAAGGAGAAATTTAGGGGAAATTTTCAAAATAATAAAATACTTATGAGGATTTCACTTATTTTGAATACAATTTTAATTGATTTCTTCAAAAATTTCAATTATTTTTAAAAATTTTGTAAAAATTCTCAGAGAAAAATCAATTATTTTAAAAAATAATTGAATTCTTCACAGGTGTTCAATTATTTAAAAAACTTTTAATAAAATCCAATTTAAGAATTCAATTATTTTTAAAAATAGTTAAATTTTCACTGGAACTCAATTTTGTTTTAAATACAATAATTTTAATTGAATTCCAGGGAAAATTAAATTGTTTTTAAACCTTTTTTATAAATTCATCGAAAGAATTCAATAATATCATTAAATAGTAAATTTTTCACAGGAATTAAATTATTTTAAATACAATTTTAATAAAGTTCTTCTTAAAAATCAACTTATTTTTAAAAATTTTGCAAAAATACAATTATTTGTAGAAATAATAAATATTTTCGCCGGGTTTCAATTATTTAAAAAGATTTTAATAAAATTCTATTCAAGAACTCAATTATTTTCAGTAATAATTAAATTGTCGATGTACTGAAAATCTTTGAATTCTTGTAAAGTATTTATCAAAAAATTGGAAAATAATTGAATTCATTTCAAAAATTTTTTATCAACATTTTTTTTCAATAGTTGAATTTTTTCGAGAAAATGTAATGTTGTATTGAAAATAACTTAATTCTTGGCAAAATTGTTATCAAAATTTTTTAAAATAATTAAATTGTTATAAAGAATTTATATTTCTTGAAAATAGAGGAGTTTTTTTTATAATAATTTTTACTGAAAATTTTGAAAATTGAATTTTAAGACGAATTCGTCTTATTTAAGCTTTTAAAATAATTTATAATATTTATGGTCAATTCTCAGAAACCTTTAAAACTTTTGACTTCTAGAAAAAAATTTATGAGCACACATTAATAAACATTTGTACATAAGATTAATTTTCAGAAAAAAACTATTTCAATGAGAATTTATCGATATTTAAAAAATTAATTTCTGTATATATAGAAATAAGAAAAATGTTTACCATAACTTGTGGTTGCCGTACTGCTTTCACCTTGAAGTAAAAGTTCACTAATTTCACTCGTGAGACCCTTTGTTTTCGAAGATTCCCCTTTTCCATCTTTATTTGCGACATTTTTCGATTCGAACTCTTGTTTTCTTCGACTTTCAAGATTCTTTTCCTTCTCGAGATTACTTAAAATTTGTGAAAACAATTCAGCCGATTGAGCATTATCAACATCTTCTGCTTTAAATTCTTCAAGTTCATCATCATCATCATCTGAATCGGATGATGAACTTTTAATAGTTTTTACCGGGCTTTTGAGGTTAGATTTTGACTCGGCTTTTTGTTGAAAGAAACTTGAATTTAAATTGATTTTCTCAGCTGGCACGAGAAAATCACAGCTACTATCAGAACTTTCATCTTCGGAGTCACTCATTTTTTTTTTATTCATATTGACAAACATTAAAAATGACAAAAATGTACAAATTCTTTTCTATAATAATAATACTTGTTACATGTTTCTTTGTTTATTATTTTGCCCGCCTCACTATAAAATCACGCAGCTAAACAAAGAACTTTGTGATCATAACAAGGGAGAGGTAACTATTGACGTCAGGGTTGAGAAGAACGTGTAAAGTAAAGAGAAACCTCTGAAATGTGACAGTTTCAGGGTACGATCACACCATTAGGGTCACAACGACTTTTGGACAAACTATTATTGTCTTTTTCTCTTTTATGACAAAGGCATAAGTTTGTCTCACTCTACATTTGCTTACTTTTTCCAAAAACGGGAAATTTATAATGAGACAAACTTATGCCTCTATCATAGAAGAGAGAAAGACACCCAGATTAGTGCCACCATTTTGGAACATTTATTTCTAAAAAATTTGTAATTTTTTACTTGAATATATAGTTAATAACTTCCTAAAACATTACAACTGTATGTTCTTTCTTTCCATTCGAAAAAAATTCTTGAAAAAACGTTGTTTTTTAGCCATTTACAGTGGTGTATAATTTGTTTAGTTGCAAATGAATTTAATGGTGTTCCGCAGTGATCGCCTTTTAAAAATGGCTGCTCAAATGTATACTTGATTTGAAAATGATTTTTCTCCCAATTCGGTCAGTTTTTGGAAAATCAGAGAAAATACAAGATATCCTGAATATTTTATCTTTCATTTGCGCGCAAGAAGTAAAAGATTTATTTAGATTTACAACGACAGGAAGTAAAATAGGAAAAAGTTAAACAAATGCGCGATACATAAAATTACCACCAGAAGGCAGCACCTAATGGGCACATCTAATTTTCTCATTTTACTTCCTGACGTCGTGTATTATATTGGATTTTCAATTTATTGTGCACAAATGAAAGAACAAAATTTCAGGATAACTGGTATTTTTCCCTATTTTGCAATAATTGTCCAAATTGGGAGAAAAATCCTTTTCAAATTATGTTTACGTTCAAGCAGCCATTTTTAAAAGGCGACCACTGTTTGAAATTGCGCAACACCGTATGGCACTTTTTTAATTGTTTAATAACTTTGTTAATAATTATCGAATTTGTTTATAACTTACCAGGAATATTCTCCTTGTGAATCTGAATAAATTTTTAAAAAAATTTAATTTGATCGGATAAATAGTTTATGCATAATTCCATTTGTTAACTAAAAACATGTAATTTTTCAACGGAATTTCCCCACTTTTAGACCTGAGAATTTCGTTTTTTTTCTTTTTCTGAAGTACACTTAAGGAGTCAAACTTTCATCCCACTTAAATGAAAATTTATTTTTTTTTATTTATATAAAGTCATTTAAGAAGAAACTTAAATAAAGACACTCTTTAACAATATAAAAATTTTGTTCTATTAAAAATTATGTGCTCATTCAAATTTTAATACTTTTGCTATGCTAAAAGTATTGTACCGAGATGACAATTCTGGCGCCCAAAAAAAAAGATATATAATTCACAATTATAGAAAAAAATATCCAATAGTACACTACTCATGTGTCTATAAAACGACTTTAAATAATATACCAAATGACATTAAATCGTACAAAAATAGGTAGTTTAAGACCTTCGTAAAAGAATATGACAATAGAAAAAAATTATTCTTTAAAAAAAAATCGCGCGAGTAAACATCAGAGTACATTTTTCTTCAACTCGATTGAAGAAAACAGGAATAAAGTATTCAATATTTCGTACAAAATATTACTTTGACTTTCAAGAAACGTGTCGAGAGTATTTACATAATTTCTCTGATTTCTAGTGATATCTTCGACAATAAATTTAACACAACTTCTAACCAGCGAACTAGAACTATTTGCATCTGCAAATTGAATTAAATTCATAACATTATCAGTCGTTAATTTGTTTGCTAAGAATTTTTCACACATTTCCATTAGACCTTCTAAAGCATATTCTTTAGCAGCAAGAAAAATTTCTTTTCCATATTTCTCGAGATTTTTCACTTCTCCGGTATAAATGTATCTGAAAATAGTACATTGTACAACTAGTGGCGAAAGTGAGTAAAATCATTCTTTCGCCACGAGTTGTACATTATAACGTTTTCCCTAACGCCTTGCGAGAAAATGCATGTTGGATGTTTTTATAATTGCAACTAACAATTTTATTTTTAATAACATTTTAGGTTGCTTTGGAAATTTTATATAAGTTAATAAATAGTAAACACGAAAATAACACAATAAATTATGTGTACAAATAAGTTAGTTATTTAGTTAGTTAATTTAGATAGTTTATTTTGTTAATTAGTTAGTTAGTTAATTAGTCAGATTAGTTAGTTCAGTTAGTCAGTTAATTTATTAGTTAGTTACTTAGTTTACTTAGTTATTTACTCAGTTTAGTTCGTTTAGTTAATTTAGTTATTTAGTTCGTTAGTTTAGTTAGTCAGTCAGTTAGTTAGTTCGTTAGTTTCTTTAGCTAGTTTGTTTAGTTAATTTGGTTAGTTTATAAGTTAGCTAATTTAGTTACTTAGTTCGTTAGTTTGTTTAGTTAGTTAGTTTAATTAGTTTAGTTAGTTAATTATTTAGTCAGATTAGTTAGTTCAGTTAGTTAGTTCCTTAGTTTCTTTAGCTAGTTAGTTTAGTTAGTTTAGTTAGTTTTGTTAGTTAGTAAGTTAGTTAGTTAGTTAGTTAGTTCGTTAGTTTCTTTGGCTAGATAGTTTAGTTAATTTTGTTACTTAGTAAGTTAGTTAGTTAATTTAGTTACTTAGTTCTTTAGTTTCTTTAGTTAGTTAGTTTAGTTAGTTAGTAAAATTTTATTCCGTCAAAAATAATATCAACATGGATTATTTTAATCTTTTAAAATAAAAATAACAATAATATACATAAGTAAATTCTACAGATTCTCCAGCAATTTACTTTCGCCACGGTTTTTCAAACAGTTGTGAAAAGTATAACTATCGCCACGGTTTGTAACCCTTGAAAGTTGCAGTTTCAGAGCGGGTGTTAGGGAAAAATTATCACATATCAAAAATAAGATTTAAATTTAAATTCATAGATATATTTACCTCATTATTTCGCTAAAGACATCAGGTTCCGTATCTCTAATCCAAAGAGTATTGGTGCTTTCAATTATAGTGAATAAGCTAAGAAACTGAGGACTTCTTGCTGATAAAATGACTTTATGACATTGATACTTGACATCGTTTCCAACATAAATCGTAATATCACTAAATCTTTCATCATTGAAAAATGATTCATAATCTTCTAAAATAGCATTCTTTGTACATTTTTCAACAGCTTCGAAGAAAACATTATTTCTTTTGGTTATGATCAAATCCTGTAATTCCGATTGATTGAAAATTTCTTTCAATATAGACAATACACTAAGTGACTCTGTTTGTAGACTTTGAAAACATTCGCCAAGATCATTAAAATTTTCTACAATATACTGCAAGCAATGTTTCTTTAATGAATTTCCAGAACACTTTATAGACGTTGACAAAATGGAAACGACATTCTTCAGTGATAAAATTGATTTGAAATAATTTTCACCTTCAGTTTTGAATGCTTCCATTTGTAAATAATTGGCGACAAATAAGACATCCTCGGTTATAGGTAAAACTGGTAAAACTTCATTTAACGTTTCTTCAGAGTAAACGTATTTTAAAATTATTCTCAACGCATCGGACTTTATTTCATCCAGAACAATTTCTTTAATATTTTCATTATGTTCAAATATTTTGTAAAAATATGGACATCTTCTTGCCAAAATAATCTGAAAATAAATTCAATCTAGGTTTTTACTTTGGACAACAGAAATGACCGTTACTGAAAGCAACTGCGCTTGCGCCACTCTGACCCTATCTCATTGGTTGAAAATAGCGCGCGCTTATTCAAAGTACAAGAATATAAATTAATACAAACCTTGTGAACGTAAAATGTTTCCCCTTGAACAAAAATTTGAAAATCGCTAAGAAACTCCGAATTTGTAAATGGTTCAAAACTTTTAATATCCTCTTTAATTTTGCAATAAAATTCGACCATTATTTCAAGTTTTGATGTCTCAACGCCATTGTCATCATAATCGTTTTGTAGCATTTTTATCAGTGTCTTGTAATCGGTAAAATTCTCACAACCAAATTCTCTTCCATTTCCGGATATTACGAAACTTTGAAATATTTTGTTATTAGAATCTTTTATAACTGATACATTAACTTTCATATCCTGTCGATAAAAGACATTTTCATTGCAAACTAATTTTATGTCAATGACTGCCATGTACTTTGGTGTGAAACGAGAAGAACTGTAAGATTTCAGAAGTTCATTTTTTCTTATAGAAAGACATAAGCACCATTTTCTTTTTAAATCTTCTGAAGTAGAAAACTGAGGTGAATAAAAACTTTGTTCACGTAAATTATTGATATCCGTCTCTTTAATATATTTACACAACCATGAGTAACGTGTATCGGGTACATTTGAAAATGCCATCTATAAAAAATTTAAAAAATTTTCTACATTTGACCTTCTACTTTCGCAAGTGGAAAACAATTTAATTATTTATAAAGATAATTGAAATTTTGAGAATTTAAAAAAAATGTTAAACATTATTAAATTTCTCCAAAGAATTTTATTACTTTTGAAAATAATTGAATTGTTTTTTAGAATTTTATGGAAATTTATGAAAATAATTGAATTCTTGTAAAGAATTTTATTTTTAAATAATATTTTTAAAAAATTTAGTAAATCTGAATAATTTTGCTATTTATGGAAATAATTGAATTCTTTCGACAAATCTTAAGAAAATTTCTAAGAATAATTACATTTTTCGAGGAATTTGATTAAAATTGTATATTAAAAATAATTGAATAATAATTCTGCAATGAGTTTTACTCAAAATAATTTAAATTATCAAAATAATTGAATATATTGAAAAGAAATTTTTTTAAAATAAAATTATAATTACGGTAACTAACTTCCCTTGATTATTTTCGAACAATTTAAATAAAATTCTTTAAAAGAATTTAATTCAGGAATGTAAAGAAATTTCAATTATTTGTTTAGAAAAATCCAATTATCTTAAAACAATAGAATGGAAAAATTTCAAAAATCTTATTATTCAGAATTTTCAAAAAAAAACTTTGTGAAAATTCAATTTTATTAAAAAATTTTAAGTGTGCTGTATCTCAGACAACGGAATTTTTTTGCATAGACTTTTATAATTTGAGGTTATTTTTATTATTGTTTTAGACTTAAATATTTAGGACAATTAGCACTATAATTGATCGTACAACGATTTTAGCACTTACAACAACACTACTTTTATAACCTATAGAGAACAAAATAAATAATTAATTAACAATTTTAACTGGCACTTACCTTCAATGCTTTCAATAGAATTGAAATAATAACTTTTACAGTATCTCAAGATTTGTAAACAGAAAACCTAATGGACTTTAAATATTGTTCCCTCGCTTCTCACCAGAGAACAGTAGTTACCGCAGTTGCTATTGGTCTAAGCACAAATGCTTCGCGATTTCCGCGAACGCAAAGCATGAGATAGAAAAGGACAGTAATATAAAGAAGTAATTAATTAAAGTAATTATTATTTAAATTAAATCTAATAAATAATTAAGGGAAAGGCTTTCATATAATTTAAATTGTCAAAAAATAAAATTTTTACATCAAATTTTAAAAGTTATGTAAAATCAACGTTTCCAAAATAATCACTAAAATGGCTAAAATGTAATAAATACACTTCATTTTTGTCTTGATAACCATTCCAAACATTAAAACAATCATAAAAATGTAATTTGAGTGTAAATAAGCAAAAAAAAAGAGGTGAGGCAACCTGCAATTTTGAACTCTATTTTTAAATCAATGAAAAAAAATATTAATTCCTGATATTTTAAAAATTCCTTTTGGATTATCAAAATTGATTAAAAAAAAACTCAGAAAAAAATTGTAACTTAAATTATCTATAAAAATATTTCATTTGTAAACACATGAAAAAATCATAATTTTAATTTTCCATTTTTTCCACAAGTCAATTTCAGAATTTGTTTAACAATTAGGAACATTTTTATTGCTTGTGAGAAATAGTAATTTCTATAAACGTCATAAACATTAAAAACATTTTAGTCGCAGACTTAGCCACAAATTTAAAAAAAAAACGTCACAGTTTCTGACGTTTTATCATTATTCGTAACTTTATTTTTAGTAGGATAATGAGGAACATGACTTTTTGTTTAGAAACAACATGAAAATCGTGTGTAATGCAATAAAAAGTTTTTTTTTAATTTAATTAGCATAAATGCCTCATTTTTTTTTGTCGTATCTAATACATAAAATTATTAACAATTGATAAAACAAAAATTTCTTAAACACACATTTAAAGTAGAGAAATACTTTAGTCCAATAGGCTTGGTAAATTAATTTTTGTCGATTATAACCCATATGGTAGTTAATGTTAAAGTTTATAATGTGTTACATTATTATAAATGTCTGTATATAAATTGATAAAAACCTATTTTATAATAAAATAAAAGGAAGCTATTAATAAATAAACTTTTAACCGAGAAAATCGTAATTTGAAACATCGTCAAATTGTTGACCCTGAGGATTTCCTGGTTCCATTGGTCTCACATTCATTTGTCCTCTAGGACCCACCATTTGCTGCTGCATTCCAACAACTTGTCGATATTGTGGTTGTTGCTGCAGAAACATTAACATTATTAATCATTTTTTAATATCCACATTTATTCATGTTTTATAATTTTAATTAAAGACAACAAATTGCTAAAATCATTATTTTATATTATAAGAATATTGTACTTCTTCAAAATTATTTTCATCATTTCAATTCAATTATTTTTTAAAGAATTTTTAACTAAAATTCTTCTTAAAAATGATTATTTTTAATAATTTTCAAAAAACTTCTTTGACAATTTTTCAAACCCATTTGTTTGCAATATTCAATTTTACGAATTTCAATTATTTGTAAATTCTTCAATTAAATATATATTAGAAAATAAAAACTTAAAATAGTATAAAAAAATTCAATTAAATATTTTCAAAAAAAATTAATTTCAAAATTCAATATTATTTAAATTTATTTAATTTTTATAAAAAAAATTTGAAAATAATTGAATTATTTTTATTGATTGCAATAAAATTCTTTATAGCCAATTTATAAATAATAACAATCTTTATAAAAAATTCCATTATTTAAAAAACTTAATTAATAAAATCAAATTCAAGAATTCAATTATTTTTAAAAATAATGAAATTTTCACTAGGATTCAATTATTTTCAATACAATTTTAATTGAGCTCCAGGGAAAATTAAATTAATTTTTAACCCTTTTTTTTAAATTCATCAAAAGAATTCAATAATTATCAATAAATAGTAAATTTTTCACTGGAATTAAATTATTTTCAGAAATAATTAAATTGTCAATGTACTGAAAATCATTGAATTCTTGTAAATTATTTATAAAAAAATTTGAAAATAATTGAATTCATTTCAAGAATTTTATTCAACATTTTTTTCAATAATTGAATTATTTCGAGAAAATGTAATTAAAATTGTATTGAAAATAATTTCATTCTTGGCAAGAATTTTACTAAAATTCTTTAAAATAATTTAATTGTTTTAAAGAATTTATATCAATTTTCTTGAAAATAATGAAGTTTTTTTAATAATTATTACTGAAAATTTTGAAACTAATTAAATTTTAAGAATTTCTTTTAAGTTTTTAAAATAATTGTGTTTATTATTAATTGTAATGATCGATTTTCGTATTAAATTGTATTAAAATTATTCATAGAAAATTAAAATCTTTTAAACAATTTTATTAGAATTTTTGTAAATAATTACATTTTTTTTTAAGAATTTCATTAAATTTCGTAAAAATAATGTAATTTTTTAAATTAATTTTAATTGAAAATTTTAAAAATACTTGAAATTTACAAAGAATTTTATTAAAAACTTTTGAGAACAATAATTGAATTGTTTAGAAAAATCTTATTACAATTTTTAAAAATAATTGAACCTCTTAGAGAAATTTTATTAAAATTATCTTTAAGATAATTGAATTTTTTCCCAGAAATTTAATTAAAATTGTATTGAAAATAATTGAATTTCTCAGAAGAATTTTATTATTTACAAAAATAATTGAATTCTTGCCAAGAATTTTATCAGAATTGTTGAAAATAATTGAATTTTTTATTAAAACTCTTGAAAATAATTGAATTTAAAAAATATTTAAAAAAATGATTGTATTCTTTCGAGAAATTTTTTTAAAATTGTATTGAAAATAATTGAATTCTTCCGAAAATTTTTATTATTTATGATAATAATTGAATTCTTGCGGAGGATTTTACAATTCACAAAAATTATTGAATTGTTTCGAAGAATTTTATCTGAATTTCTAAAAATAATTGAATTGATTAGAAGAATTTTATCAGAATTTTTAAAAGTAATTGGACTTTTTTTTAAAGGAATTTTACTACAAATTTTGATAATAATGATTTTTTAAAAAAGCATTTCATCAAAATTGTGGAAAATAATTGAATTTATAATAAAATTCTTGAAAAAAATCGAATTTAATTATTATTATTTTCAAAATAATTGTATTCTTTCGAGAAATTTTATTAAAATTGTATTGAAAATAATTGAATCGCTTTAAAAAATATTATTATTTATGAGAATAATGAAATTTTTGCGAAAAATTTTATTAAAATTTTTAAATAATAATAACGAGAATTGCATTCCGCGCGCTTACCATTTGCCAGTTTTTAATAATTTTGGAAAAAGTTTTTTAAGATTTTTCAAATTTATTTGTTTTTAACAGAAATTCATTTTTAAATCAATTTTTATTAGAAAATTCTACTGAAATTCAATTATTTAAATAAAAAAAATAATATATTGAATATTTGAATGTTTTTAAAATTGAATTATCATAAAGAATTTAATCAACAAATTTTTAAATAAATTAATTCTTTTGACGAATTTTAAGAAAATTTTTAAGAATAATTACATTTTAGAGAAATTCGATTAAAATTTTATTAAAAATAATTGAAATTCTGCGATGAGTTTTATTATTTATGAAAATAATTGAATTATTGCGAAGAAATTTATAAAAAAATTTGTAAATAATTGAAATCCTGTGAAATTTTTATTATTTTATGAAAATAATAATTGAATGTTTGCGTAGAATTTGATTAAAATTTTTTTAAATAATTAAATTCTCTAGGAAAATTTTATTAAAATAGTAGATATTGAAAATCATTGAATTGAGGAAAATTCTTGAAAATAAATGAAATTTTGAATAAAATTTTCTTCAAATTGTTGAAAATAATTGAATTTCGGACAAAAATTTCTTTATTTCTAAAGATAATTGAAATGTTGACGAGAATTTTTTTAAATTTTTGAACATAATTCAATTTATTCGAAGAATTTTATTACTTTTGAAAATGTTTGATTTTTTTGCAATTATTTGTAATTTCTTTAAAATTTTCCAAATTATATCGTACAATTTACGAACTTTTCGTCTTTTCTTAATCAATTTACGGACTTTACGGACCTTTTTAAAAAAACTGACTTTTGCAGAGTTCAAGAGATTCAATTTTTACTTATTAATTTATTAATATTTATTAATTAATATTACCTGTTGCAATAAGTGCCGAAGTCCAAGACTATTGGTCATTACAGGTCTCATCATGCGTTGAGCGTTTGCTTGTTGTCCAGCCATACCCGACTGATTAAGTCCTCTTTGCGCTTGCTAAATAATTACATAAAACTTATCAATCGAAAATAATAAATTCAACTCTGAATAAATTATAAGAATCATTGATTAGAAAAAGGGGAAGAAATTTCTTAATTATACTTCACCTCGAGCTGTTTATACTGTAATTCTTGTTGTTGCGATACATCGAGACTTTGTTGAATCTAGAATTAAAAAATAAATGAAAGCGAATAGAAAGAAGTAAATAAAATAAAAAATAGAATAAAATACGTACATTGATTTCTAATTGAGATTTATATTGAGCTTCCTGTTGTTGCGCTGCTTCGAGAGTTTGTCGAAGTTGTTGTATTTTTAAAAGATTCTGTTGCCTAGCCATTCCCAATTCATCAAATTGGGGTCTCTGCTGGCCCATCATTCCTCCTCCAGCACCAACTTGCTGTCCACCAGCCATATTCGCATTCTAGACAATTGTCGAAAGAATAAGGCCATCAGAATTTTTTCTAACATCAAAGAACTTGTATTTTTACTTTTCTTTTAAAAAGCTAACATTTTCAGTTTTCATTAAATTGAATTTCAAACTTTTCTAATTAAATTTTTTTTTAAATGTTTCTAAGAATTTTATTAAAATTTTCTAGAACAATTATTTTTATTTCATCTAATAGCGGTTGTAAAGTAATGCAAATTCTCAAAAAAAAATGTAGCTTTTAGTGTCAGAAATCTAAAAAAAATGTATCCAAATTGGTAGTAGAAAATTGTAAAAAAAATAGTAAATAATAAATTTTTGTAGATGAGTGCAAAGTTTGAATTTTTTCAATGTGAAAACAAAAATTAAAGGTGATCGTATAAGAACTTTAAAAATTTCAAACATACATAATTAAGGAAGGAGATTTATATATCATACCTGTAGACTTATTTGACCTGGTGGTCCAGTAGAAGTGACTAAATTCTGTTGTGGATTCGATGTAACGACATTCTGCGTAATTTGACCGCCTCCCATTGCCATTGTGTTCGTTTGTGACATGAGAATTCCTCCCTGAGAAATCCCACTAGTTGGCATTCCACCTTGCATCGCATTTGCACCAGGCGGAGCACCCGTCTAATTATTAAATTAATAAAAAAAATTATAAATTAACTTTCTTGATATACACTATCGGCGGTAATTCTACACTTTTATGACTACTAATAACTTTTAACTTGAAAAATATAACAACTAAAATTTTTTCCTTCTTCATGTTGCAGGGTTACCATGCTTTTGCTCATTTCAAATTCCCTGACTTTTCCAGGTTAAAAAACGGAATTTTTCCAGGTTTTTAAAACTACATTTATATTTAACAAAATTTTTAATTCAAAACTTTTTGAAATTAAACATCTTATAAAAAATTATTATAAAACATGCAAATATCGATAACTCCATGTGATCGATATCTTCATGTTTTATAATAATTAAAAATGACCGACTGATAAAATCATTATTTAAAATAAAATAAGAATATTGTTACTGTAACTTATTCAAAATTACTTTCATCATTTTAATTCAATTATTGTTTTCCAAAATTTTTAACTAAAATTCTTCTTTAAATTAATTATTATTAATTATTATTAATAATTTTTAAAACATTTCTTTCAACATTTTCAAATCCTTTTGTTTACAATTCAATTTTACGAAATTTCATCGATTATTCGGAAATTCTTCAATCAAATATTAGAAAATAAAAACTTCATATAACAAAAAAAAATTCAATTGAATTTAAAAAAAAAATTAAATCTACACAACTTTCAGTTAAAAGTATGAAAAATTCAAACATTCAAAGATCAAAATTCAATTATCTACAATTTTAACTGAAATTCATATTTGAATCAATTATAATTAGAAAATTCTACGACAATTCAATTATCTAAATTCAAAAATAAGTAATTTATTGAATAATTGAATGTTTCTTAAAATTCAATTCCCATAAAGAATCGTTATCAACAAATTTTCAAATAATTGAATTCTATCAACGAATTTTAATAAAACTTTTAAGAATAATTACATTTTTCGAGAAATTCGATTCAAATTGTATTAAAAATAATTAAAATTCAACAATTAGTTTTATTATTTGTGAAAATAATTGAATCCCTAAGAAGAATTTTATTACTTTTGAACGATATTCAATTTTTGCGAAGAATATTATTACTCTTAAAAATAATTGAATTTTTGCAATAATTTCTATCTTTTACAAAATTGAATTTTTTTTTCGTGTTTTTAACTAAACATCTTCCATAAATTTATTATTTTTAATAATTTTTGAAAAAGTTCTTTAAAATATTTATAAAAATATGTAATTGAATCTCTGTGAAAATAAATTGAATATTTTTGAAAATAATGGAATTATTGCAAAAAAATTTATAAAACAATTTGTAAATAATTGAATTGCTGTGAAATATTTGTTATTTATAAAAATAATAAAAGGTTTGCTTAGAATTTTATCAAAAAAATTTATAAAATAATTAATTTCTTTTGTAAAATTTTTTTTAAAATAGTAGATATTAAAAATCATTGAATGGAGGAGAATTTTTGAAAAAAAAATTGAATTTGTTAAAAAGAATTTCATTAAAATTTTTTTAAATAATTGAATTTTGGAGAAAAATTTTAATATTTATAAAGATAATTGAAATTTTGACGATAATTTTTTCAAACTTTTGCGACCGTAATTTAATTTTTTTCGAAGAATTTTATTACTTTTGAAAATAATTGCATTCTTCAGACGAATTTCATTAAAATTTGTTTTTAAATAATTGAATTTTTTTGTGAAATTTTATTGAAATAGTAGATATTGAAAATAATTGAATTTAATTAAAAATGTATTGACAATAATACTTAAATTCTAATAAATAAATTATAGGAAGGCTTTTTAAAATAATTGAATTTCGTTGATGAATTTTAATAAAAATTTTACGAATAATTACATTTTTCGAGAAATTCAATTAAAATTGTATTAAAAATAATTGAAATTCAGCAAAGAGTTTTTTTTATTTGTAAAAATAATTAAATCCCTAAAAAGAATTTTATTACTTTTAAACAATATGATGAGGGATTAATTAAATAGAGGAAAATTGATATAAAAAGTGAGACTTTATTTTAGCATTAAATATTGTGAGCAAAGAATATAATAGCTCGAATGGTGAGCAAAGACTGAAAAGTTGAAATACAGATAATTGGGAAATGAGCAGGCGCGATTTTTTTTTGAGTACAGGATCGTATATATTAAAATGTCTTTAGAGTTTATAGCTTGTTTAAATCCCAACACTTCCCCTCAAGCATAAACCACATAACAATTTATAAAAATTTTAATCCGAACTTCACTAAACAGTTTTGGTATTTTGATCCTGGTAAAGGTTTCGTCAGAACATTCGCCATCAGTTCATCCGATCTCAAATATTTTAAGTTGATCACTTCACTTTGAATTGTTTGTCGAATGAAATGGTGTCGGAGATCAATATGTTTAGTTCTTGAATGATGGATTGGATTTTTCGCTAGCCTTTGAGCTCCTTGATTGTCATTGTAAAGATCAACAGTATGTTGATTCCAGAATCCAATCTCCTTGAGAAATTTGGTAAGGTAAATAGCTTCTTTTGCTGATTCTGTGAGTCCCATGTACTCAGACTCAGTTGTGGAAAGTGCAACTGTTTGTTGCTTCTTCGTCTCCCAGGTCACTGCTCCATTCGCAAGGGTGAATACATATCCGGTGTAGGATCTTCGATCTTGAATGCAGCTGGCCCAATCTGAATCAACAAATCCTTCCAATTTGTTTGAGCCCTTTTGGTAAGTAAGGCTTAAATTGGTTGATCCTCGTAAATAACGTAGGATCCTCTTCGCTCCGATCCAGTGACGTCGATCATAACATGTGTTGAATTGGCTGAGAAAGTTGACTGCAAACATGATGTCAGGTCGTGTTGCAACAGCCAAATACATTAGGCTTCCTATTAATGCTCTGAACGGGTAATCCTCTGAATCATCTGATGAATCATCCTCTTCTAAAAACTTCGTGTTTGGATCCATGGGTGTAGAAATTGGTTTGGAATCCTCCATTTTGAATCTCTTCAAAACAGCTTCGATATAAGCACTTTGGGAAATTGTTAAACGATCACTTTGTTGATTAAATTCCATCCCGAGACAATGTTGGATTTTTCCAAGGTCAATCATTTCGAAACGTGACTTCATATATTCCTTGAATTCATGAATCCACTCGAGATCATTGGAAATGATCATCAGATCATCAACATACACTGCAACAATCAATGAACGTTTTTCTACATTATTCACGTACACGCACATATCTGAACTTAAGGGTTTTAATCCGAAGGATTTTAGTTCTTCAGTTAGTCGTTTATGCCACTGATATCCAGCCTGCTTCAAACCATATAAGGATTTCTTCATCAAACAAACTTTATTTCCTTCTTGCAGTTGCTTGAGCATATGTGTTGCTGAAGTCTCGTCCAAAGGTTCGTTGATGAAAGATTCCTTGGCTGCAATTTCCGGTAACAATTCTTGAAACAGTTCTGGAATTTCCATAAAAACTTCTTCTTCAAGGTGACCATTAAGAAAAGCAGTAGTTATATCAACTTGATGAACAGTCATATCATTTTCAACGGCCAAGGCCATTAACAATCTGACGGAACTCAGACGTACGACTGGAGCAAATGTCTCGTTAAAGTCGAGACCAGGGCGTTGAGAATATCCCTTTGCAACTACTCGAGCTTTTCTTGGATTTCTGGGACTGATAGCTGCCTCGTTTGGCGATCATGGCGTTTGCGTTTCCCTCGTTGTCCTTAGATTTTCTGGCGTCGCTTTCCTCGAGAATTTTAATTTTCAGGGCTTCTGGTTTTGGAAGATCGTCACGTGATTCTATTGCACACCTGAAATTTTCATAACTAGGTGGCAAACTGTACAATAATAAAATTGCTAAGAGATCTTCGTTGACATCGATGTCCATTTCATGAAGCTTGTCGACAGCGTCCAGAAATTCACGAATATGTTCACGAACGTCGTCTCCTTCGGCCATCTTGTGTAGGGTTAACTTCTTCAAAAGAGTCGCCTTCCTTGCAGGTCCTTTCGACTGGTAAATTCGATGTAACGTTTCCCATATGTCATGAGAGGTGCTACAATGCTTAATTTGATTAAGCTCTGATGGATGAATCGCTAAAATAAGGTCGGAATGTGCTTTCTGGTCAGCCTTATCCCACGCCGAAACTGCGGCGGCATTTGCATCTTCGTTTCCTTCGTCAACAATCGGTCTAAGTCGTTCTCCACTCACATATTCCCAGGCGTCATTTTTAATGAGAAGAGCTTTTACTTGGAGCTTCCAAGTATCGAAGTTCTCTTTTCCTAAAACTTCAATTCTCATTGAATGTGAAGCACTCATGATGACGAATTTTTCACAAGGCACGCTTCCTTTTCATGAACACGAGGGAGCACGTGGTTAATAAACACTTTAAACAGTTATTTAAATTACACGACACTTTAAATTGTCCGATTCTATTTTACCACGGCGTTCTGGGCTCATAACCTGATGAGGGATTAATTAAATAGAGGAAAATTGATATAAAAAGTGAGACTTTATTTTAGCATTAAATATTGTGAGCAAAGAATATAATAGCTCGAATGGTGAGCAAAGACTGAAAAGTTGAAATACAGATAATTGGGAAATGAGCAGGCGCGATTTTTTTTTGAGTACAGGATCGTATATATTAAAATGTCTTTAGAGTTTATAGCTTGTTTAAATCCCAACACAATATTTAATTTTTGCGAAGAATATTATTACTCTTGAAAATAATTAAATTTTTGCAATAATTTCTAACTTTTACAAAATTGAATTTTTTTTTCGTGTTTTTAACTAAACATCTTCCATAAATTTATTATTTTTAATAATTTTTGAAAAAGTTCTTTAAAATATTTATAAAAATAATTGAATCTCTGTGAAAATAAATGGAATATTTTTGAAAATAATGGAATTATTGCAAAGAAATTTATAAAAATTTTGTAAATAATTGAATTGCTGTGATATATTTGTTATTTATAAAAATAATAAAGGTTTGCTTAGAATTTTATCAAAAATTTTTTTAAAAAATTCATTTCTTTTGGAAAATTTTATAAAAATAGTAGATATTGAAAATCATTGAATGGAGGAGAATTTTTGAAAAAAAAATTGAATTTGTGAAAAAGAATTTCATTAAAACTTTTGAAAATAATTGAATTTTGCAGAAAAATTGTAATATTTATAAAGATAATTGAAATTTTGACGATAATTTTTTCAAACTTTTGCGACCGTAATTTAATTTTTGCGAAGAATTTTATTACTTTTGAAAATAATTGAATTCTTCAGACGAATTTAATTAACATTTCTTTTTAAATAATTGAATTCTTTTGTGAAATTTTATTGAAATAGTAGATATTGAAAATAATTGAATTTTAATAAATTATAGAAATTAATGAAATTTCTACGAAGAATTTTATTAAAATTATTTTGAAAATAAATTGAATTGTTAAAAAGAATTTCATTGAAATTTTTGAAAATAATTGAATTCTTTCAAGAAATTTAATGAAAAATGTATTGACAATAATACTTAAATTCTAATAAATAAATTATAGGAAGGCTTTTTGAAATAATTGAATTTCTTTGATGAAGTTTAATAAAATTTTTACGAATAATTACATTTTTCGAGAAATTCCATTAAAATTGTATTAAAAATAATTGAAATTCTGCGATGAGTTATATTATTTATGAAAATAATTGTAAATCTATAAAATTTTTTATTATTTATGAAAATAATTGAATCTCTGTAAAAAACATTTGATTATTTATGAAAATAATTGAATTTTTGCGAAGAAAAATTGTGAAGGCAACTCTTTTAAAATTGAATTAAGAAAATTGAGTTAAAGAAAAATTAGATTTCAAGAAATTTTAGTTACTATATTTGTTAAGTTTAATGTTATTTAACAGTCATAAAAAAAGTAGGTATTGCACAATTACCGCAGGTAGTGTATAATATTTAATTAAAACGCTAATTGTTCGCGAATTTGAAAGAAGCCCCCTTACCTGTGACTGATGACGTAATGCTTGTGTGTTCTTCTGCTGTTGAATGACTTTTCGTAGTCGATCAACGAAACCTGATTGATCATTTGGAATAAAACCAACAAACGATCTTTTATCTACTGTATATAAAAGTAAAAGTACTTTTATTCCACAAGCCGGTTGTGTATTAAAATGAACACATCCCGCCTGGAAGTAAAAACAAAAAAATTAAAAATAATGAAGTGAAAATAATGTTTATTTATTTGCTACTGAATGGGAATACTTACGAAGCCAGTAGACATTACTTTAATGAGAGATTCAAGAGCTTCGCAGGGAGTTGGATAAAAATTAACAGACCTTGAATTTTTCAAATAAGAATTTCCAATTGTTCCCAATAGCATTTTTGGCATTAGTTGCATTAGTAATTTTGAAGGCCAATTATCTGTTTTCCTAAAATTGGCGAATATTTTAATTAGAAGAATAAAAATACACAAAGGAAATCAACTCTCAATACAAACTACTGATGTTTATGTGTACATTGTGTTTAAAAAAATTAAAGTTCGAGGTCTGCATGTTCATTAAAGGAATCTTCCATAAGATTTTTTTTTAAATTGCTTTTTGAAGATACTCACAAATCCATTTCTCCTTCCTTTGGTTGAATAGACACTTGACAAGGCACATGTTTATTTATCTTCTGCGTGTCATTTGGATTTTTGTTCTTTTCGATCCACTCCAAAGTACCTTGCCAGATAATTCTACGTTCAGTGCCCATCACCATTGGTTGTACATTACCAACATTGGCCTAAATTCACAATAATTTACTTAGTCCAATAGAATTTGTAAACTTATTAAAATTAAAATTTAAAAATTTTTTTTTTTTAATTTGTAAACTTATTAAAATTAAACTTATTTAAATGTTTTCTATACAAATTTCAAATAAGGTTTTTATTAATATTTTTTATTATTATTTAATATCAAGCATCACAGTACCTTTTTTTCTCAAAAAAAGTGAAAAGGGGAATTTTTTCCTCAAAAAGTGTACAAAAAGGGGAGAAAAATTTATTTGTTTATAAAAATTGCATATATAATTCAAATTTTTTAAAATTCCAAAATTTTGACTATTCGGAAATTCTTCAATTAAATATATATTAGAAAATAAAAACTTGGAATAATGTCAATTAAACTTTTTTGAAAAAAATTAATTCTACAGAATTTTTAGTTAAAAATATGAAAAATTCAGATTTTTCATAATTTCAATTTGAAACTTTTTCAAAATTCAATTTTTTCTAAAAATTTTCTCTAGAATGCTGTTAATATTCATTATAGAAAATTTGAACTGAAATTCACCTTAAAATTAATTTCTATTGTAAAATTATACGAGAATTTAATTATTTAAATACAAATAAAATGAAAATAAATAATTTTTATTGAATAATTGAATGTTCCTTTATATTGAATTCTCATAAAGAATTTTATCAACAAAATTTTTACATAATTAAATTCTTTCGACGAACTTTAATACAATTTTTTTAAATAATTACATTTTTCGAGGTATTCGATTAAAATTGTACTAAAAATAATTGAAATTCTGCGAAGAGTTTTATTATTTCTGAAAGTAATTGAATTCTTGCGAAGAATTTAATTAAAAAAATTTTAAACAACTGATTTTTTTCAAAAAAATTTATGCAAATTTTATTTTTAATAATTGAATTCCTGTGATATTTTAATTATTTTAGAAAATAATTGAATATTTATGTAGAACTTTGTCAAAATTGTTTTTAAACATATTGAATTTTTTTGGAAAATATTATTAATAAATAATAGATATATAAATTTTTGGATTAAGAACAATTTTTGAAAATAATTGAAATTAATTTTATTAAAACTTTTGAAAATAATTGAATTTTATTACTTTTGAAAATAGTTTAATTCTTGCAATGAATATTATTATTTATGAAAATAATTCATTTCCTTTCGAATGATTTTATTATTTATCAAAATAATTAAATCCCTGAAAAGAATTTTAAAATTTTGAAAATAATTGAATTACTGCGAAGAATTTAATGCCAAATTTTAAAAAATTTGATTTATTGGAAAAAATTGATGAAAATCCTATTTCAAATAATTGAATTTCGTTGAAATTTTTATTTGTTTTTTGGAAAATAATTGAAAGTTCGTGTAGAATATTATCAAAATTTTTGTTTAATAATTGAATTTTTTTTTGGGGTAAATTTTATTAAAATAGTAGGTTATTGAAAATCATTAAATTTTGAAAAATTTTTGAAAATAATTGAAATTTTGCCATGAATTTTATTCAAGTTTTTGAAAATAATTTAATTTTATTACTTTCGAAAATAATTGAATTCTTGTGCTGAATACTCTTATTTATGAAAATAATTGAATTTTGCAATGAATTTTTATAAAATCCTTGAAAGAATTGAATTTTATCGAAGAATTTTGTTATTTATTTATAAAAATAATTGAAATGTTGACCAATTTTTTTTTTAGATTTTTTGAAAAAAATTGAATTTCTGCGAAGAATTTGATTAATTTTTGAAAATAATTGAATTATCATGATGAATATTGTTATTTATGAAAATAATTGAATTTTACAATGAATTTTATAAAAATTGCTGAATATAATTGAATTTTGGCAAAGTATTGAATTTTGCTATTTATAAAGATAATTAAAATGTTGAGGAGAATTTTTTTTTAATTTTTGAAAATAATTGAATCTACGGAAAGAATTTGAATATTTATTAAGATGTTTATTTAAGAATATTTATTAAAAATTATTTGAACAGAAAAATAAATAATTTATATTGAATAATTAAATGTTGCTTTATATTGAATTCTTATAAAGAATTTTATCAACAAATTTTTACATAATTAAATTCTTTCGACGAATGTTAATGAAATTTTTTCTAAATAATTACATTTTTTGAGGTATTCGATTAAAATTGTACTAAAAATAATTGAAATTCTACGATGAGTTTTTCTATTTATAAAAATAATTGAATTATTGCTAAGAAATTTATAAAAAAATTTATAAATAATAGAATTCCTGTGAAATTATTTTATTATTTATAAAAATAATTAAACGTTTGCGTAGAATTTTAATGAAATTTTTTTTAAATAATTGATTTTTTTGGAAAATTTTATTAAAATAGATATTGAAAATCATTGAATTTTGAAAAATTTTTGTAAATAATTGAAATTTTGCTAAGAATTTTATTCAAATTTTTGAAAATAATTGAATTTTGAAGAAGAATTTTTATTATTTATAAAGGGAATTGAAATTTTGACGAGAATTTTTGAAAAATTTTTAAATATAATTGAATTTCTGCGAAGAATTTATTACTTTTGAAAATAATTAAATTTTTGCAATCATTTGAAAATTGAAACTTCTCAAAAACGCAACTCTTTTAGAATTCAATTAATTTTGAACTATTTAAGTAAAATTATTTATTAAATAATTTCTAAGTAATAATTTTATGATATAGTTCTTCAAGAATTAAGTAATTTAAAAGGAAATTATTGTCAGAAATAGAAAAAAATTGAATGTTTTGTATTAGAATTTTCGTTTTTCTAGAAAAACTATTAATAATAATATTTGAATTATTTGAATGTTAATTAATTATTTTTCTAAAGGTCTGCATTTTGTTGAATGAACCACCTTATAATAATTTATAAAATTCGTTGTGGTGTTAATAATCTAAATGAAAAATGAAACTCACTGAATTCTATAACATTGAGTCTAAATTTTATGATTACACTTGGAAAAAGATTTGAAAAATAGAACAACTTGTTTATTTTTTATTAGAAAAAGGTGAAAAAGGGGACAAATCATCAAAAAAGGGGAAAAGGCCTGTAATATATTTTTCTAAAATGTATTTTCTAATTTTTAATTTGCTAAAAATTCTTTTTCTATCCAATGAAGGTAAATTTCTAAAAAACTTTTTTCTAATGAAGGTGATTTTCTAATTTTCTTTTTTCTAATAAAGCTCATTTTCTGAAAACCTTTTATCTAGAAATTAGGGAAAAATAAAATGAAAGTTTTGTGACGAACCTGAGCCTGAGAATGAGGAACTTGAGGGGTGCCAGTGGATTGTGAACCAGGATTTTGCGGTGCAGGAACTGTGTGTGGTCCTTGATTTGGCGCAGGTTGACTCACAGCAGCGACTGTGAGTTGTGTAACTGTTTGATTCTGCGCTTGTTGAGCTTGCATTCCCATTGTTGTCTGTTGATTTTGCTGTTGATTCTGCTGTTGCTGCTGCATCATCATTCGTAATTGTTGTTGTGACAGTTGCTGCTGCTGCTGCTGCTGTTGTTGCTGTTGTTGTTGTTGAGCATTCGCTGCAATTGCATTACCAGCGTTGCCTGGAATAATAATTTGCAAAATTTTCAAAATTCAAAATGGCGGATCCAATATGGCGAATGATTTTTTTTAAAAATTGATTTACTTGAAACTTGTAACTCAGGGCTCGATACATTTTTTGTAAAAAATAATTGTAAGGATAAGAAAATATCGTTACCATCCATACGTTGTCCGAAGGGAGAGATATTGAGACCCAAGGAAGGTGGCTGATTGAGTTGCGCCAAGAGTGCACTACCTGGAGTACTAGCCGGAGGTGCTGCACTAGGTGCAATGAATGGAGGTCCAGGTGGTCTCATTCGCCAATTGTGTGTCGCCCTTGCACTCATGCTCGATGGATGATAATTCGGAGGTGCATTAATTTGTGGATTGAAACTCGGTCTTCCGGCGCTCATTGGTGCGGCCATTGGTGGCGCTCCCGGCTGATGTACCGAGACAATATTCTGCGGCGCTTGATTTCGAAAAGCGGCATTTTGATTTTGCGATGGTTGCACGATATTTTGCGCAGCTTGATTTGTATTCGGACTGTCATTACTCTGCAATGGACTCAATGGAATTTGAGCTGCACTCGGCGCCGTTCCATGACCCGCACCACTAATTGGACTCACTGGTCGCTCTTTCAAATTATAATTTCTCAATAGAACCAAATGACGTGGATCTTTCGCGTAATTCTTCGTTTGTGACGATTGCAAATCACCGCCAGCTTTTTCAAATAGTTTAAATAAGGCAGGAATTTTTCGTGGCGAGAGAATTGAGAGATTGATGTTCCTCTGCATAGAAACAAAAATTGTGAAAATTAATTATTAATTAATAAATTAAAATTTTAAACACTAATGGTTTTACAGGGTTACCACGCTTTTGCTCATTTCAAATTCCCTGACTTTTCCAGGTTTTCCAGGTTAAAAAATGGAATTTTTCCAGATTCTTAAAACTACATTTATATTTAACAAAATTTTTAATTCAAACCTTTTTGAAATTAAACATCTTATAAAAAATTGTTAAAAAAAAAAGAAAATATCGATAACTACGAGTCTTCGACTCTGAGTCATCGATATCTTTATGTTTTATAATAATTAAAAATGACCGACTGATAAAATCATTATTTAAAATAAAATAAGAATATTGTAACTTATTCAAAATTACTTTCATCATTTTAATTCAATTATTGTTTTCCAAAATTTTTAACTAAAATTCTTCTTTAAATTAATTATTATTCATTATTATTAATAATTTTTAAAACATTTCTTTCAACATTTTCAAATCCTTTTGTTTACAATTCAATTTTACGAAATTTCATCGATTATTCAGGAATTCTTCAATCAAATATTAGAAAATAAAAACTTCAAATAACTTCAAAAAATTCAATTGAACTTTTTCAAAAAAATTAAATCTACACAACTTTCAGTTAAAAGTATGAAAAATTGAAACATTCAAAGATCAAAATTCAATTATCTACAATTTTAACTGAAATTCATATTTGAATCAATTATAATTAGAAAATTCTACGACAATTCAATTATTTAAATACAAAAATAAGTAATTTATTGAATAATTGAATATTTCTTTAAATTCAATTCCCATAAAGAATCGTTATCAACAAATTTTCAAATAATTGAATTCTATCAACGAATTTTAATAAAATTTTTAAGAATAATTACATTTTTCGAGAAATTCGATTCAAATTGTATTAAAAATAATTGAAATTCAGCAAAGAGTTTTATTATTTGTGAAAATAATTAAATCCCTAAAAAGAATTTTATTACTTTTAAACAATATTTAATTTTTGCGAAGAATATTATTACTCTTGAAAATAATTAACTTTTTGCAATAATTTCTAAATTTTACAAAATTGAATTTTTTTTCGTGTTTTTAACTAAACATCTTCCATAAATTTATTATTTTTAATAATTTTTGAATAACTTCTTTAATATTTATAAAAATAATTGAATCTCTGTAAAAATAAATTGAATATTTTTGAAAGTAATGGAATTATTGCAAAGAAATTTATGATCATTTCTTTTGGGAAATTTTATTAAAATAGTAGATATTGAAAATCATTAAACGGGGGAGAATTTTTGAAAAAAAATTGAATTTGTTAAAAAGAATTTCGTTAAAAATTTTGAAAATAATTGAATTTTGCAGAAAAATTTTAATATTTATAAAGATAATTGAAATTTTGACGATAATTTTTTTCAAACTTTTGCGACCATAATTAAATTTTTGCGAAGAATTTTTTCTACTTTTGAAAATAATTGAATTCTTCAGACGAATTTTATTAAAATTTCTTTTTAAATAATTGAATTCTTTTGTGAAATTTTATTGAAATAGTAGATATTAAAAATAATTGAATTTTAATAAATTGAACCGCCGGATCGTAGAAGGGCATATAGCCCATTTGAATTACATTGGCTATATGCCCTTCTACGATCCGGCGGTTCAATTATAGAAATTAATGAAATTTCTACGAAGAATTTTATTAAAATTATTTTGAAAATAAATTGAATTGTTAAAAAGAATTTCACTAAAATTTTTGAATATAATTGAATTCTTTCAAGAAATTTAATTAAAAATGTATTGACAATAATACTTAAATTCTAATAAATAAATTATAGGAAGGCTTTTTGAAATAATTGAATTTCTTTGATGAATTTTAATAAAAGTTTTACGAACAATATTACATTTTTCGAGAAATTCCATTAAAATTGTATTAAAAATAATTGAAATTCTGCAATGAATTTTATTATTTATGTAAATAATTAAACTCTTGGGAATAATTTTATTAAAACCTAAAAGAATAATTGAATTGTTTCAAAAAAAATTTTAATTTAAAATTGTATTTTAATTAATTGATTTCTTTTGAACAATTCGAAAATGAAAATAAATAAATTTGAACTCACATCCTGAAGGAGAGGAGCCAGTTGATCGATAGTGTGATTTGCAAATTTATAGGACTCTTGAACAACAGTGAGATAAGGAGGGGAATTACAGACTAAGATGCAATGTTTCTGGGCAGCAGTGTTTGGTTCTCGTCGCACTTGTAGATCTTCAAAACATTGCAATGCTGTCGCTAAACCCTCTGCTATATTTGCATGCGATTCACCCATTCCGCCCACCATTCTGTAAATAAAATTGTTCAATAAGAAAAAAAATAAATTAAAAAATAGAGATTACTTTGAAACATACTCCAATTTGTCCAAGGCAAGTAAAAGTTTGTGAGGATTTGCATAAGGACCAAGTGTTCCCGTACAGGGAGATGGTAAACAATCCGCGGCATGATAGACGACAACTCCGTACAATGTCGAAGTGTTCTGTAAAATATTAATAAATTTAATATTGTAATTTCTTCATGTTTTATAATCATTAAAACTTGATACTATCATTATTTTATATTATAAAAATATTGTTACTGTAATTTCTTCAAAATTATTTTCATTTCAATTCAATTCTTCATTTCTAGAATTTTTAACTAAAATTCTTCTTGAACTAAATTTTTTTTTTATAATTTTTGAAAAAGTTCTTTGAGAATTTCTAAATCCTTTTGTTTACAATTTACGAAATTTCGATTATTCTGACATTCTTTATTTAAATATTTAGAAAATAAAACTAGAAATAAATTAAAGAAAAATTCAATTAAACTTTTTAAAAAAAATTAATTCTACAGAATTGTTTTAATCAAAAAGTACGAAAAGTTAAAGTTTTCAAAGATTTTAATTTGAAATCTTTTTAAAATTCAATTATTTCTAAAAATTTACGCTATTAGCATTTAATATTCAATGATAGTGTAAAATTTTAACTGAAATTAATTTTTAAATCAATATTTATTAAAAAAATCCATGAGAATTCAATTATTGAAATACAAAAATGAATAATTTATTGAATAATTGAATATTTTGTAAAATTAAACCCTCAGAAAGAATTTTCTCAACAAATTTTTAAATATTTGATTTCTCTTGACAAATCTTAATAAAATTTTTAAAAATAAGTTCATTTTTCGGAAATTCGATTAAAATTTTAATTAAAAATAATTGAATTTCTCCAAAGAATTTTTTTTAAGTGTTTTTAATAATAATTGAAATTTTGCCAAGAATTTTATTAAAATTCTTGAAAATAATTGAATTCTGGAGAAAAATTTATAAAGATTATTGAAATTTTGATGAGAATTTTTGTAAATTATTCAACACAATTAAATTTCTGCGAAGAATTATATTAATTTTTGAAAATAATTGAATTCTTGAGACGAATTTTATTAAAATGTTTTTTTAAATAATTGAATTCTTTTATGAAATTTTATTAAAGTAGTAGATTTATTAAAAATCATTGAATTGAGGAAAGTTTTCTAAAAATAATTGAAATTTTGCGATAAATTTTATTAATATTTTTGAAAATAATTGAATTTCTAAGAAGAATTTTACTACTTTTGAAAATAATTGAATTTCTGCAATCATTTGTAATTGCTTCAAAATTCAATTTCCTTTAGTGTTTTTAATTAAAATTCTTCTATAAATCCATTATTTTCAATAATCAATTAAAAATATATATTAAAAAATTTAACTAATTTCAGAAGAATTGGAATAATTAAAATTTCTCAAAAATCTACGTTCTTTAAGACGATTTCTAATTAAATTCATTCAAAATTGAAATTTTACAAAATTTCAAATTAAAATCTTTTGAAATTCATCTGTACTTATGAAAATTGTAAACGCAACTCTTTTAAAATTTAATTAATTTTGAAATAATTATGTAGAATAAGATTTCAAGAATAAACTTTAGAAAATAACAATTTTCCAGGATTTCGATCAAAATTCTCCGACTTTTCCAGGTTTTTTCAAGGTTTATAAAATTCCCTGACATTTCCAGGTTTCCAGGTTGCGTGGCAACCCTGTAACATTTTTTGTACCATTTTATACCAATTTTTATATTACGTTTTGTAATTTTTCTAACTTTCTATAATTTTGACTCTGAAAGAATTTAATTCTTGTATTGAATTTTATTAAAATTTTTGGAAAATAATTGTATTTTTTTTTGAGAAATTCCATTAAAAAATGTATTGAAAATAATTGAATTAAAAAAAAATATTATTTATGAAAATAATTGAATTCTTGCACATTTTTTCGATGAATTAAATTAAAATTGTAATGAAAATAATTTAATTGTTATATGGAGTTTTATTAAAAATAATTCAATTCTCTTAAGAAATTTTATTTCAATTGTATTAAAAATATTGGAATTTCTGTGAAGAATTCAAGAATTTACTAAAATTTTCTAAAGTAAAATATAATAGTAATATTATTTAGTTAAAAAATAAATTTTTTGAAATTTTATATCCGAAATTATTTAAAAAAACTGACGTTGATTTTTGAAAATAAAAAATTTACCTCTGGTACATATTCTCGATCTTCTATTGTTCCTTGACTAAAGTATCTGTTGACAAAAATGTAAAATTTATTTTTAAATAAAAAAACATTGATATTCGTTTTTCTTACTTACTCTAATGTTGGAATGAGATAATTTGTCTTAAGATCATTCAGGTAAGCACCATTAACAGCAGTGCCTTCTATTACAAATATAATGTCAGCTTGGAGTCCATGATCGGTGGGAACGTTGACCATTTTAGTTTCAATTACCTATAAAATTATCATTACAATAATATACACTGTTAAACAAATTAATTAAATCAATTTTGATGTCTTGCAATAAAATCAATTTGCTTTATTGCAGAAGTATTGAATTTTTTTTGATAAATTACAATAACAAATTTTTAATTTTTTTAAATAATTAATGACAAAAATAACACAGAAATATATTATTTTATTAAAAAGGCAAAATTCTCCAAAATTCGAAATTTAAAACGAAAAAAATATTAAAATTTTCTTCTAAATGTTAAAAAATAATTATTTTTGTTACTTAATAAATAATTTGATAGTAAAATGATAAAATACACATTTTTTAAAATTAAAATTCCGTAAAATTAAAATTTTCGATATCGGAAAAAATTTGAGACGTGAGTAATTGTTTACAAATAAAATTGAAAAGCAGATGCAAAATGAAAAATTGCAAATATATTAATGATAATATTAAAATTATTATTATTATTTTCAGTCGTAATAAAAATGATAAAAATTAAGAAAATGCAAAGTAAGAAAAGGTTACGACAATAATTAAGTGAATTTTAATTAATAAGTAAATTATAAATTTTTGATGTGCTCATTTTTCAAAAACTATTATAAACATTAAATTTTTAGGAGAATGGAAAAATAGGAAATTTATGTGACATTGACATATATTTTATTCAGGACAAATATACATTTAAATTATAACAATATTCATTACTTTAGATATCGAAATTTACTATAATTATAAGAATTAAAAATCTTGTAACTTACTTATAATAAGGTAATTCCCTTATTTCGTAAAAAAATTGGGTTTTACTAAGAAAACCACTTTCTATAAATTAAATAAATTAAAACGTAAACAAAAACATTTTTTGGCTAATTCCTTGAATTGTAGGTTATGTTTGACTTATGTGTGTAAATACATTGAAAACCTCTGATGTTTCCAATTTAAAGGTGCAAGCACACCTGCGTTTATTATCAACAGAGATGGGCAGGAACGATTTGCCAAAAAATTTTATTGAAAATAGTAAAAATTATCGCCCACAGTTGGCGTTGAAAAATAGACTTTTCGCCTACAGCGCCAACGTTCAACGAATGAATTAATAAATTAACTCAAAATGTGAAATTCAGAAACACACATATGTGTGTTGTGTATATTTCTTGTGCGTGCTTGTACATTTTCCATCTCGCAGTTTGTGCCTGATGTGGTGTTTGTATAATAGGTTACTTGTGCACGAAAAATGACATTTCTGAACTTAAGAAACTATTTATTAAAAAATAAATAATAAGTGCCGCGATATTATTTGAATGTAAGTAACAAAATATTGTTACTGAAAATTCCAATTGTTTAACGATCACTGTGAGGTTAGGAGTGTGAAAAATTGTTGTGAATATTTTTTATGTTCAATGTTTGTCGTCCAACTGTTTTTAAATCACTATCAAGGTAATTATTGCGAAACTTTATTCATTTTTCTTTAAATTCTTATTATTCTTGGGATTAATGGGATTTTTTATATTTAAAACTTTCACATAACCTCATTTTAAGACACTCCCCCCCTCCTCTCTCTCAGTCACTCTCTCTCTTTTCCTCCCATGTTTTGACGTTTCGACAGATGCGCTCCTTTTGCAAAAAAAAAAAATATATTTTTTTTTTAATAAATATAGAAATCCTGAAATTTGGAAATATTACTTTATTCAGAAGTTGCAAAGTCGAACCCACCTTTTTTTTGAGGGGGAATTTCATTATTATTATTTTTTTCTTCTTTTTCATCTCTTTAATTTTTTTTACTGTGGCCTCCTCGTTACCGATGCCAAATGAGATAAGATTTCAAGAAGCTTCATCTCGATAAAGAAAAAAAAGTTACTGCATTTTTCATTCTTGACTTTTTAGTTTTTCTTCATAATTTTCATTTTTCTTTAAAAAAAAAAACTTTGTGTTTGTATTTTTATTTACTAAAAAATAATTTTCTCTTTAAATCTCTTTTGAAAATTGCTTTGAGGAAGTTTTTATGACTTTTTTCAACTTTATTCTTTATATATTTTGGCTCGTGTCGTGAAAAAAGGAAATAATTTTATTAACATAGAGAATAAAATTTTATACATGTAAACATTTTGTTTTCATATAATTCCATTATAGAAATATTACCGAATACTTTTTGTCGCTTAATTTATTTTTCGTAAAAAACACAATTTTATTTTGTCTAAATAATTCTTTCTTTGTCAACTTCTAAATACTTTTTTTCATTTTTTTTTCATTTTACACTAGTTTTCTTTTTTTTTTTTTTGTCAATAATTGAGAAACATTGTTTTCTATGCTTCGACAATGAATGTGACAATCGAGTGTGAACAAAGTTTACCTTTATATTTTCTTTTAGTAAATTATTTAATAAATAATTAATATCTAAACGTATAATCAATTTGGTAAAATTTAAAGTAAAAATAAATTTTAATGAGTTCGAGTTTTGTGAAAAAGAATTTTTCCGTTCACCTTGATACAGAAAACCAAGGTATATTTTTGTACCGTTCAGATCAGCTGTTCGAAAAGTAGAAAAACGTTAATGGTTTTTTTTCAAAAAATGTTTATCAATTTCACTTTTACTACCATTATTCAAATAATAATTTTATTTTATGATAATGATAATAATAATAATAATAATAATAATAATAGTAATTATAATCATATATTAATAATAGTAATAACGATAATAGTAATAATAATAATAATAATAATAATAATAACTTTTTGTCGACTTTTCACAAATTTTATTGAAAATAATTGATTTAAAAAAAAAATATTTCATTACATGTTTGAAAAGTCAAATTTTAAAGAATTTCATTTTTCCAAATTTTTAAAAATAATTGAATTCTCAAAAAATGTAATAATTCTCTTTCTGTATTTTTATTCAAAAAATTACAACCTAACCTTAAATTTTTTGCTTTTTAGGTACCTTTCTTTGGAGTGTGAGACAATTATATTATTAATAATTCAATAATAATAAAATTATAATTTATTATACAATTTTTTTTAAATGTTTTATTAAAATTTTTAAAAATACAATTTTTGAAGAATTTTATTTTTCCAAATTTTTAAAAATAATTGAATTCTGAAAAATTTTTATAAAAAATTTTTAAATGAAAATTAATGAAAATTATCTTTAAAAAATATATTAAAATATTTTTGATAATAGCAAGTCTTAGAAATTTTTCCATTATAATTGTTTTTTTAAATTAAATTATTATATTATATATTATATTATTTTAGAATTATTTAAATTTTTAGAAAAATCATGTATTTTTTAAAATTTTTTTATTAAAATTCTTCAAAAATTGAATATTTTCCAAAAATTCAGTTATTTTAAAAAATTTTCCCAGAGGCGCATGATTATTCCCCAAATGTCATTTTACCGAACTGTCATTTTAAGGAATTGCATTTATTCGAACTGTTATTTTAACGAAATGTCACTTTATTGCGAATCGCCATTTTTAAAAGTCATTTTTGCGAAATATCATTTTTACGAATTGTCATTTTTACGAATCGTTATTGTTCCGAAACGTCATTTTTTCGAATTGTCATTTTTACGAAATATCATTTTTGCGAATTGCTATTTTTATGAATTGTCACTTTTGCGAAAAGTCATTTTTGCGAATTGTCATTTTTACAAATTGTTATTTTTACGAAATGTCACTTTTGTAAATCGACATTTTTACGAATTGTCACTTTTGCGAAAAGTCATTTTTGCGAAATATCATTTTTACGAATTGTCATTTTTACAAATAGTTATTGTTCCGAAATGTAATTTTTTCGAATTTTCATTTTTGCGAAAATTGCTATAGTAAATCTACATATGCATACAAGTTTACTATAGCAATTATCGCAAAAATGACAATTCGCAAGAGTGACATTCCGTAAAAATGACAATTCCAAAAATGTCAGTTCGCATAAATGACAATTCGTAAAAATGATATTTCGCAAAAATGACTTTTCGCAAAAGTGACAATTCGTAAAAATGGTTATTCGCAAAAATGACATTTCGTGAAAATGATAATTCGAAAAAATGACATTTCGGAACAATAACTATTCGTAAAAATGACAATTCGTAAAAATGACTTTTCGCAAAAGTGACAATTTTTCTTAAGGTCATGTTATTCAGTGTGAAGTTTTTCCATAGTAAAATATATGGGGCATGTGACCAGTGAATAACGTAACCTTAAAATAATGAATAAAAAGGATAAAAAGTTAGCCCACTACGTCTATGTCATTATAATTGATAACAAATATCTAGCATATTAAAACTCTAGGAGATATGTTATAATTTTTCAGAACTTTCAAATTTTTTTTTTTTTTTTTTTTTCAAAATTTTCCGTTTTTACGAATTTTTTTTCTGTTAACTGACAAAGAATTAAATAATAACATTTAGTAACTAGAAGGTTTCTTGAGACGCTGATCATGAATTTAATGTCAGTTTTTAAAAAATTCCAAAATGGCAGATTTAATACGGCGGAAAATTTTATAAAAATTCATCAGATTCATATCTACAAAATATAAAATATTTGATAAATCGCAAGAAATTGCACAATTTTGTTAATTTTCTATATTTTATCTAAGTACATACATTTTTTTATTGATTACTTTTTTTTAGTTAAAGAAAAAGAATTGTATATTTTTAAATAAAAGAATTATCATTATGTGCTCTACTGAAGAAAGGTGAAAAGTACCTAAGACACAAATGTATTTTAAGGTTATGTTTGTGTTATTTTTACCTTAATTGAAAATTTCTGGAAAATTGGAGACAGTTTTTATTCATTATTTTAAATGTAATGAAGACTTAAATATCAGTGGTATATTTTTTTTATAAATTTTCATGTATTTTTCTTACAGAATGGAAAGGAGTATTGCATGAAATATGACATTAGGTATATTGAATAAAGAAGAGATAAGATGATCGCTACCTCTTCCAATTTGGAAGATGCTTGTAGGCAGGCACAGGTAAAAAAAAGACATTTATATTTAACTCTTATATTTTTTTAATACTTGTAAATTTTATTTTTTTTCATACATTTTTGAAAGAATAAGAAGCAAAAATAGTTTAATGGCTTACTTCTGAATTCTTTTCTATTCCAATTTTTATTTTCTTCCACATAATTATTCAGGGTTGCCACAAGTCAGGGAATTCAGGGATAAGTCAGGGAAAGTAAAATAGGTCAGGGAAAAGTCAGGGATTTTTACTAAAAGTACTGGAAAAAATTAAATTTTTTAAATTCATGAGCAAACTGAATTTTTTTTTCATTTTGCCTCGTAAACTTTGAAATTACTTACCACGAATTTTAATACAAAACCTTCAATTTTTTCTATTTCTGACAATAATTTCTTTTTAAATAACTTAAGTTTTCAAGAACTATCATAAAATTATGACTTATAAATTATTTTATGAATAATTTTTACAATTTTCATAAATTCTAGATTGATAGAAGAATTTTAGTTAAAAATACTAAAAAAAAATTGGATTTTGGAAAAGTTACAAATGATTACAGAAATTCAATTATTTTCAAAATTTACAAGAATTCTTCGCAGAATTTCAATTATGTTCAAAAATTTTAAAAAAATTCTCATCAAAATTTCAATTATTTTTATAAATAATAAAATTCTTCATCAAAATTCAATTATTTTTAAAAATTTTAATAAAATTCTTGGCAAAATCCCACAATTTAATTATTCAATTTTTAATACATTTCTTTGAAATAATTCAATTATTTTCATAAGTAATAAAATTTTTCACAGAAATTCAATTATTTAAAATACGAAATTTCATAAAATTTTTCGAAAAATATCAATTACATAAAAAGATTTTTATAACATTTTTTCAAGAATTCAATTATTTTTATAAATAATAAAATTCTTCACCGAAATTCAATTACTTTTATAAACTTGAATAAAATTCGTTGTAAGAATTTAATTATTTATAAAAACTTGAATAAAATTCGTTGGAAGAATTAAATTATTTTCAAAATTAATAAAATTCTTCGCAGAAATTCAATTATGTTCAAAAATTAAAAAAAAAAATAATGCTAAAATTTCAATTATCTTTATAAATAATAAAATTCTTCATCGAAATTCAATTATATTTACAAATTTTAATAAAATTCTTGGCAAAATTTCGTAGAAATTCAATTATTCAATTTTTAATAAATTAATTCAAAATAATTCCATTATTTTCATAAGTAATAAAATTTGCACAGGAATTCAATTATTTAAAATACAAAATTTCATAAAATTTTTCGAAAAATATCAATTATTCAAAAAGATTTTTATAAAATTCGTCGCAAGAATTTAATTATTTTAAAAAAATTTAACATAGTTCTTTTCAAGAATTAAATTATTTTTATAAATAATAAAATTCTTCACCGAAATTCAATTATTTTCATAAACTTGAATAAAATTCGTTGTAAGAATTCAATTATTTATATAAATAGTAAAATTCTTCACAGAAATACAGTTATTTTTATAAATTTGAGTAAAATTCGTTGGGAGAATTAAATTATTTTTAAAAGTAATAAAATTCTTCGCAGAAATCCATTTATGTTCAAAAATTAAAAAAAAAATCCTTGTTAAAATTCCAAGTATCTTTATAGGTAATAAAATTCTTCTCCAAAATTCAATTATTTTATGAAAATTTTAATGAAATTCTTAGGAAAATTTTAATTATTTTCATAAATATAATAAAACTCATAGCAGGATTTTAATTATTTTTTATAAAATATTTTAATCAAATTTCTCGAAAAATGTATATAATTATTTTTCAAAATTTTATTAAAATTTGTCAAATGAATTCAATTATTTAAAAATTTATTAATAAAATTCTTTATGAGAATTTAATTTTAACAAACATTTAATTATTCAATAAATTATTTATTTTTTAATTTAAATAATTGAATTTTTCTAGAATTTTCTAATAAAAATTGATTTAAAAATGAATCAACGAATAATCGATTTATTATTATTTATGAAAATAATTGAATTATTGCAACGAATTTGTTTGACATTTTTTTAAAGTAATTTAATTTTTTTGAGAAATTCTACTGCTTGTAAAAATAATTGAATTCTTGCGAAGGATTTTTTTAGGATTTTTGTAAATAATTATAACTTATTTTGAAAAATTGTATGGTAATTTAAATTATTACAAAACATGAAGAAGGCGATCAATTCGAGTCGAAGACTCGGAGTGATCACCTTCTTCATGTTTTGTAATAATTTTCTCATAAGTTGTTGAATTTCAAAAAGGTTTGAATTTGAATGTTTTGAAGAATTTTAATTCCTACAGAAAAATAATAATGATTAAATATTTATTTAAAAAAGAAGTTATTGATGTTTTTGAATAGTTTTACAATTAAAGAAATTTGTAAATGAATGTAATAGAACATTTTTTTTGAGTATCTAATAATTTTTAGAGTGAATCAAAATATTCTTTAAGGTAAGGGAAAAAGTGAAAATTTTGTCTGGAAATCAGGGAAAAGTCAGGGAAAAATAAAATTAAATATTTGTGGCAACCCTGTAAATTATTTTAACTGTCAAAAATAAAAAAATTGAATCTAAATTTTTTATTTTTGCTTTCGACGCGACGTTAAGCAATAAATTTTATAATGTATTTCTAGGTTATGTTAATAACGATTTTTTTATCAATAAACCAAATTAATCAAAGTTTTTCATTAATTTTATGAAGTTGTCAATTTGCTGAAAATTAAAATGATGTTACAAGTTTAATAATTTAATAACTTTCTATCGACAATTTTTTACTTTAGGAATTTTTTAATGCAATATTTTTAATTTCGGACTAGAAGATAACAAACCGATTTTTTTTCAACATTTTTAATTGCGGTCAAATAAAAATTTGTTGTTTTAAAAATTCTACCATCGTTATATTAGTTTGGATTAACTTTTGAATTTGTTTTGCTTCTATTTGTCAGGAATTAATTAACCAGGTTTCTAAAACCTGCAAAGACTCACTTCCGGGTCATGGTTTAATGGGAGACAAACTGCCATCTGCCCACAAGAAGGAGCAGAGCTATTCTAAACACACTATCCAGTCGAAACTTACTAGACTGTATTTTGAAGAACTATCGAAAGTACCGCATGCAACTCCGGCTTCAGTTCTGGTAAGAATCGTAATGCAATCACAGAAAAAAAAATGCAATTTCTCTAAAAATGTTCACTATAATTAATTTTTCTTTTCATTTAATAGAAAAATCTTCAAAATGAATGCGATCTCTTGGGGCGATTGGTCCAGCGTGAAAGTTTGCACACGCTAATTGTTAATTTGTATGCTAGCAACAAAGGATACTCATTAGGCGTAAGAAATAGGTGAGTTATTTCAAATGAAAACCAAAAATTGTCCATGAAAAATACTGAAATTATTATATTTTTTGTTTTTTTCAAATAGCGATAAAGGAAATCAATACGATAAGAATTCTCTGCTCTCGGAAACTCAGCTAATGGGTTACGAGCAAGGAGAATTTCTCTCTTGTATTGACAATGGTCAGCTACCGGCAATGCTGGCCGAGCAATTGGAATCGAGTCATTCTCATTTATTCTACGACGGTTGCATAATTGCCGAGGTTCGAGATTATCGCAGACATCACACAAAACCCGATATTCATCACGTTTTACTCAAACCAACAACTCAGGTAATTATGCTGTTTAAATATTAAGGAAGTAACTTATTGCTTTTTACATTTCATTCTTTAGAAGGGATAATGAAAAAAAAAACATCTGAAAATAGTCATGATTGTGGAGAGTCTTCGGCAATATTGGAAAATGTATAAACCATCGGTTTGTGAACACAAGTTCTCTTGATATAAATTCAAGCTCAAGAAAACAGAAATTATTTCAACAGATTTGCGAGAAGTATTAGAAGAACAAATAATAGATATTCATGATCATTTAGGAAGATGTCTGGTTATTGAATTTGAAGTTGTTGATGAAGAAACAAAAAGCATAATATTAGTAATTATTTTATTAAATGACAATGAAAAATAAAGATTCTATAAACTTATATTGCGTTATAAAAATGCAAAAGATGTGTAACCATCTGTGAAAAGATATTGGTGGCGCAGAGATCGATAACGACTCGTGTCATCTCTGCTTAGAAGACGGTATCTACGTGTGCTGTACAGGTCCTTGCAATTGTTCCGCCAGCAGATATTTTGGGGTGGGAAAGAAGTGAAGTCTTCGTTCTTCTTAAGGAACGAAATTCTTCTGAAGAAGAAATAAGACCCAACAAGGGTCCAGGTTTCCTACTATTTTACGCAATAGCTCACAAGTCAAGGGTGTTTTAACTTGTACCTGTGGCGCTTTAAATTACGCGAAAAACAGTTTTTAGTTTATTTATTCAATTTATTTAGATTATTTATTTGCAAGCATCACAGTTGGTCCCCTTTTCCCCCCTTATTTCAATTTTATCACCTTTTTTGACGATTTGTCAACTTTTCCCCCCTTTTTTTTGCTGATTTGATTCAAATAATTAAAATATAATAATTAATAGTTTTTTCTAGAAAAACAAAAATTCTAATACAAAACCTTGAATTTCTTTCCATTGCTGACAATAATTTCCTTTTAAATTACTTAATTCTTGAAGAACTATCATAAAATATTATTACTTAGAAATTATTTAATGAATAATTTTACTTAAATATTTTAAAATTAATTGAATTTTAAAAGAGTTGCGTTTTTGGAAAAGTTTCAATTTTCAAATGATTGCAAAAATTCAATTATTTTCAAAAGTAATAAAATTCTTCGCAGAAATTCAATTATATTTAAAAATTTTTCAAAAATTCTCGTCAAAATTTCAATTCCCTTTATAAATAATAAAAATTCTTCTTCAAAATTCAATTATTTTCAAAAATTTGAATAAAATTCTTAGCAAAATTTCAATTATTTACAAAAATTTTCCTAACTTCAATGTTTTTCAATATCTATTTTAATAAAATTTTCCAAAAAAATTCAATTATGTATTTAAAAAAAAATTTATTAAAATTCTACGCAAACGTTTAATTATTTTTATAAATAATAAAATAGTTTCACAGGAATTCTATTATTTATAAATTTTTTTTATAAATTTCTTAGCAATAATTCAATTATTTTCATTAATAGAAAAACTCATCGTAGAATTTCAATTATTTTTAGTACAATTTTAATCGAGTACCTCGAAAAATGTAATAATTTAAAAAAAAATTCATTAAAATTCGTCGAAAGAATTTAATTATGTAAAAATTTGTTGATAAAATTCTTTAGAAGAAATCAATATAAAGGAACATTTAATTTTTTAATATAAATTATTTATTTTTCTGTTCAAATAATTTTTAATAAATATTCTTAAATAAACATCTTAATAAATATTAAAATTCTTTCCGTAAATCCAATTATTTTCAAAAATTAAAAAAAAATTCTCCTCAACATTTTTAATATCTTTATCCTAAATAGCAAAATGCAATACTTCGCTAAAATTCAATTATATTCAGCAATTTTTATAAACTTCATTGTAAAATTCAATTATTTTCAAAAATTAATAAAATTCTTCGCATTAATTCAATTATTTTCATAAATTTTTAAATTCTTTTCAGGGATTTAATTATTTTGATAAATAATAAAATCATTCGAAAGGAAGTGAATTATTTTCATAAATAATAATATTCATCGCAAGAATTAAATTATTTTGAAAAGTTTTAATAAAATTCATTTCAATTACTTTCAAAAATTGTTTTTAATTCAATAATTTGTATATTTATTATTTAAAATTAATAATATTTTCTAAAAAAAATTCAATATGTTTAAAAACAATTTTGACAATTTTTCAATTATTTTTAGTACAATTTTAATCGAATACTACGAAAAATGTAATTATTTAAAACAATTTTATTGAAGTTCGTCGAAAGAATTTAATTATGTAAAAATTTTGTTGATAAAATTCTTTATGAGAATTCAATATAAAGGAACATTCAATTATTTAATAAAAATTATTTATTTTCATTTTATTTGTATTCAAATAATTGATTTCTCGTATAATTTTCCAATAGAAAAATTAATTTTAAAGTGAATTTCAGTTAAAATTTTACATAATGAATATTAAAATCATTCTAGAGTAAATTTTCTAGAAATAATTGAATTTTGATAAAGTTTCAAATTGAAATTGTGGAAAATCTGAATTTTTCATATTTTTTACTAAAAATTCTGTAGAATTAATTTTTTTCAAAAAAGTTCAATTGAAATTCTTCCAAGTTTTTATTTTCTAATATATATTTAATTGAAGAATTTCCGAATAGTCCAAATTTTGGAATTATAAAAAATTTGAATTATATATATGCAATTTTTATAAACAAATAAATTTGTCTCCCCTTTTTGAGGAAAAAAATTCCCCTTTTTACCTTTTTTGAGAAAAAAAGGTACTGTGATGCCTGTATTTGCTGTTTTTACGGAAGTTTACAATATTCAGGATTGCCACAGGTCAGGGAATTCAGGGAAATTAGAATTGCTCAGGGAAAATTCAGGGATTTTTAGTAAAAGTACTGGAAAAAATTTTTAAATTTATAAGAATACTCTGAATTTTTGTTTTTTTTTGTTTGCCTCATAAATTATGAAATTACTACGAATTCTTATACAAAACCTTCATTTTTTTCTATTTCTGACAATAATTTCTTTTTAAATAACTTAATTTTTCAAGAACTGTCATAAAATTATCACTTATAAATTATTTAATGAGTAATTTAACTTAAATATTTAAAAATTTATCGAATTTAAAAAAAATGCGTTTACAATTTTAAGAAATAGATAAACTTCAAAAGGTTTTAATTTAAAATTTTATAAAATTTTAATTTTCAATGAATTTAATTAGAAAATTTTAAAGAACTTACATATTTGAAAAATTTTAGTAATTTAAATTCTTCTTAAATTAGTTAAATTTTTAAATATATTTAAAATTTATTATTAAAAATATTAGATTTATAGAAGAATTTTAGTTAAAAATACTAAAAAAAAACTTAATTTTGGAGAAGATACAAGAAATTATTTAAAATTGTATTAAAAATAATTGAAATCCTGTGAAAAATTTTACTACTTGTAAAAATGATTGAATTCTTGCGAAGGATTTTATTAGAATTTTTATAAATAATAAAATTTTTATTTTGAAAAATTTTATGGAAATTTAAATTATTATAAAAGTTATTGAATTTCAAAAAAAATTAAATTTGAATTTTTTAAAAATCTTAATTCTTATGGATAATAATAATGATTAAATATTTATTTAAAAAAAAAGTCATTGATGTTTTCGAATAATTTTACAATTAAAGAAATTTGTAAATAAATGTAATAGAACATTTTTTTGAGTATCTAATAATTTTTAGAGTGAATCAGAATATTCTTTTTGGTCATGGAAAAAGTGAAAATTTTGTCTGGAAATCAGGGAAAAGTCAGGGAAAAACGAAATCAAATTTTTGTAACTACCTTGAATATTTTTTTTTTACTTTTATATATTTGTTTATTTATTTAATTTATTTTTTTTGCCCTTTTTTAATTTTATCTTTTGACTTATATATTTATTTAATTTATTTCCGATTTTTTATTGTCCCTTTACAATTTTATCTTTTGACTTTTAACTCTTGTTGCAATTAGTACCTAAGTTTGAAAAATGTATCTTGAAATCCAACTTTATTTGAAAGTGGAAAAAAAGTTCTTAGTTTTCTCTCTTTAATGTACTCAGAGTGTTCTTTCGGACGTTTCAACTCTGACGAGCAACGGAGAATGGAGTCACGAAGAAAGACTGGTGCTCGAGTCGCACTTGGTGGCAGCTACACAAGGTCCTCTATGCTTAGACCCAAATCCAATTCCCAGTCTGGCAACAACTCGACTTCAACAGTCAAGAGCCCTTCTTACCGACCATCAGTTAATGCGCCAAGCCAAAAAGTTTTCTCAGGTTCCTAACTATTTTTTATCTTGATCATTTTTACCAGAAATATTTCATTTTTGTACTAATGTTCTTTTTTTTTTATTTCTTTACAACCAGGTAACGGTAAATCGTAAGAGGAAATTGGAGCAATTGTCACAGCCCGAAGGTTTTACGATACAGGATTTAATGCAAAAGATCCGTGTAAAGAATGGAACACCAGTAGCTCACAACTGTCGAACGCCTTGTCTTGCCAATCCTCCTCTTTTGCCCCCGAGCTCACCACTTGAAGTCTTAAGGTGAAATTAAATTGTCTTTTTTTAAATCTACTATTTATCTTCTTTTTTTATTCTACTTCTATAAGTTGTGAATTGTATTGTCAACATTATATTACAATTATTGTATTTGCGTTTTTAGATACGCGAAGCAGCTGGAGCGACCGCGAGAAACTAAAGACTGCATGCCGCAACTTGTAGAAGAATATATATTAGAGACTGAAAGGGGCCAAGGACGAATCTACCACATAAAGCTCTCAATCCTACAAAGACTTTCCAATTTCGAGTACCTGGGAGAGCTCTATGTGGACAGAGATTATCGAGAGGGAGAAAAAAATGGATCGTCCTGCAGGTACGATTTACTTTTTGTTACGATTTACCGATTTACCTTCTTTTACTTTTCCTTAAATTTATGTCACTCTAGAAAAGATAGTTTAATTATTTGGTTCCTTTTAAATAGATTCACACTCGGTAATAGAGTCCTGGCTACCCAATATATTCAGCAATTTACAGAAATTTTCACTGAAGAAGGAAAAAAGAATGTTAGAATAAAACATGTTGTGCCGGGGCAGGTTCCTCGAGTTACGTGCACCCCAGGCATGCAACGTAGTCAACAACAGGTGACAATTTTCTCCTACTAATTTTTCTCCATTCAGTTAACACTTTAACAAAAAAAATACGTTATTTGTGTATGAAAACGAAGCATTTCTTAACTTACATTATTATTGAATTATTTTCCAGGCTCAACAGGCTCAATTGGTGGCTCAACAATTACAGCAAGCTCAGCAGGCTCAACAGGCTCAGCAGAATCAACACGTGGAGCAACAGGTATGTTTATGAAAACAGGGTTGCCACGCAACCTGGAAAACCTGGAAAAGTCAGGGAAATTTGATTGGAATCCTGGAAAACTATTGTTTTCTAAAGTTATTGTGCTCAATCTTGAAATCTAATTTTTCTTTAATTCAATTTTCTTGATTCAAATTTCTAAATTCACTTTTAAAAGAGTTGCCTTCACAATTTTTCTTCGCAATAATTCAATTATTTTCATAAATAATCAAATGTTTTTTACAGAGATTTAATTAATTTCAATTATTTTTAATACAATTTTAATGGAATTTCTCGAAAAATGTAATTATTCGTAAAAATTTGATTAAAATTCATCAAAGAAATTCAATTATTTCAAAAAGACTACCTATAATTTATTTATTAGAATTTAATTATTATTGTCAATACATTTTTAATTAAATTTCTTGCAAGAATTCAATTATTTTCAAAAATTTTAATGAAATTCTTTTTAACAATTCAATTTATTTTCAAAATAATTTTAATAAAATTCTTCGTAGAAATTTCATTAATTTCTATAATTTATAAAAATTCAATTATTTCCAATATCTAGGTACTATTTCAATAAAATTTCACAAAAGAATTCAATTATTTAAAAAGAAATTTTAATAAAATTCGTCTAAAGAAATCAATTATTTTCAAAAGTAATAAAATTCTTCGCAAAAATTTAATTATGGTCGCAAAAGTTTGAAAAAATTATCGTCAAAATTTCAATTATCTTTATAAATATTAAAATTTTTCTGCAAAATTCAATTATTTTCAAAAATTTTTTAATGAAATTCTTTTTAACAAATTCAATTTTTTTTTTCAAAAATTCTCCTCCACTCAATGATTTTCAATATCTACTATTTTAAAAAAAAATTTCAAAAAGAAACGAATTATTTTTAAATTTTTTTGATAGAATTCTAAGCAAACCTTTTATTATTTTTATAAATAACAAATATTTCACAGCAATTCAATTATTTACAAATTTTTTTATAAATTTCTTTGCAATAATTCCATTATTTTCAAAAATATTCAATTTATTTTCACAGAGATTCAATTATTTTTATAAATATTAAAGAACTTTTTCAAAAATTAATTAAAAATAATAAATTTATGGAAGATGTTTAGTTAAAAACATGAAAAAAATTCAATTTTGTAAAAGTTAGAAATTATTGCAAAAATTCAATTATTTTCAAGAGTAATAATATTCTTCGCAAAAATTAAATATTGTTCAAAAATAATAAAATTCTTCTTAGGGATTCAATTATTTTCACAAATAATAAAACTCATTGGCTGAATTTCAATTATTTTTAATACAATTTTAATCGAATTTCTCGAAAAATGTAATTATTCTTAAAAATTTTATTAAAATTCGTTGATAGAATTCAATTATTTGAAAATTTGTTGATAACGATTCTTTATGGGAATTGAATTTTAAGAAACATTTAATTATTCAATAAATTACTTATTTTTGTATTTAAATAATTGAATTGTCGTAGAATTTTCTAATTATAATTGATTCAAATATGAATTTCAGTTAAAATGTAGATCATTGAATTTTGATCTGTGAATGTTTGAATTTTTCATACTCTTAACTGAAAGTTGTGTGGATTTAATTTTTTTGAAAAAGTTAAATTGAATTTCTTTTAAGTTATTTGAAGTTTTTATTTTCTAATATTTGATTGAAGAATTTCCGAATAATCGATAAAATTTCGTAAAATTGAATTGTAAACAAAAGGATTTGAAAATGTTGAAAGAATTGTTTTAGAAATGATTAATATTAATTAATAATAATTAATTTAGAGAAGAATTTTAGTTAAAAATTTTGGAAAACAATAATTGAATTAAAATGATGAAAGTAATTTTGAATAAGTTACAGTAAAAATATTCTTATAATATAAAATAATGATTTTATCAGTCCGTCATATTTTCATGTTTTATAACAATTTTTAAAATTTTTTTATAATTTTAAAAAAAAATTTAATAATATTCTTGGCAAAATTTCAATTATTTTCAAGTAAAATTTTTCAAATAAAATTCAATTATTTTCAAGTAAAATTTTTCAAATAAAATTCAATTATTAAAAAAAAAATGTTGATAAAATTCTAAGCAAACATTAAATTATTTTCATAAATAATAAATATTTTACATGAATTCAACTATTTACAATTTTTTTATAAATTTCTTCGCAATAATTCAATTATTTTAATAAATTAATAATAACATTTTTTACAGAGGGTCAATATTATTTTCATGAATAATAAAACTCATCATAGAATTTCAATTATTTTTAATACAATTTTAATCGAATTCTTCGAAAAATGTACTTAATTATTCCTAGAAATTTTATTAAAATCCGTAAAAAAATCAATTATTTAAAAATTTATTGATAAAAATTCTTTATGAGAATACAATTTTAAAAAATGTGCAATTATTCAATAAATAGTTTTTTTTGTATTTAAATAATTGAATTCTCGAAGAATTTTCTAATAAAAATTTATTTAAAAATGAATTTTAGTCAAAATTTTAGATAATAATTGAATATTAAAAACATTAAGTAAAGCATTAATTTTTTTAAATAATTGAATTTTGAAAAGGTTTTAAATTAAAATCTTTGAAAATTTTGAATTTTCATACTTTTAGTTAACAATTCTGTGAAAATAATTTTTTTTTTAAAAGTTTAACTGTGGATTTTTTTGAAATTATTGGAAGTTTTTATTTTCTAATATATTTAATTGAAGAATTTACGAATAATTGAAATTTTGGAAAAATTAATTGTAAACAATTGAATTTGAAAATTCTCAAGGAACTTTTGCAAAAATTATTGAAAATAATTGATAATTGAATTCTTTCGAAGAATTTTAATAAAATTTTAGAATAATAATGACATTTTTTGAAGAATTTATTTAAAATTGTATTAAAAATAATTGAAATGCTGTGAAGAATTTTTTTATTTAAGAGAATAATTGAATTTTTGCAACGAATTTTACATACATTTTTTTTAAATAATTGAATTCTTTTGATTTTTATTAAAATAGTAGATTTTTAAAATATTTGAATTTCAGCGAAGAATTTCATTATTTCTGAAATGTAATTGAATTCTTGCAAAAAAAATTTTTTTAAATAATTAAATTTTTCAAGGAATTTATTTGAAATTGTAATAAAAATTATTGAATTCTTATAACGAATTTTATTAAATTTTTTTAAATAATTGAATTCATGTGAAAAATTTTATTACTTGTAAAACTAATTGAATTCTTGAGAAGGATTTTATTAAAATTTTTTGTAAATAATTTAATTATTTTTTTTTGAAATACTTTATGGAAATTTAAATTATTATAAAACATGAAGATTTGTGACAAAAAAAGATACTTTTTTCTATGTTTGAGAATTTTAAACACTACGACGATATATTTTTTTTTTTGGGGAAAAAAGAATGATTGTTTGTATTAATAAATTTTTAGATTCTTTCGCGCGCACAAGGCCAGCTAAATAATTTAGCTGGACAAGTGACTTCCATGAAGGCCGCTATGGAGGCCTCAACGTCAGCGCAAGTGAATCTCACTTCTTCCGATGCCGCGAATGTTATTCAAAATATACCTCAATTGGAGACAATTGGTAATGTCAATGCGGTGATTCAACCTCTTGCCAATGGAGGACCCAGTGCACCAATTCCGGTACAAATTGACGCATCAACAATGTCGGCTGCCACTGATCCTACTCCCTGCAATGGATCTGGAATTTTTGTCTTTCAACAAAAGCAGCCCACTCCCATTAATAATGCAACCACCAATGTTCCAATTTTGGTGAGAAAATTTTACATATTTCTTCTTTTATGTTTAAAATGATGAAACAAAAAAGATATTTTTCTCTGAAAATTTTCAAGGGGGAAAAATGTTTAAAAGAAAGATTTAATGAATATTGTGTTATATTTCTCAGCAAGCACAACTGCAAGCTGGTACGCAGAGCAACATTGTCGATACGAGCCAAAGTTCGAATAAAGATTCTTTCAAAAATCCTTCGATCAATCCAGAAATAAGCGCTATTGTCAATTCACTCATGAATTCAACTAAAGAATATCAACAACAAGTCGCAGGTATATATATTGTTAATTATATTTAACTTTTAATTTGTTTATCATTGATATAAAATTGTTGTAAATTGATTTACAGCGTTTGCAGCGGCAGCTGCCATGAACAATAATGCGCAAGCTCCTCCAAAATCGAACAATGCTGCAATTATCAGTTTATTGAATAGCAACCCAGTGAACATAGCGCCGCAGAAGTCACAGCCAAGAAGGATCTCTTTAAATGCTTCCATTCCTCAGAGAGTAATAAGCCACGGCAATGTGATAACCGTACCAAATACCACCGGTCAGGTAAGATGTCAACTACTTCTTCTAAAGGTTTCCTATGAGTTGGGCAATGATTTTTTTTCTCAATTTACTAAAAATTAACAATTTTTCTTTAAAATTTTTAATAAAATTTACTAAAATTTTATGTAAAAATTGAATTATTTAAAATACAATTTTAATTGAATTCGGCAGGGTTGCCACAAAATATTATTTTTTTTTATTTAAATAATTGAATTTCTGTAGAATTTTCTAATAAAAATTGATTTAAAAATGAATTTCTGTTAAAAACAAATGAATTTGAAAAATCTTAAAAAACTTTTTCCAAAATTATTAAAAACTAGCAAATGGTAAGCGCGGGGAATTCAATTCTCGTTTATTATTATTTAAAAATTTTAATAAAATTTTTCGCAAAAATTTCATTATTCTCATAAATAATATTTTTTAGAGCGATTCAACTATTTTCAATACAATTTTAATAAAATTTCTCGAAAGAATACAATTATTTTCAAAATAATAATAATTAAATTCGATTTTTTTCAAAAATTTTATTATAAATTCAATTATTTTCCACAATTTTGATGAAATGCTTTTTTAAAAAATCATTATTATCAAAATTTGTAGTAAAATTCCTTAAAAAAAAAGTCCAATTACTTTTAGAAATTCTGATAAAATTCTTCTAAACAATTCAATTATTTTTAGAAATTCAGATAAAATTCTTTGAAACAATTCAATAATTTTTGTGAATTGTAAAATCCTTCGCAAGAATTCAATTATTTTCAAAAATAATAAAATGTTTCAGAAGAATTCAATTATTTTCAATACAATTTTAATAAAATTTCTCGAAAGAATACAATTATTTTTAAAAATATTTTTTAAACTCAATTAGTTTCAAGAGTTTTAATAAAAAATTCAATTATTTTCAACAACTCTGATAAAATTCTTGGCAAGAATTCAATTATTTGTGTAAATAATAAAATTCTTCTGAGAAATTTAATTATTTTCAATACAATTTTAATTAAATTTCTGGGGAAAAATTCAATTATCTTGAAGAAAATTTTAATAAAATTCCTCTAAGAGGTTCAATTATTTTTAAAAATTGTAATCAGATTTTTCTAAACAATTCAATTATTGTTCTCAAAAGTTTTTAATAAAATTCTTTGTAAATTTCAAGTATTTTCAAAATTTTCAATTAAAATTACTTTGAAAAATTACATTATTTTTACGAAATTTAGTGAAATTCTTAAAGACAATGTAATTATTTACAAAAATTCTAATAAAATTGTTTAAAAGATTTTAATTTTCTATGAATAATTTTAATACAGTTTAATACGAAAATCGATAATTACAATTAATAATAAACACAATTATTTTAAAAACTTAAAAGAAATTCTTAAAATTTAATTAGTTTCAAAATTTTCAGTAATAATTATTAAAAAAAACTTCATTATTTTCAAGAAAATTAAAATAAATTCTTTAAAACAATTAAATTATTTTAAAGAATTTTAGTAAAATTCTTGCCAAGAATGAAATTATTTTCAATACAATTTTAATTACATTTTCTCGAAAGAATTCAATTATTAAAAAAAATGATGATAACATTCTTGAAATTAATTCAATTATTTTCAAATTTTTTTATAAATAGATAATTTACAAGAATTCAATGATTTTCAGTACATTGAAAATTTAATTATTTCTGAAAATAATTGAATTCCAGTAAAAAATGTACTATTTATTGATAATTATTGATATTATTATTATTGATATTACTATTCTTTCGATGAATTAAAAAAAAAATTTTTTTTAAATAATTTAATTTTCCCTGGAATTCAATTAAAATTGTATTTAAAAAAATTGAATCCTAGTGAAAATTTATTACTACGCAAACATTTAATTATTTTCAAAAATAATAACATTTTTTATACAGGAATTCAATTATTTTCATAAATAATAAAACTCATCGCAGACTTTCAATTATTTTTAATCAAATTCCTCGAAAAATGAAATTATTCTTAAAAATTTTATTAAAATTCATCAAAGAAATTCAATTATTTTAAAGACCTTTGCTACAATTTATTTATTAGAATTTAAGTATTATTTTCTATAAAGTTTTAATTAAATTTCTTGAAAAAATTAAATTATTTTCAAAAATTTTAATGTAATTCTTTGGAACAATTCAATTTTTTTTTCAAAATAATTTTAATAAAATTCTTCGTAGAAATTTAAATAATTTCAAAAATTTGGCAAAATTCAATTATTTTCAATGTCTGCTATTTCAATAAAATTTCATAAAAGAATTCAATTATTTAAAAAGACATTTTAATCAAATTCGTCTCAAGAATTGAATTATTTTCAAAAATTAATATAATTCTTCGCAGAAATTTAATTGTGTTCAATAATTTACAAAAATTCTCGTCAAAATTTCAATAATCTTCATAAATTTTTCTCCGGAATTCAATTATTTTCAAAAATTTTAATAAAATTCTTAGCAAAATTTCAATTATTTTCAAAAATTCTTAAAAAAAATTCTTTCGAGAAATTCAATTATGTTTAATTAAAATTTTAATCAAATTTCCGAAAAATGAACTTATTTTTAAAAATTTTATTAAGATTTGTCAAGAGAAATCAAATGTTTAAAAATTTGTTGAGAAAATTCTTTCTTAGAGTTCAATTTTATGAAATATTCAATTATTTATTTTTGTATTTCAATAATTGAATTCTCATGGATTTTTTTTAGTAAATATTGATTTAAAAAATTAATTTCAGTTAAAATTTTACATTATCATTGAATATTGAAAGCTAATAGCGTAAATTTTTAGAAATAATTGAATTTTGAAAAGATTCCAAATTAAAATCTTTGAAAACTTTAACTTTTCGTACTTTTTGATTAAAACAATTCTGTAGAATTAATTTTTTTTAAAAAGTTTAATTGAATTTTTCTTTAATTCTTCAAGTTTTTATTTTCTAATAAATACTTAGTTGAAGAATGTCAGAATAATCGAAATTACAGTTTTTGGAATTAATTAAATTGCATCAGGTTTTTCATTGCAATTGTTTGAAATTTTAATTCCTGTGGAAAAATAAATATGAATAAGTTTTTAAATTTTTGTTCAAGAAAGTGTATTGAAATTCTGAATAATTTAATTTAGAAATTCCAAAAAAATTTGTTTCTTAAAAAAATGCCATTCAATTTTTTTTTTAAAGTAATTGTAATTTCCGAACATAATTTTAAAAAATTGAAAATTTTGTCTTTCATTAAAATCAATTTTATATTTCAATGAATTTTATTCGTTTACTCTTAAAAATTAGTTTGAAATATAATTGTATTTTTGAGAAATAGAAATTTGATGAAATAGGCGAATAATAATTAATAAATAATAATTTTTTCAGATGAGGGTGAATTTCAGTTCGGCACTTGCTAGTCAGTTGGTAGGTAAACAGCAACCGGTGAAAGGAGCAACAGTGCGTCTCGCTCGAGTTCAAGATTCAACGCTCGGATTATCAATGCCCGGACTGTCGGCTCTCCTTGCCGGAACACCGTCGGCTGACAATCCAATTCCTGGGATAAACAGTGCCTCGTCCTTATTGGAAAGACTAACGGCCTCATCGAGTCAGGGGAGCCAACCAACGAGTCCTATGACGAGTCCACCACCTGCCAATGTCAATCTTCAGGGCGTCAATTTAGCTAATTTACCCAATTCCATCAATGGACTTCAAAATGTCCAGGTAATGAGGACTTTTCAAAATATTTTCGCTTTGGGTTCGTTTTTTTTTTATTTTTCATTTATTTTATCTAGAGTGTAAGAACACTCTAGAGAAAATGAATTTCTTCATTTTAGTTTAATTTAGTTGTTTTCTATTCATTAAAACGTTAATTTTATAAAAGAGTAAAAAAAATTGGGAGGCTAACTGACAATGTTTATTTTTAATTTAAAGGTATCGTTTCCTGGTTTATCTCAACCGATCACAATGTCCTTAAACGTTTCGGCAGCAACGGGATCCGTCGCACCCACAGGAGTTATCGTTTCTCTTCCCATTTCATCAGCAACAAATACTTGCACCACTGTTTCGAGCGTGAGTTTCACTTTTTCCTGTTTTTTCACCAACGAATTGAATTTGAGAATTTAAGAACAAAATTTCCGAAAAATTCAAATACATGTAAATAATATTAAAATTTTTTTAAAATTATTTTTAACATTTTGGACGAAGCAATCTTGTTCAAAATTTTTTAATTTAAATTCTTGAAAAAATTATAATTAGTTTTCTTGCAATTATAAAAAAAATTCTCAATTGTTTTCGAAAAATTACATTACACTATTTTTAAAAAACTAATTAGTCTTAGAATTGTTGGGGAAAAAGTGGACAATTTTTTTTTAAATGGAATTTTACAGATGGTGGCTGCAACCGTTGTCACGACAGCAATTGCCGGAACTACGCCAACGGTCGTAATTGCAAATCCTGCCAATACTCATTTATCGTTACCAATCGGTATGTTGTACTTCTATTCTAAAATATTTTAATAGTAAATTATTAATAAAATTAATTATATTATGAAAATAAAAACTTTTTTCATATTTCTTCAGCTCAAATTATTCAACCGGGGGTTAAGGGCATCTCTCAACAGAATATACGTAATACAAGTGCCGTAACTCTCTCACAGGTAAATTTAACACATTTTCTATTATTATATATTGTTATTTATTTATTTATTTACTTAACTGAGGAAGGCAAAATAAAAGAACATTGTCTCCTGTTTTCAGGGGGGTCAGGCCATTCAACTACTTGGTTCGCCAAGGCCTCGCTTTAGTCAAATGGCTCGACAAGGTCAATCGAATAATCAAGGAAAGACGACAGTTTTACCAAATCAATTGGTAACAGTAGCGAAATCAATGTCGGCGAGCCAATTGATTTTAACTGGAAATAAACAAGTTTTAACTCCCATAATGGGTAAGTTCACTAAACGGAATTAATTTACAATTTATATTTATTTTACCATTTGTGATCAACTATGAAGAAATAAGGGACCTAAGAGGAAAAAAAATTTTAAGTTATGTTTGGAATTTTTATATTAAAAATAAACAAAGAGAGATCAACTCTCAATATAAATCACTGATATTGAAATCTATTACATCTAAAATAATTCAGGGTTGCCACGCAACCTGGAAACCTGGAAAACCTGGAAATGTCAGGGAATTTTGATTAGAATCCTGGAAAATTATTGTTTTCTAAAGTTGTTGTGCTTATTCTTGAAATCTAATTTTTCTTTAATTCAATTTCAAAAGAGTTGCCTTCACAATTTTTCTTCGCAATAATTCAATTATTTTCATAAATAATATAATTCATCGCAGAATTTCAATTATTTTTAATACAATTTTAATGGAATTTCTCGAAAAATGTAATTATTCGTAAAAATTTTATTAAAATTTATCAAAGAAATTCAATTATTTTAAAAATCCTTCCTAAAATTTATTTATTAGAATTTAAGTATTATTGTCAATACATTTTTAATTAAATTTCTTGAAAAAATTCAATTATTTTCAAAAATTTTAATGAAATTCTTTTTAACAGTTCAATTTATTTTTAAAATAATTTTAATAAAATTCTTTGTAGAAATTTCATTAATTTCTATAATTTATCAAAATTCAATTATTTTCAATATCTACTATTTCAATAAAATTTCACAAAAGAATTCAATTATTTAAAAAGAAATTTTAATGAAATTCTTCTGAAGAATTCAATTATTTTCAAAAGTAATAATATTCTTCGCAAAAATTAAATTATGGTCGCAAAAGTTTGAAAAAATTATCGTCAAAATTTCAATTATCTTTATAAATATTAAAATTTTTCTCCAAAATTCAATTATTTTCAAAAATTTTAATGAAATTCTTTTTAACAAATTCAATTTTTTTTCAAAAATTCTCCCCCATTCAATGATTTTCAAAATCTACTATTTTAAAAAAAAATTTCCAGAAGAAATTAATTATTTTATAAATTTTTCTGATAAAATTCTAAGCAAACCTTTTATTTTTTTTATAAATAACAAATATTTTACAGCAATTCAATTATTTACAAATTTTTTTATAAATTTCTTTGCAATAATTCCATTATTTTCAAAAATATTCAATTTATTTTCACAGAGATTCAATTATTTTTATAAATATTTTAAAGAACTTTTTCAAAAATTATTAAAAATAATAAATTTATGGAAGATGTTTAGTTAAAAACACGAGAAAAAATTCAATTTTGTAAAAGTTAGAAATTATTGCAAAAATTCTTTTTTTTTTAAGAGTAATAATATTCTTTGCAAAAATTAAATATTGTTCAAAATTAATAAAATTCTTCTCAGGGATTCAATTATTTTCACAAATAATAAAACTCATTGCAGAATTTCAATTATTTTTAATACAATTTTTATCGAATTTCTCGAAAAATGTAATTGTTCTTAAAAATGTTATTAAAATTCATCAAAGAAATTCAATTGTTGTAAAAACCTTTGCTACAATTTATTTATTAAAATTTAAGTATTTTTTCAATATATTTGTAATTTAATTTATTTAAAGAATTAAATTATTTTCAAAAATTTGACAAAATTCAATTATTTTCAATGTCTACTGTTTCAATAAAATTTCCCAAAAAAATTCAATTATTTGAAAAGGAATTTTAATAAAATTCGTCTCAAGAATTCAATTATTTTAAAAAATTTTAATAACATTCTTGGCAGAATTTCAATTATTTTTAATACAATTTTCATCAAATTTCTCGAAAAATGAAATTTTTTTTATAAGTTTTATTAAAATTCGTCAAGGGAATTCAATTATTTAAAAATTTGTTCATTAAATTCTTTATGAAAATACAATTTTAAGGAACATTGTTAAATAATTGAATTCTCGTTGAAGTTTCTAATAAATATTGATTTAAAAATGAATTTCAGTTAAAATTTTAGATTATAATTGAATATTGATCTTTGAATGTTTGAATTTTTCATACTTTTAACTGAAAGTTAAAATATTTGAAAATATATGAACTTTTCATACTTTTAATTAAGAATTTTGTAGAATTAATTTTTTTCAAAAAATTTAATGGAATTTTTTTTAATTATTTGAATGTTTTAATTTTTAATATATTTAATTGAAGAATGTCAGAATAATCGAAATTTCGTAAAATTAAATTCTAAACAAAAAAATTTGAAAATTCACAAAGAACTTTTTAAAAAATTATTAAAAAAATATTGACTTAAAGAAAAATTTTAGTTGTAGCAAGCTTTAATTATTATAAAACATGAAGAAAGCGATCAGTCCGAGTCGAAGACTCGGAGTTATCGATATCTTCATGTTTTATAATAAATATTCTTATACGTTATTGAATTTAAAATTTTTGAAAATCCTAATTTTCTATGAAAAAATAATAATGATTAAATATTTACTTAAAAGTGAAGTTATTGATGTTTTCGAATAATTTTCCAATTAAAGAAATTCGTAAATAAATGTAATAGAACATTTTTTTGTATCTAATTATTTTGCGAGTAAATCAGAATATTCTTTAGAATCACGGAGAAAATCAAAGTTTTGTCTGGAAATCAGGGAGTTATTTAATTTGGTAAAATATAAATTTAGTTTTAAAAACCTGGAAAAATTTCGTTTTTCAACCTGGAAAACCTGGAAAAGTCAGGGAATTTGAAATGAGCAAAAGCGTGGCAACCCTGAATAATTAATAAAATTTGATTTAATTAAGTTAGAAATAAAACAAAAATAATTTTTTATTTTTAAATATATTATTATTTTATTTTCATTTATTTTATTAGTCTGGAATGAATGATTGATTTTTAATTAATTTTACTTTCGTTCAGCGGCCTCGAAACCGATGCTGATGACCTCACAGACATCGCCTTCTTCCCAAGCTGTACCTGCTAATAAACAAACTCTACTTACAAAATCATTGCAAGCCAGAACCGCTTCCACTGGTCAATGCAGTTCGCAGACACAAAGTTTAAACGTTGCTGGACTGTCGCCACAACAGGTAGGAATTTTCAAGACTATTTTACAATATTTTTAAGCCTAAGAAATTTAGTTTTTTACATTTTTATGATTTAGGGTGTTGGAGCAAGAAAGGTATTTAGAAAGTGGTGGTCAAATGTTATACTTTATTTAAAACGAATGTTTATCGTTTATGAAACATTGATCGTAACTGCAAAAGAATATCAACAAAAATTTTTTTTTTTTAATATCAATGTTTTAATATTTTATCAAAAAAATGCGGTAGTTTAAATGTAACATAATTTTTTTATGAAATTAAAATATGTATTTATGTATATGAGATGTGGCAATGTTATAATTTTATTTTTTTAACATTTTCAGCATAAAAACAATATTGTTTTAATAAAAAAATGCTTCAAAAATGATAAAAATAAATTTTTTTTTGTAGATACAAAACTATATTTTCTACAAAATTACGAATGGATTTTAAAATCTATCAATTTTTAAGAAAAATGTCAGAATATTTTCTGACAAATTGATTTCCTCTCAAAAAATTACTATAAAAATAATTTTTTGGAAGATTTAATTTTCTTAATATGAAAAAAGGCAGTAATTAATTTTTTTTTATTCAGCTCCAGCAACTTCAGCAAATAGCAGCGCAACATAAAGCAACCTTAGCTGCTGGAAATTCTCCCAGTCGAAGTCACCTGCAACCACAGCGAAATACAACATCAGGTGACGATCCTCTCTGAATTGGGGACAATTTAAAAATTGGGAATTGGCTTTGTGCACGCGGCAATATTTTAGCCTCACTTTTGTTAAAAAAAAAAAGTGAGACTACCGGTGTTTCCACCAATCATATTTCCAAAAAAAGCAACTAAAAAAAAAAATTCTATCTATTTTTGAATCACTGAAACGCGACCTTCGAAAATCTATACATTATTATTAATATTATTATTATTAATTATTAATATTATTATTATTAGAGACACTATGACAAAAGGAACGAAAGTATCAAATGCGTGTGCAATAAGTGTGAAAAACGACACTATGTGTATCGACTTTTTTGCCTCGCGCTACTGTACTTCGAGGAAGGTTTCAATTATTGTAGATAACATATTATACATATAATATACTATTTGTTTTATATTAAAAGAAAAGAAAATTTCATTTCATCTTCCTGAATTATGAGAAAATTAAAATTTTATTTTGGCAAAATTGTCAATTGTATATTTAATTTTTTTTTAATTTAAAAAAAACTGTTTATCTAACATTATTTTTAAAATATTTAGGTTCTTTTCTGTATTTGTTTCTAGAATGATGATTTTTAGCCCAAAATGAAAAAAAATGCTTCGATTTTCAGACGTGGTCCAACCTTGACTATAAGGGTCCAACCTTGACTCCTTTTTCTTTTTGAAATATTTATTATTTTTTCATTTGCAGACCAATCAATTAATTTCAGAGATCCAAGCTTCGCATCCAATAATTTGTTTTAAAAATGTAGTTTTAAGATTGAAACAAAATTATCAAAAAGTAACATTAAGACGGAAAAAAGTAGCTACTATCGAAAAAGTAAATTTGGCAACTAAAAAACATATTTTAAACAATTCACAAAATTTATAAAAATTTCCGTCTGTATTTGTCTGACATTTTCCTGGTGATAACGTAAATTCTGAATTCATCTAAACTTCAATTATTTTCCAAACTCTTAGTTGTAAATTTTAGAATTCTTCAAAAATTCGATTTTATTTCAAAATAATTTTTAAAAGTAAGAAAATTAATTTTTTTGAAACATATAAAATTTATTTCAAATTAAATTTGACAAAATTTTCCATTATTTGGAAATTTAAATAAATATTTTCAATTTTTCTTAATTTTAATTAAAATTTTTAAAAAGACAAATTCATTTTTGATAATTATTAAATTAAACTACAAGCAAATGATACGCGCGGAACATTTTATTTAATTTATTATTGTCATGCAAAGTACAAAATTTTTTATTTTCTAATATAAATTTTTAAAAAATTTCGTAATCAAAATTTTTAAAATTCACTTATTAAGTACAAAATTAATTATTATTGTTTATATTTTCAACAATTTTAATATAATTCTTCGCAAGAATTCAATTATTTTTTATATAAATAATAACATTCTTTGGAAGAATTCAATTATTTTTATAAAATAGTAAAATTCTTCGCAAGAATTCAATTATTTTTTAACAAAATTTTGTTAAAATTTCACGAAAAAATTCAATTATTTTCAAAACAATTTTAGTTGAATTCCTCAGCAGCATTCAATTATTTTCAAATATTTCCATAAAATTCAATTATTTCCTAAAATTTTACTAAATTTTTTAAAACAATTCAACTATTTTTATAATTATACTAAAATTCTTTGCAGGAATTAAAATTATTTTTATTCCAATCTAAATCAAATTACACGAAAGAATTTAATTGATTTCAAAAATTTCCATAAAATTCAATTTCAACAAGAATTTAAAAAATTCTCTCTAAAAATAATTCAATTATTCTCAAAATATTTAAAAAAAAATTCTATATGAAAATTAAATTACTTTTAATGCAAATTTTTAAATATATTCGTCAAAAAAAATGGAAAGAATTCAATTATTTCAATTCAATTATTATTATGGGTAAGTAATAAAATTCTTCGCAAGAATTAAATTATTTTTATAAAATAATATAATTCTTCTCAGGAATTCAATTATTTTCAATACAATTTTAATAAAATTCTTCTTCATAAATAATTTAAATGCTTTCAGAATTTTCAATTGAAATTATTAAAGAAATTCCATTATTTAAAAAAAAAATTCAAAAAAATTATTCAATAGAATTTTATTAGGATTTTTAAAACTTTTAATAAAATTCATCGCGATGAATTTTATTATTCTCGAAAATAATAATTAAAAACTATTATACCTGAACAAATTTTGTAAAAATTTTAGAAAATAATTAATTTTTCCAAAGAATTTTATTAAAATATTTAAATAATTGATTTCTCTTGAAAAAAATTCTTGAAAATTGAATTTCACAAAATTGAATTGTTTTGAAAATTTTATTATATTCATGCGAGTATTATTTGAATTTCGGCTTTGAATTTTATTAAATTTTTGAAAATTTAAAAATAATTAAAAGACTTCAAAGAATTGAATTAAAATTTTGTTGAAAATAATATTGAATTCCTTTGAAGAATTTTATTATTTATGAAAATAATTGAATTCTTTCGAAGAATTTTATTAAAATTATATTTAAAATAAATTGAATTCATCTAAAAAACAAAATTGTTTTATTTATAAAAACAATTGAATTTCTACGAAGAATTTATTAAAACTTTAAAAAATGAATTCTTGAAGATTTTTCCGACGAATTAAATTAAAATTGCATTGAAAATAATTCAATTCGTATATAGAATTTTATTAAAATTATACTTAAAATAATTGAATCCATCTAAAAAATAATTGTATTATTTATCAAAACAATTGAATTTCTACGAAGAATTTATTAAAATTTAAAAAAAATGAATTCTTGTAATTTTTTTCGACGAATTAAATTAAAATTGCATTGAAAATAATTCAATTCATATATAGAATTTTATTAAAATATTTAAATAATTTATTTCTTTCGAAAAAAATTCTTAATTTTAATTTTATTTCACATAATTGAATTACTGTGAAAATTTTATTATTCATATTATTTTGAATTTTATTAATTTTTTTTTATAAATAATTGAATTCTTTTGAGAAATTTTATTAAAATATATAAATTTTTTGTATATATGTAAATAAATAAAGAAAATAATAGATATATTGAAAATATTTGAATTTCATTAATTGTGAAAATAACAGAATTCTCGCAAAAGATTTTTTAAATAATTGAATTGTGTCAAAGAATTTTATAAAAAAAATGTTTCTAATTGCTTCTAAGAAGAATTTTATTGAAACAAAAAGGAATGTGTTTAGAAACTATTTAATATGTACATACACACACACACACACACAGAGGATAAAAGAATTTTCTGTACAGAAATGATATACAAAATATATTTATTTCTTTATCGACGATATACATTACCAGTCGAAATCTCGCTCTCCAACTTATGTTTAATATTAATTGCAATAAATAAGTCTTATTCTCTTTGTTTTCCTATCGATAATAAAAATCGATCGTTCGCAGAAGAATAAAAAAAAATGAAAATAAAAATAAAAAAAAACGATAGATCCTTCTTGTTGTTGTTGAGTTTCGATAGCGCGGTATCTAGTATTACCCACATGTCAAAGAGATAAGACGACAACGACGACCGCCTCGATTCTCTTCTAACAATGATCCATTGTAACCGTAAGTCGAATGATAAACATTTTGCGGCCACGAGTCGTTACACAATACCGAAGAATTTTGTAGTTTTTTTTTTTTGTTATTCAAAAAAAAATCTGCAAACACTAGAAACATTGCCAAACTTATTTCTTTTTTTTTATAATTGAATATTATTATCAATAGGAGTAAAATTAATAATTTTTCTTAACGAATTGAAATTTTTTTTTTTGTTTTATCTCTGTCAGCAGATTGTACACAGTAGAAAAAAAATATAATAACGAAGAAATATTTGTCTTGTTGTATTAAAACACGTGTTGACTTTTCAAGTCTTAGAGTAATTTAAATAATACAAAAAAAAGTTGAATAATTTAATAAAGACTGAGTTTAATAAATAAGTATCACTCAAGAAGCAATATTCGGAAAACATTTAGACCCAGCTAAAATGTTTTTCGATCTCTTTTAACTATAAAAACTATATTCATCACTTTTTGAAATTTGCTCATTAAAATCACATTTTTTCAAAAATTAAAAGAAAAAGCTTTTTTAAAAAAACTGTTTTAAAAAACATTTTTAAATAACTGTTTTAAAAAAAACTTTTAAAAAACATTTTAAAAAATTGTCATAATTATTAAATGTTCCAACACAAATATTTTACAATATGAAAAGAATATTTTCGAGATTTTAACGAACGCACATTTCAAAAAGTATATAAACTCTGATATATGAAAAACAATCACATTTGTCCTCTCTCTTTTTTTTTGCTATCATGACAAAATATAAAGGACCATTTCTTCTCTTTTTTCATTAATAATAAGATAACGGCAAGATATAATAGTTTCTAATTCATCTCTTTGAGAGAAAAAAAAAGTTCTTATTTTCGAGAAATAATCTTCCGAGTGTATTCTTTCTTTTCCAAAGTTTGACTTTCTTTTTTTTTCTAAATGGCATTTTTAGAGAAAAAACAAAATATTTCCTAATTTTGAAAAAGTAGAAGTTCAAGAGATAGGAACTGATGGTTGATCAACTTCTGGTCGACTGTCCACTGGGGGATTTGAAGCGAGGAAAATTTCTTGATTCTTGCCATTTTCAATGCCCCATTCACTTTCGGGATCGGAGAAAATATTCGAACCGTCAACAACGTCCTCTTCAATTGAAATATCCGTTGAGTCTTGAGAGCTGCGACGTTTGGTTTCCTCGTAGGGAAATTCACACAAATCTGAAAAAATTAAAAGATTTTAAAAGTTGTACAAAAAAAAAAAAAAAATCGAAAAAATTATAATTTAAAATTTTAAGTAAAATTAATTTTTTAATAAATTTTTCGAGAATTCAATTAATTTAAATACAAAAATAAATAATTTATCAAATACAGGGTTGCCACAAATATTTAATTTTATTTTTCCCTGATTTCCAGACAAAATTTTCACTTTTTCCCTAATGACCCTAAAGAATATTTTAATTCACTCTAAAAATTATTAGATACTAAAAAAAAATGTTCTATTACATTTATTTACAAATTTCTTTAATTGTAAAATTATTCAAAAACATCAATAACTTCTTTTTAAATAAATATTTAATCATTATTATTTTTCTGTAGGAATTAAAATTCTTCAAAACATTCAAATTCAAACCTTTTTTTGAAATTTAACAACTTATAAGAATATTATTACAAAACATGAAGAAGGCGATCACTCCGAGTCTTCGACTCGAATTGATCGCCTTCTTCATGTTTTGTAATAATTTAAATTACCATACAATTTTTCAAAATAAGTTAATTATTTACAAAAATCCTAATAAAATCCTTCGCAAGAATTCAATTATTTTTACAAGCAGTACAATTTCTCAAAAAAATTAAATTATTTTAAAAACATGTAATAAAATTCGTTGCAATAATTCAATTATTTTCATAAATAATAATAAATCGATTATTCGTTGATTCATTTTTAAATCAATTTTTATTAGGAAATTCTAGAAAAATTCAATTATTTAAATTAAAAAATAAATAATTTATTGAATAATTGAATGTTTGTTAAAATTTAATTCTCATAAAGAATATTATCAATAAATTTTTAAATAATTGAATTCATTTGACAAATTTTTAATAAAATTTTGAAGAATAATAACATTTTTCGAGAAATTTGATTAAAAAATTGTATAAAAAATAATTAAAATTCTGCGATGAGTTTTATTATATTTATGAAAATAATTAAAATTTTCCTAAGAATTTTATTCAAATTTTCATAAAATAATTGGATTTTGGAGAAGAATTTTATTATTTACAAAGATACTTGGAATTTTAACAAGGATTTTTTTTTAAATTTTTGAACATAAATGGATTTCTGCGAAGAATTTTATTACTTTTGAAAATAATTTAATTCTCCCAACGAATTATACTCAAATTTATAAAAATAACTGTATTTCTGTGGAAGAATTTTATTATTTATATAAATAATTGAATTCTTACAACGAATTTTATTCAAGTTTATGAAAATAATTGAATTTCGGTGAAGAATTTTATTATTTATAAAAATAATTTAATTCTTAAAAAGAACTATGTTAAATTTTTTTAAATAATTAAATTCTTGCGAAGAATTTTATAAAAATCTTTTTGAATAATTGATATTTTTTGAAAAATTTTATGAAATTTTGTATTTTAAATAATTGAATTCCTGTCAAAATGTTATTACTTATGAAAATAATGGAATTATTTGGAATTAATTTATTAAAAATTGAATAATTGAATTTCTACGAAATTTTGCCAAGAATTTTATTAAAATTTTTTAAAATAATTGAATTTCGATAAAGAATTTTATTATTTATAAAGATAATTGAAATTCTGACGAGAATTTTTTTAAAATTTTTGAACATAATTGAAATTCTGCGAAGAATTCTTGTAACTTTTAAAAATAATTGAATTTCTGTAATCATTTGTAACTTTTCCAAAATCCAATTTTTTTTTAGTATTTTTAACTAAAATTCTTCTATCAATCTAGTATTTATGAAAATTGTAAAAATTATTCATAAAATAAATTATAATCCTGACTTTTTCCTGACTTCCCTGACCAATTTTACTTTCCCTGACTTTTCCCTGAATTCCCTGACCTGTGGCAACCCTGAAATAATAATTGAATCTTTCTTAAAATTCAATTTTTATGATCAGAATTTTATCAAAATTTTTAAAAATAATTGAATTGTTACGGCGAAATTAAAAAAATTTTTTAAGAATAAATTCAATTTTCTATCATTTTATTTAAAATTGTATAAAAAATAATTTAAATTCGGCGATAAGTTTTGTTTTTTTATGAAAATAATTGAATTCTTGCTTAGAATTTCTAGAAATAATTGAATTTTAAAAAATGTTCAAATTAAATTCTTTAAAAATAATTAAATTCCATCGAGAATTTTCATTAAAAAAAATGAAAATCATTGAAATCTGACAAAGAATTTTATTACTTTTTTTTAAATAATTGAATTCCTATGAAAATGTTAATTTTTAAATAAGAATGGAATTCTTAGGAAAAATGTTATATTTTACGAAAATAATTGTTTTCTATGATCAATTTTCTTTATAATTTTTCAAATTTATAAAGCATTTTTATTAAAAATTTTTTAAATACCTAATTGAATTCTCCAGAAAAATTTTATTATTTATAAAAATAATTAAATTTCTTGGGAAGAATTTTAATCAAATTTTTTTAAATAATTGAATTTCCATAAAAAAATGTGTTATTTGTGAAAATAATTGAATTCTTAAGAAGAGTTCATAGGAATTCAATTATTTACAAATTTTTTATAAATTTCTTCGCAATAATTCAATTATTTTTATAAAATAATAAAATTTTTACAGAAATTTAATTTTTTTCGTAAATACTAAAATTCCTTTTAGGAATTCAATTATTTTCGTAAATATACTATAAAATTCTTTTTAGAAATTTATTTATATTTTCATAAATAATAAAACCCATTGCAGAATTTCAATTTTTTTTTAATTTAATTATTTAAAAATTTGTTAATAAAATTCTTTATGAGAATTCAATTTCAACAAACATTCAATTATTCAATAAATTATTTATTTTTTATTTTAAATAATTGAATTCTAGTAGAATTTTCTAATAAAAATTGATTTAAAAATTAATTTCAATTAAAATTTTACACAATAATTGAATATTAAAAGCAAATTAGCGTAAATTTTTAGAAATAATTGAATTTTGAAAAGGTTTTAAATTAAAATCTTTGAAAATCTGAATTTTTCATACTGCTTTTAACTAAAAATTCTGTAGAAGAATTAATCTTTTTGAAAAAGTTTATTTGAATTTTATTTGAAAATATTTTTTTGAAGTTTTTAGGTATCCGAATAATTGAAATTTTGTAAAATTGAATTTTAAACAAATGAATTTAAAAATTCTCAAAGAACTTTTCCAAAAATTATTATAAATAATTGATTTGAAGAAGAATTGTAATTAAAAAATACTGAAAAAAATATTCTTCGCAATAATTTCATTATTTTTATAAATAGAAAAACTCATCGCAGAATTTCAATTATTTTGAATACAATTTTAATCGAATTCCTAGAAAAATGTAATTATTCTTAAAAATTTTATTAAAATTCGTCCAAAGAATTTAATTATTTAAAAATTTGTTGATAAAATTCTTCATGAGAATTCAATCTTAAGAAACATTCAATCATTCAATAAATAATAATTGAATATTAAAAGCAATATAGCGTTAATTTTAAGAAATAATTATATTTTGAAATTAATTTTTTTTTGAAAAAGTTTCATTGCGGATTTTTTTTTTTTTGAAATTATTTCAAGTTTTTATTTTCTAATATATATTTAATTGAAAAATTTACAAATAATTGAAATTTCATAAAAAAATTAATACTGTAAATAAATAGATTTGAAAATTGCCAAAGAACCTTTTCAAAAATTATTAAAAATAATTGATTGAAAGAAGAATTTTAGTTAAAAATTCTCGAAAATAATAATTTAATTGAAATGATGAAAATGATTCGGACTGATTATATTTTTGTCAGTTGGTCCGTAAATGGACCATAATTTTTCATTTATTTGGTCCGTAAAGTCTGTATTTTTAAAATACTTTCACTGATTCGATCGCTGGCTATTTAAAATTTTTAAAAACAGGCTTTGAATTCGTAATTTTTGTTAGCGAATCTAAAGCTGTTTTTTATTCAGGTGATCTACCGTCCCCTAAGCGTAGGGACGTTAGACAGTTTTTTTTTTTAAATTTCAAATTAACTTACCATCGGTTAATGAGTGCTGTCTCATCCACGTAGGCTCGTCCCAATCATCGAATTGAAGATTCGTGTCAACATTCATTTTCGTCATCGAACGTTTATTGCTGTCCGTGACATCGAATATTTCTGCGACACGAACTTTATTATCGTCGTCCATGTAATAATATGCCATCAGCGCATCTTGATCCGACGTTGCCTATATAAATCAATCACTTTATTAAAATACATGAAAAAAAAGAAAACTTCAAGAATTTATTTATTATTTTTTATTTTTTTTTATTTATTTATTTATTTTTTTACTCATTTATTTAAAAATTAAAATATTAATTTTAATACTAAATTCTTTTAAAATTTTATCGGTAATTTGATTTTTGAAATTTGTAAAGAAAAATTCACTATATTACCTGAAGCGTATTCTCAAACGTGTCATCATTAAAATCCGGCATATTAATAATACTATTTGATTTTGATTGCGTGAGATCCTTCCACGATTTATTATACCTAAGAGTTAAATTCAAAGTTTCTTGTGTTTTCTTAAAAATCCCATCATTGCCATCCGTTACGTTGAAACCGTAAAATTCTGCAAATGCAATTTTTTATTCATCAATGTAACTACTATATATAAAAAAAAATGGAAAATTACATAGTGCTACTATAATTATCAGAAACAATTGGTATAGAATATTTTTTAAAAAATAGTAAAATTAAATTTTTCAAAATTTTCTAAAATTTGCTTACAACTTCATACTCAGGTTTTTGGGATCGCTGATTACGAAACTAGAGTCAGATTTTCAAAATCTGGACATTTTTTTTTTTAAATTGCTGATATTCGCTTGAAACTTGTTACTCGGGGTTTTACAGGATTGCTATTTTAAATTTCGAAATACTAACATCAGTTTCGTAATCAGCAACCCTGAAAATCCCCGAGTAACAAATTTTATACAAATTTGATCAATTAAATAAAAAAAAATGTCCGCCATATTGGATCCGCCATTTTGAATTTTTAAAATCTGGTTTCAGATTCGTTATCAGCGACCCCGGAATTTAAAAACTAAAGAACTCACTTGGACTGTATTCGGTAACATTTAATTGACACTTGATCGTCCCCAATGATGTTTGATAATAAAAATTTATTTTTGGAAATAAAACAGTCAATTGTTCCATTAAGAATCTGCTTATTTCTAAAAGATTATTACTCAGCTTCGGAGTATTCATCACGAATCTGGAAAATAATTGTACCAATCTGAAAAAGAATTACATATAAACGTGTTAAAGAAAAGAAAAAAAAAATGTTAACTTATTTTTATTAATAAAAAAAGGAATTTTATCTCTAAAAAAAGCAAAAAAACAAAAATTTGGTTTTTCATTATAGGAAAAAGATAAAAAAAAATATTAAAAAATAATTTTTTGGTTATTTTCCCAATAAAAATATTTCTCTTCTGAAGAATATTTCCAATGCCTGCTAACATTTAAATTTAGCATCAATTATCGATAGGCAAAGCTGTTAATCGAATAAGAGAAACAATCTTGCAAAAGATTATCACAACAAAAAATGACAACATTATTATTTTAACTTTAATATATATTAAGATTGAAATATTAATAGTACACTATTAATTAAATATGGGCATTATTATTATTATTATTATTATTATTATTATTATTTTTTTTTTTTTTTTTTTTATATAGAAAAATTTTTATTATTAATAAGAAATTCTGCTCTTTAAAGCAGATTGTTTTGTTTTTGGAAATAAGCAATAACTTTCTTCTTAAAAATGATATATATTTTTTTATTTTTTCTCTAAACTTCAAGAGAAGCATGTGCATATGTTGCACAATGTGTTTCCGTTTTCTTTATTACTGACGTAAGTTTCTTTATTATGGAAGAAATTCCCTTATCAGCTGAAAATTATCTAGAATAATTATTACAAATACAAATAACAAAATCCGTATCTATATTAACAATTTTCTAAACAGTTTGTTGTGATAGAGATTTTGCAGATGTCTTTTAATCGCAATTTTAGATCCACGCATTTTTTTTTTTTTTTTTTTTCCTAATAAGATATAATGTAAAGATTCATCATTTCATGTATTCACTTTGTGATAATATAAAGAAGTGGTTAATATAGTTTTTATAAATTTTATTATCGGGAGTTTAAACAAAGACATCTTTTGTTAGCCATTGAAATAAAATTTACAAGGTCTAAAAAAATGATGAATAACGATTTCTTAGGAATTTTCTTAGTTTAGATAAAAACTATAAATTTTATGTAAAGTTTAAAATTTAAAAATTTTTTTGAAATTATTTTCCAGCCGGAAAATTACGATCTTCATAATATGATAAAAAAGAATATCATCACTTACTTTGTAACAGTTGCATAGACAACGTCTGCTGGTAGGGTGTAAGGAATACTCAAAAGCGACAAGAGTTTCACACTTTTTTGATTAAAAAGCCAATTGAGAATTCCCTTGTTCGCTGAATCAATTGCATCTTGAAATATCGACATTAGAGTGTCGGGAAAATTTGCCACCAATGCTTCCTGAGGACAAAAATTATTTCGCAGTTTAGAAAAACTGAAATTACCAACTTTATTAGAATTCCAATAATTTAGCAAAGAACAGACTTCGCACTCATCTTTAAAACGATTCTATTATTTTCAAAAAAATTCGAAATTCAATTATTTTCAATACCAAGTATTTTTTCATAAATTTTCGCAAAAGAATTCAATTACAAAAAACAAAAAAATGATAAAATTCATCCAAATTTTAATTATTTTCATAAATAACAAAATTTTCACAGGAATTCAATTAATTTAAAATAGCATTTTCAAAAAAAATTTCAAAAAAATGAATTATTTAACAAAATTTTTATACAATGTAATTCAATTACTTTCACTAATAATAACCATTTTCATGGAAATTCAATTATTTAAAAATATTTTTGATAAAATTCTAAACAAGAATTAAATTATTTTCATAAATAATAAAACTCATCGAAGAATTTCAATTATTTTTGGTACTATTTTAAATTAATTAATCGAAAAATTCAATTATTTTCACAAATAATGTTTTCCAAAAGAAATTCAATTATTTAAAATAAAATTTTCATATTTATTATATTTCCAAAAAATTAATTATTTAAAGCAAATGTTTATAAAATTCTTATGAAGAATCGAATTATTTTTAAAAATATCAAAATTTTTCACAGAAATTCAATTATTTTTGAACAATTTAATAACATTTTTCGCAATAATTCAATTATTTTCATAAATAATTAGAATTCAATTATTTTAAAAATTCTTGAAAATTTTAATAACATTCTTAGCAAAATATTCAATTATTTTCATAAAAAATAATATTGATCACAGTATTTCAATTATTTTTAGTACAATTTTACAAGAATTGCTCAAAAATGTAATTATTCTTAAAAATTGAATTTCAATTCTTCGAAAAAATTAATTATTTAAAAAAATGTTTTTTTGAAATTCTTTGGAAGAATTCAATTATTTACAAAAATATTAAAATTTTTCGCAGTAATTCAATTAATTTCAAATATTTTAATAAAATTTTTCGAAGGAATTCAATTTTTTTAAATACAATTTTAATTCAATTTTTTGAAATAATTCAATTATTCTTTTAGATTTTAATGTAAATCTTTCCAAGAATTGAATTATTTACATAAATAATTCTTCGAAAGAATTCAATTATTCCCCGAAAATTCAATTTTTTTTTAGGTATTTTGATAAAATTATTTGCAAAATTCAATTATTTTCAGAAATAACAATATTCATCACAAGAAACCAATTATTTACATAAATAATAAAATTCTTTTTAGTATTTCAATTATTTTCAAAAAATTTCAAACAGAATTCAATTATTTAAAAAATTTTTTGTAAAAATCTTCGTAAGAATTCAATTTTTTTTCGCATGAATAATAAAAATTTCTCAGGAATTGAATTATTTCTGGAAAATTTTAATAACATTCTTAACAACTATTCAATTATTTTCATAAAAAATAAAATTGTTTACAGGATTTCAATTATTTTTAATACAATTTTACAAGAATTGGTCAAAAAATGTAATTATTCTTAAAAATTGAATTTCAATTCTTCGAAATTAATTATTTAAAAAAATGTTTTTTTAAAATTCTTTGGAAGAATTCAATTATTTACAAAAATATTCAAATTTTTCACAGTATTTCAATTAATTTCAAATATTTTAATAAAATTGTTCGAAAGAAATCAATTTTTTTAAATACAATTTTAATTCAATTTTTAGAAATAATTCAATTATTTTTTTAGATTTTAATAAAATTCTTTCCAAGAATTCAATTATTTACATAAACAATTGTTCAAAAGAATTCAATTATTAAAGATAAATAAAAAAATTATTCCCAAAAATTCAATTATTTTGAGGTATTTTAATAAAATTCTTTGCAAAATTCAATTATTTTCATAAATAACAATATTCATCACAAAAATTCAATTATTTTTAAAAGTAATAAATTTCTTCTTGGGAATTCAATTATTTTTAAAAGTAATAAATTTCTTCTTGGAAATTCAATTATTTAAAAAAATTCTAATAAAATCGTTCGCAATAATTGAATTATTATCAGAAACTTTAATTGAATTCTTTGTAAAATTTAATTATTATTTTAAAAACTTTTCGCAATTCAATGATTTTCAATATTTACTATTTTCATAAAATTTCCAAACAGAATTCAATTATTTAAAAAATTTGTTGTAAAAATCTTTTTAAAAATTCAATTTTTTTCACGAATAATAAAAATTTCTCAGGAATTGAATTATTTAAATTAGAATTTGCATAAAATTAATCGGAAGAAATGAATTATTTAAAAAATTTTTTATAAAATTCTTCGCAAGAATTAAATTATTTTTACAAATATTTAAATTCTTTCGTGAATAATAAAATTCGTTGCAGGAATTCAATTTATTAGCAAGATTAGAAAGATAAAATGGAATTTTTATCAGTTTTGTGAAGTATTTAAAACGAGTTTTTATTAGTCGTCAAGTTTAATTTTTCGATACCAACTTTTTTACCACTTTTTTTAGTTTGAAAGCTATTTTTTGTTATTTTTTTAAAATTAATTATCGAGTGCGAAGTCTGAAAGAGAGAAAGAAAAAAAAATCACCTGTCTATGCATTTTACATTCGAGACATTCTGGATCATATTCCATATTATCATCCAAAGTTTCCGAAACAACAAATGTCGACTGAACAGCCAAACATCGATTGCAATTGATTAAATTATTTCTATGCAAAAAACGCAATGCATCATCAAATCCTTGTTTACACATATTTGACAAAATCTACAAATAAAAACAAAATATATTAAAGAAAATTAAATTAAATTAAATAGAAAATAAATAAATAAACTTGTTTATTATATTTTATTCAATCTTACCTCTGGATTTGGGGGAAAGAGTATTCTAGCGAACCTATAAATATTTTGCCTCGATAATTCGATACTTGTGTTTGCAACATTCACCTGAAAGAATTTTAAAGAATAATTAAAGAAAAGTAGGGGGAAAAAAAAAGAAAAAAAAATCATAAGGGAAAAAAATTAAGACTTGAAAGTATTTTCTAAATCGAAAAACACGAGAGAAAAGAAAACTTACGTGAAATAATTGTGAGGAAATATCACGGGGACAAATATCGCTTTCCCCACAAAATGGACTGATTGTTATTGTATTTTCATCGAGTGTTGGAAGATTATCACTAAAACCTCCATCCATATATCTAATACCATGAAATCTCGGTGGTAAAATACCGGAAAAAATTGGAATAAACGAACTTGCCAATAGTGCCTACAATCATCAATATTATGCGGAGAATTAAAATTATATTAACTCGCAGTTAATTACATAGTTTTTTTGCTTTTTGGAATAAAAATTACCTGTAGTAAATCTTCTTTGGAATTAAATTGAGAAACAATGACATTTTTTCCGTCATATACTCTCGTTAAGGAAACGTGAAGTTTTCCATTTACTCTTAAATGTGCGTCTTCGGGAAGATTCTAGAAAAAAAATTGATTTTCAGAAGAATGTAAAATCTTTGTGATTGTAGAAATTATTATAAATATTATAAGGTGGTTCATTCAACAGAATGCAGACCTCTAGAAAAATAATTAATTAACATTCAAATAATTCAAATATTACTATTAATAGTATTTTCTAAAAAAAAAAACAAAACAAAAATTCTAATACAAAACCTTCAATTTTTTCCATTTCTGACAATAATTTCTTTTTAAGTAACTTAATTCTTGAAGAACTATCATAAAATTATAACTTAGAAATTATTTAATGATAAAATTTTATTTATAATACATTTCAAAATTAATTAAATTTTAAAATAGTTTCGTTCACAATTTTCATAAATAGATGAACTTAAAAAGATTTTAACTTCAAATTTTATAAAATTTCAATTATTTTGAATGAATTTCATTAGAAATTCTGAATAAAATTTTTGCAAAAATTTTCAAATAATTTAAAATTTAAGTAATTCTGAAATTAGTTAAATTTTTTAATACATATATTAAATTAATTATTAAAAATAATGAATTTATAGAAGAATTTTAGTTAACAACACTAAGAAAAATTTGAATTTTGGAAAAGTTTCAAATAGGTGCAAAAATTCAATTATTTTCAAAAATAATTAAATTCTTCGCAGAAATTCAAGTATATTTAAAAATTTAAAGAAATTCTCTTTAAAATTTCAATTCTCTTTATAAATAATAAAATTCTTCTTCAAAATTCAATTATTTTCAAAAATTTTAATAAAATTCTCGTCAAAAATTCAATTATAAAGCAAAAATAAATTGAATTTTCCTAAATTCAATTATATTCAATACCTACTATTTTAATGAAATTTTCCAAAAGAATTCAATTATTTAAAAAAATTTTTTATTAAATTCTACGCGAACCTTTAATTATTATCATAAATAATAAAATAATTTCACAAGAATTCTATTATTTACAAATTTTTTTATAAATTTCTTCGCAATAATTCCATTATTTTCAGAAATAATCAAACCCATCGCAGAATTTCAATTATTTTTAGTACAATTTTAATCAAATGCTTCGAAAAATGTTATTATTTTAAAATTAATTAATTAATTAATTAACTATAATAATTTGAATGTTCTTTCATTCATTCATTCACTTTTTCTGTCTCTCACACTCTGAAGTTGTCTTTTGTTTATACTTTTGTTTTTTATTATTTTTAGATAGATTGTATATTTTTATTATTATTAGCAATTTATTCATACAATTTATTATTGTTATTATGCAAATTACAAAATTTTTTATTTTCAAATATAAATTTTTTAATTAATTTCATAATCAAAATTTAAAAAATTCACTTATTAAGTACAAAATTAATTATTACTGTTCATATTTTCAAAAATTTAAATAAAATTTTACTAAAAAATTCAATTATTTTTAAAAATTTTAATAAATCCTTTTAAACAATTCAATTCTTTTTTAAATATAGTAAAATCTTTACGAAAATCAAATGATTTTTAAATCAATTTTAATTGAATTCCTCGGAAGAATTTAATTTTTTAAAAAAATTTTAACACATTTCGAAAAAATTACATTAAAACATTAAAACTTCAAACTGCGAACAAATTACCGGAACATGGACTTTATTATTATAACATTAATTAATTAAAAATTTTAATGACAAATAGAAATTATCAGAAATTTTTTCACTTCTTTTCATTAAAATACTAAAATTTTGTTAAATTTAATATGTTTTGTCAAATTGAAATTATGCAGATTTTTGTTCTTTACTTCTAAACAAAATTAGAAAATTGTTAAACAATTATGATTAAGAAATAGAAAATTTATTTATTTTGCATTATTTTTGTTTATGAATCACAATTTTTTTAAAAAAAATTATTATTTTGTTTTAGAAGAAGAAGAAAAATATTTGCACAATTTCTATTTTTAATCTTATTTTCATCATTTTAATTCAATTATCATTTTCTAGAATTTTAAATTATTTTTTATGAAAATAATTGAATTCCTTAAAAAAATGTTTATTATTTATGAAAATAATTGAATTTCTGTGAAATTTTTATTATTTGTGAAAATAATTAAATGTTTGCATACAATTTTATTAAAAATTTTTTTTAACTAATTGATTTCTTTTTGGGAAATTTTATTAAAATAGTAGGAATTTAAAAAAATTTTGATAATAATTGAAATTAGGACAAGAATTTTTTTTGAGCATATTTATGGAAATAATTGAACGTTGGAGAAGAATTTTGTTATTTATAAAAATAATTGGGTTTTTTAACCAGAATTTTTTTTAAATTTTGAACATTAGTTGAAATTTTTAAGAAGAATTTTAATTTTTGTTTGAAAATAATTGAATTTTTGCAATTATTTGTAATTTCTCCAAAATTGAATTTTTTTTAGTGTTTTCAACAAAAATTCAAATTAGAAAATTTTTAAAATTGCTAATTATTTTTTTAAGAAAGGTAGTAAGAAGTTAGCCGCGTTTTTTATTAAAATTCGACGAAAAAATTTAAATTACTTAAAAGTTTGTTGATAAAATTCTTTATGAGAATTCAAAGTTAAGAAACATTCAATTATTCAATATAAATAATTAATTTTTTTATTTAAATAATTGAATTCTCATAGAATTTTCCAATAGAAATTGATTTAAGTATGAATTTCAGTTAAAATTTTACATAATAATTGAATATTAAAAGCATTATAGCGTGGATTTTTAAAAATATAATTGAATTTTGAAAAAGTTTCAAATATTGAAATCTTTGATAATCTGAATTTTTTATATTTTTAACTAAAAATTCTGTAGAATTATTGTTTTTCAAAAAAGTTTAATTGAAATTATTCCAAGTTTTTATTTTCAAATGTATATTTAATTGAAGAATTTCCGAATAATCGATGAAATTTCGTAAAATTGAATTGTAAACAAATACGTATTTGAAAATTCTCAGAATTTTTTTTTAAAATTATTTTAAATAATTGATTTAAAGAAAATTGTAGTTAAAAATTCTAGAAAATAATAATTGAATTGAAATAATGAAAATAATTTTGAAGTTACCAGTAAAAATATTTTTTATAGTAGAAAATAATGATCTTATCACTCGGTTATCTTTAATTATTATAAATTGTTGAATTTCAAAAAGTTTGGAATTTGAATGTGTAATATATTTATAATAGTTTATTAAATATATAAAATTAAGATACAGAGTAGACAATTAGTCAGCTTGGAAGATAACCAAGGCAAGGAATGAGATATACATGACTGTAAAGGCGCATACACAAACGGTCTCTGGTAACAACTATAGTAACAATTCCCTATACATCACAGAATGTTTTGAAATTCTTAATTCCTATGAAAAAATAATAATGATTAAATATTTTTTTTTTAAAAGCAATTATTGTTGTTTTTGAATAATTTTACAGTTAAAGAAATTCGTAAATAAGTGTAATCAGGGTATTTTCTCCTGCGACTGTTGTTAGTTCGATGTCAACAACAACGAAAAACAAAGTTTGTTATTATAGAAATTTACAGTGTCGTAACTTCTAAGATTTCTGCATTATAAAAATTCCTTATTAAAAATTCAAGTATGGTACATATTTCTAAAACTCATTCACCGAAGTTTCATTTAACCATGTGTATTAATTCAAATATTTAATTTTTATATAAAATTTTTTAAGCGGGCTTGTACTTTAAATCTAATAAGTGAATTTAAAAAAAAAAATTAATTATCACCTGTTGTAAATTGTCCATAAGAATTGCGTGGACATTGAAGGAGGGACTGAAAGGGCCAAGGGTTCGTTGTCTCGTGTCTTCTGCCATCTTGAGAAGATTACTCGTCATCTCCCCTGAAACAATAATAAAAATAATAAAAAATTAAATCTTCTAAATTTAAACGATTTCTATTCCACATTCAAGTAGTGACGGCTATTAAAATTTTTAAGATTTTTAATTGTTTCTATATCTTAAATAACGAGCTCCATATCCATCAATTTGCCAAAGAAAAAATTTGTTCAAAAATGAAAAAAACTATAAAATCCAAAAGAAATAAAAGAAAAATAAGTTACAATTCATAATTTATTCTTACTTTCCTCAAGGAAAATAAATAAACAAAATAATCGAATATTGAGCTTTCCAGTACGTGCGTAATTTATAAATGGTTGCTGTAGTCTTAAAAGAAGATATGAGCCAATGTTCATTGAACTGAAGTTAATCTGAAAATACCATTAATCATAAATAAACAACAAAAGTATCATTGCAAAATGAGATTGTATATAGTATAGGTAAAGCAAGAGGATTTATAAAATCAAAAGGTTGTTCAACCTTGCACGATATATCTAAGGTTCAAGTTCACTGAATCCACGCGTATCATTCCATGTTAATTTCTCCTTTATTAATCAAATATACATTATTTATTATTATTCACGCGTTCTTATTGTTGATTTCTCTAACAACATCTCACTAAATATGCAAATTACATTTAATTACTATCATCATTCATGTTTTTCAAATAATGTTTCAAATGGAGAAGAAATATTCAGCTAAAAAAATACAAAAAAAAAAAATGAATCGAATGTAAATTTTGTATTAAACAAAAAATTCTATAAAAAAGTGAAGCTTTGTTTTCACATCCAAGATTATGTTTCTTATCAAAATTTTAATACGCGATAAAATTTATTTCTTGATAGGAAGATATTAATTGATAAAAGTGACTTATTATAAACGGAAAGAAAGTAAAAACCTTCTGGAATTTGTTCACCGACATTAGATGAGAAATTTTTTTTAAACCTTCATAAATTGCTTCTTTTGCTCTTTTCCACGCTTTTGCTCTTTTCAAATTCCCTGACTTTTCCAGGTTTTCCAGGTTAAAAAACGGAAATTTTTCAGGTTTTTAAAAAGAAAATTATTTGAAAACAATAACTTTATTTTATTAAATAAATATTTAATAATTATTTTTTTCCGAGTCTTTGACTCGGAGTAATCGCTTTCTTCATGTTTTATTATAATTAAAACTTGATAATTTATTACTGTAACTTCTTCAAAAATTATTTTCATCATTACGATTATTCACTATACTAGAATTTTCAACTAAAATTCTTCAATTTTTTAAAATAATAATTTTCAAAAAAGTTTTTCGTGAATTTTTAAATTCTTTCGTTTACAATTTAATTTTAAGAAATTTCGATTATTCTGACATTCTTCAATTAAATATATTAAGAAATTGAAAACTTCAAATAATTAAAACAAATTTCCATTAAACTTATTGAGAAAAATTAATTCTTTAGAATTTTTAATTAAAAGTATGGAAAATTCAAATTTTCAAAGATTTTAATTTCAAATTCATTTTCAAATCAATATTTATTAGAAAATTCTACGAGAATTCCATTATTTAACTATAAAAATAAATATTTTAATTGAATGTTTCTTAAAATTGAATTTTCATAAAGAATTTTATCAACAAATTTATAAATAAATGAATTCTCTTGACAAATTTTAATAAAATTTTTAAGAATAATTGCATTTTTCGACAAATTTGATGAAAATTGTATTAAAAATAATTAAAATTCTGCTAAGAATTCTATTAAAAGTTTTGAAAATAATTGAATTTCAGAGAAAAATTTTATTATTCATAAAGATAATTAAAATTTTAATGAGAATTTTTAAAAATTTTTAAACACAGCTGAATTTCTGCGAAGAATTTTATTAAAATTATTTTGAAAAAAATTGAATTTTCATGCAAAGAATTGCATTAAAATTTTTGAAAATAATTTTATTCTTTAAAGAAATTTAATTAAAAATGTATTGAAAATAACACTTAAATTCAAATAAATAAATTGTATAAAAGGATATTGAAATAATTAAATTTTTTTGATAAATTTTAATAAAAATTTTAAGAATAATAACTTTTTTCGAGGAATTCCATTAAAATTGTATTAAATATAATTGAAATTCAGTATTGAGTTTTATTATTTATGAAAATAATTGAATCCCTGTAAAAAATGTTAATATTCATGAAAATAATTGAATAATTAATGAAAATAATTTGTAAATAATTGAATTCATGTGAAATTTTTATTATTTATGAAAATAATTAAATGTTTACGTAGAATTTTATTTAAATTTTCGAAAATAATTGAATTCCGGAGAAGAATTTTATTACTTTTAAAAATAATTGAATTCTTGTGATGAATATTGTTATTTATTATAATTAAATAATTAATGGAAATAATTTGAAAATAATTGAATTCCTGTGAAATTTTTATTATTTATTAAAATAATTAAATGTTTGCGTAGAATTTTATTTAAATTTTCGAAAATAATTGAATTCCGGAGAAGAATTTTATTACTTTTAAAAATAATTGAATTCTTGTGATGAATATTGTTATTTATTATAATTGTTGTCATTTATTAAAATAATTGAATTTTGTAAAAGAATTCTATTAAAATTCCTGAAAATAATTAAATTTATGGAAAGATTTTTCATATTCATCCAGATAATTGAATTCTTTCGAAGAATTGAAATTAAAACTTTTTTAAAAAAAATAGTTTTACAGAATTATTAATTAAAATGATGAAAAATTCCGTTTTTTTGAAGGATTTGAATTTGAAACCTTTTCAAAATGTAATTATTCTAAAAATTCATGCTACAATGCTTTTAATATTCAATTATTATTTAAAATTTTAACTAAAATTCATTTTTAAATCAATTTTTATTCGAAAATTCTATGAGAATTCAATTATTTAAAAAAAAAAAAATAATTTATTAAATAATTGAATGTTTTTTAAAATTGAATTCTAATGAATAAATTGTAGCAAAGATTATTAAAGTAATTAAATTTCTTTGATAAATTTTAATAAAACTTTAAGAATAATAACTTTTTTCGAGGAATTCCATTAAAATTGTATTAAAAATAATTGAAATCCGGTCAAGAATTTTATTAATTATGAAAATTAATGAATCCCTGTAAAAAATATTATTTATGAAAATAATTGAATAATATATGAAAATAATTTGTAAATTAAATCGAATTCCTGTGAAATTTTTAATATTTATGAAAATAATGAAATGTTTGCGTAGAATGTTATAAAATTTTTCTTTTTAACTATAAATGAATTCTTTTTGGAACTTTTATTAAAGAAGTAGATAATAAAATCACTGAATTAAGGAAAGTTTTTGCAAATAATTAAAATTTGTCCAAGAGTTTTATTAAAATTTTTGAAAATATATAATTGAATTTCTAGAAGCATTTTACTACTTTTGAAAATAATTGAATTTCTGCAATTATTTGTTATTGCTTCAAAATTCAATTTGTTTTAGTGTTTTTAACTAAAATTCTTCTATAAGTACATTATTTTTAATAAAACCAGTTAAATATATAATAAAAAATTTAACAAATTTCAAAAAAATTTTAGTTTTAAAATTTTTTTAAATCTGTTTTTTAATATTTTTAAATTTATTTAAAATGGAAATTTTACAAAATTTTTAATCAAAATCATTTAAAGTTGATCTACTTATGAAAATTGTAAACGCAATTCTTTAAAAATTGAATTAAATTTGAAATATTTGAGTGAAATTTGATTTCAAGAATAAACTTTAGAAAACAAGGTTTTTTCAAGGTTTATAAAATTCCCTAAAATTTCCAGGTTTTCCAGATTTCCAGGTTGCGTAGCAACCCTGAATTCTTAATTTTTGATTTACTTTATTTTCTAGGTTTTAATAATTATTATACAGAATTGTGATTTAAAATGAATCATTCTCGTTTGGCCTATTCTAGGCGTGACCTAGTTATCTCTCGTGAGTTTCATACTGGTTTCTTTATTGTCTATCGGGGGGGAATTATAGAACAGATTTCCTCGAAAAATATACAGACAACTATTCAGTTTAATAATGAAATGAAATTAATTATCTAAATTATCTAAACAGACATATAACTTCCTTGTGGGCCAATTTGATAAAAGTGGAAGAAGATATATTTTTACTGATTAAAAATTTAATTTTTGCGAAACGACATTATTTTTTTGTTTGCGAATGATTAGAAGTATTGGTATATGACTTTGGGGAAAAACACAGTTCTTTAATCAATAAGAAAATTAACGCAACTATCTAATGCGTAAACAAGTCATAAAACAACAAAAGTTGTTTTTATTCCCCTATGTACATTTCTATTAGTTTTTTTTTATTTTTCATACGAGCGAGTTTATCGGATTCGTTTCTTTTTTAGAAACTTTCTTTTCTACTTTTTCACTATAATTATGATGAAAACTCAATAATTGAGACACAGAAATGAAAAGAATTAAATTCGTATGTTTGGACCCTAAATTTCATTGTTTTTACTTTTTTTTGTATACTATATAGAAGGAGTTTAATTAAATATTTGAAATTCAAAAAAAATTTTTTTAATCCCTAATTATATGATTGGAAAGTGTAAATTGTTTTCTTTAGTGGCTTGCGATGCTGCAAACAAATTTATGAGTTTGATAAAAGAAATGTTAGAGTGCATGTATCTTTAATCGTTAAGTACAAATTGTTACATTAACCTGCATGATTAAAATATCAAAATACAAACTTCCTGTAATTTACAATCTGCGAAAGTTATTTAATAATGTGAGTGATAATTCATAAGGAGTAAAAAAATAAAAAAGAAAACTTTAATTCGAAAATACTTTTAAAATGTCATGTTTTCTAATACTTAAAGTTGACCGAGTGATAAAATCATTATCAATTCAATTATTTTCAATTATTTTTAAAAAAAAATTTTCTTTAAATCCATTATTTTTAATTTTTTTTTTTTTTTTTTTGAAAAAGTTCTTTGACAATTTTCAAATCCAAATGTTTACAATATTCAATTATTATCTATAAAATTTTAACAGAAATTCATTTTTCAATCAATTTTTATTCAAAAATTCTACTAGAATTCAATTATTTGAATACAAATAAAATGCAAATAAATAATTTATTGAATAATTAATTGAATGTTTCTTAAAATTCAATTCCCATAAAGAATTTTTTTATCAACAAATTTTTTAATTTATTTCAAAATAATTGAATTCTTTCGACGAATATTAATAATATTTTTATGAATAATTATATTTTTCCAGGAATTCGATTAAAATTATATTAAAAATAATTGAAATTCAAATTCGCCGATGAGTTTTATTATTTGTGCGAAAATAATTGAATCTTTAAGAAGAATTTTATTATTTTTGAACAATATTATTTCATTATTTGTACGAAGAATATTATTACTTTTGAAAATAATTGAATTTCTGCAAAAATTTCTAACTTTTCAAATATTAAATTTTTTTTATGTTTTTAACTAAAATTCATCAATAAATGCATTATTTTTAATAATTTTTTTGAAAAAGTTCTTTAAAAATTTTTAAATTACTTTCTTTACAATTCAATTGTACGAAATTATTTATGAAAGTAATTTATTTCCTATGAAGAATTGTATTAAAATTTTTTTAAATAATTTAATTTCTCCAAATTTTCTTAAAAACTTTTTGAAATTAATTAAATTTTTTCGACAAATTTTATTAAAAAAATTGAAAATAATTGAATTCCTGTGAAAAATTTTATTTTTGAAAATAATTGAATTCTTGGGAAGAATTTTAGTAAAATTTCTTAAATAATTGAATTCCCATAAAAAATTTGCTATTTGTGAAAATAATTATTGAATTATATCGGAAAATTTTATTAACTAAAATTCTTGTCAAGAATGTTTTCAAAAATTTTTTAAACAATTTTATTGAATTTTTTCAAAATAATTGAATTTTTTATAACTATTTTCTTAAATTCTCTGAATATAATTGAATTCTTACGTGAAACTTCATTTAAAAATTAAAAATAATTTAATTGGTGCGAAGACATTTATAAAATATTATGGTACTTAATTGAATTTCTGTGAAATTTTTATTAAAATTTTGTTTAAATAATTAAATTCGTTTGGAAAATTTTATTAAAATAGATATTAAAAATCATTGAATTCAGGAAATTTTTTGAAAATAATTCAATTTCTGCAATCATTGAATTTCCTAAAATAGGTATTAAAATGTTGAATCTTAAAAGAAGAAATTAAAACAACTTTTTAATATTGTATATCTAATAGATGAAAGAAAATAAATTCTGCATAAATTCATATGATAAGCACATAAAAAAACAAACAAAAAAGACATTAACTTTCTTAAATCTTAAACAAATTTAAATTTCTTGACTGGCAAAACTTGTTTTTAAAACTAAATGGAATTTGTTTTTTCTTTATCATTTAACGTCAATGAATAATTTATTATTAACCTTTAAACCGTCTCGCTCGTAAAGTTAATTCAATTTGAATTTTAAAAATAATGTTAAAAAAGTACTTTGTAGTGAACTTAACACTACTTAATTTTTAATTGGGTCAATTTTGCATTCATAATCTCAACAATTTTTTACAAATATGAAAAGATTAAAATTTATGTTTGAATACTTCTTTAAATCTCATTTTAAACTAGCTGTATATTTAATATTTTCTTCTGATAAATAAAAAATGTAATTTCTTCAAAGTATGCAAAATTTTTTCGATTTTAATTCTTTATTGTATTTTAAGAATTTAAGATCCTAAAGTTCTGCGAACACTTATTTGAAATTAAGTTTTAATTTCAATAATTTTGCGTCACTATCAAACAAATTAATTATGTAAAATTTTTAAATTTTAAATCTAAGTTTTTAATTTTTATTCAAATCAATAATTTATGATAATATTAAAAATAAAAAATATGCCGTTCATATGAGCGTTCAAAACTTGTGGATCATAAGAATTCAGAAAAAACGAGTGACAGAAAAAAATTATAAATTTTGTATTCAAATAATGAAGTATATAAATAATATTTGTTCTCTACTAAAGTTAAAAAATTGAAAGCTTTTAAAAAATAGAAAAACTTAGCAATAGAACAAGCTTTCTTAACAATGGAATTCATTAATGAAATTAATTTTAAAAATGAAATTGTAAACAGATGTAAGATAGAATTGTTTATGTAGTGGTTTGTTTGTAAACAAGTAGCAGTCAACGACACATGTAATAAACAGGTTTTGCTATAAAGAATAAGAGAAATCAATTAAATTAGAATTATGTTTAGTTATTATTTATTGTTTTGAGATGTGTGTAAAGATATTTCAAAATATAAAATTCTCAAAATCTAATATCATAGGTAAGTGACATTCATAACACTCATGAATTCCAGAAAGTTCTACGAGAATTATTTTTTTTTTTTAAATACAAAGAATTTAATTTTTTAATCAAAATTTGCAAGTGTAATTTTTTAGGGTTTTCAAGAATTTTGATGTGAAACGGAATATTTAAATTAACTGCCTTTGATTATATTCAAAAATTTCAATAGGGTCAGTCCATTATACTTCATCTAAAGTCGTTGCGGCCTATTTTTAAAAAAATCTCATAATTTGCAAAAATGATGTTTAATATCCATAAAATTCATTTTTGAGAATTATTTTATAAAATTTTTTGAATTTAACTTAGAATTTTGATTTTTAAGTTGAGTTGTACAAAAAAAAGGTTAGATTGACAGTTATGTAACTTTAATAAAAAAGCATGGAAGTAATTTAGATAATACAAATTTCTTGATTGATATTTGTTAAAAATGAGCTAATTTACTTGTATAAAAAGATTATTATGTAAACATATTCGAAATAATAGATAAAAATTGATTTTAAAATTTACCTATGAAATGTCAAAAGTCAAAAGTTTAATTATATTTTTCTAAAAAGTTTATAAATATTAAAAAATGTATTACTTTTTAATGTAAAGTATTTTCAATGTACTTTCATAATATGTGCTAACTTTTTAATTTTATAATATAGAAATAAGAAAAATTTTACCTTTAATATTGAGTGTTTCATGATTTTCAGTGATTTTAATCACTTATTTCTTCTCAGGTGCAAGACTAAAAAATCTAATTTTTATCTTAATATTTAAGTTTGAACTCCTTTTCCACTCTATTAAATTTTGGTGATGGAGAACGAGCTTGTCAAATCTTGGATTCACCATTTTTATTTTGTTATAAATAATATCAAATGTACAATAAATAACACAATTAACCCCCAAGTGTCGAGTTCAGGCAAGTCTATTCAGTTATTTAATTTTTAATCATTCTAGAATGTTTCAACTTTTCAATTTCCTACGATGTGTTTGCTTAAACTTTGACTTCGAATAACAAAAAATCTGTCCATTTTTTTGAGTTTTACCATTAACATTTTTTGTTCAGGAGGTCAAAAACTACAAAACTACAAAGTTACAAGAAATTTCACCGGACCCCAAATTCCCATGTATGCGGTGCGGGGTTCAAAATAAATTTAAAAAAATTTAATAAAATTTTTCGGAATTTCAATTTTTAAAGACATTTTAAGTTCAAATCTTTTTAAAATTGATTGATAAAAATTTTAATTGTAATTCTTTTTAAATTAAATTATTTCAGGTGCAATTTGGACTCTTTTAAATTGATGGCCCCCGATCGAAGAACAGGTTATAATTTTTTAAGGCTCAAAATTCTCCTCTTCTAAATGTTATAAATTAAAAAAAAGTTAAAAATTTTAATTTATTAATTAATAAAAATTATGATTAAAAGCTTTTAATTTTTTATTTATATGACAATGATTTTTCGTTGAAATACATTATAATCAGTTCTTTGATGAGGACCTTCAAAATTATTATGTAAATTAAAATTTTTTTTAGATTTCTAATATCAATGAGAGTTTTGATGTTTAAAAAATTGTAACGGTTTGTTTGGTCGGAGTCTTCAATCATTATGTTACTTTCTGTTGTTTCAAAATATATAAACATTTTTTTATTGTAAAAAAAATCTTTCTTTAATTAGCCATTAATTAGCTTTCGACTGCTGTGAACAATAAGTCTCTTCATAGATAATTTTGATTTCGAAATCTGTGAAATTATAATTATTATTATATTATGATATTTTGAGAAATATTAATATAAGACGACATTTGTAAAAAATTTGTTTTATAGATTGTCAACAATATATATAGTTTACTGTATATAGAAATAGGTAAACTATAACTCAATACATAATATACAGTTTCCAAGGGTGGGGGGAGAGGGGTTGTTTTAAAACAAAACTGTTGATTATCCCCATTTGCTAAAATAAACAAAACCGCAGCAAAAGATAAGCATAAAAAAGTAAACAAACATGACAATGTGTGTTTACTTTTTTATGCTTAGAGAGAGATCTAATTTTAAAAATATAAACTAAAAAATAACATTCTAGTAAATAAATTTTTCTATACAATCGATATTATTTGTAAATATACGGAAAATGAAAAAAAATATTGAAACTAACCAAGGGGCAAATCACAAAGTAAACAGCACGCTGCCATAGCTCCTGCCGAGGCACCACTAATTTTATCCAATAACAAATGGGGTGCATAATTTTTAAAACACACGGCAACACCGACATGATAAATGCCGAGAAAGCCACAACCGGCAAACGATAGATTCATCCTTTGTAAAAAAGAAATTTAAAAAAAATTCACTCTTTAGATGTTGGAAAATGACGAAAAATAAAATAAAGGTTATGTACGCATCACACACTTTTTTTAATAAAAAAATTTTTTATATAAGTGTAAAATATAATTATGTGCGGTGTATAATCACTTCACGAATGCTCTCGTGCTACTGAATTCGAGATATGACTTAATTCTCGTTTTAAAGCAACAGCTGTTCGATAGAGGCAAAAGCGCCAATATAAAATAAAACATAATGATAATTGCTTTCGAAAAACAAAACAGTTATAAGATAATACGCGTTTAGTGACGTAAACAATGTGTCACTAATTGTTGATTGGTTCGTGACTCTAAAGTGAATAGCAAATCTATGTGTGCGTGTATATATAGAAATACAACTAAACTTATGCAGTGAATATACATATATATGTTTCTCACTATATTGACGAATATTGAAGACGCAGTCAAAAATTGGTCTTTCTTTATAAAAATGATGATTTCTCATTTTTTAAAGAGAAATTACATCGACGCCTCACGTGCGGACATAAAATGAGAGTATTTTGAGATAGATTAAGGATGAACGACTTTGCACGACGTGCACGACTTTTCCTGACAAAAATATAAACCTCAAAATGAGATGTTTCATATGGGATATATTCATACTTCAGAAAAAAACTTTTTTTTGTTACTGTCACACACTAGAAAAATTTTATATTCGTATATAAACTAATACTATGTTATAACTGTCGTGTTGAAATCTGACAACTTCACAACCGTCAATAGCACGAATGTTATTGTTTTATGATTAGTTGGTTAGAATTAAAATATTCTTTATTAATGCAGAAAAATGTCAGTGCATGTAATTTATCGTTGAGAAGAAAATTTTTTAAAAAACCTTTTTCTATTTTACTTTCAATTTCATTACATTTATAACCATAAAATAATAAAAATATCAGTTTCTTTGTTTACAAGTTTCATATCACAAGTAAAAGTGACGTTGCCGCTCTTCTTTCTTTGTTTTTTAAAAAAGGTAACAGATCATAATTTTTTTTACTATTTTCAAAAATTTGTTAATATATTTCCGGCAACATGGTATAATTTTTATTTGAAACGATTTGCGATATCCCCATGAACTTATTTTTTAAAGAACATGAATTTATTTGGATTTCTTTCAACATTTTTTTTTCAATTAAAAGGATAAATTTCACATTTCTCCATAAGAATCAATGTTAAAAGTTTATAATTTAAAATTCGTATTATTCAAAAAATCCGTAGTAAACAGACTCCAAACTTTGCAAGAAATTTTTTTTTAAGTAAAGCTTATGATATATGTAAAAAAAGTGTGTTTTCTAATTTCCAAAAAACGTGCACGTATACATCCTTAATAAAGTTTAACTATATTTTTGCTATATAACTATATGTTTTGCACCTTATTAATAAATTACGCCTCTAAGGGCTTTAAAACTTTTGAAAATTCCTATTTAAAAAAAATGAAATTTTTAAAAAAATGTATCAACATGACCAACACATGATCATTTCAAAATTTGTTTATTACATCTCAGAAAATAAAAACTATGATAAAATTGCGCACGTTAGTATAGAACGTAGAAAAATAAGATCTTAACAAATTCAAGGTCAAATTTTAATAAAATGTTGTTTTGAATGTGAAAAAACATAAAAATTTATTCCAAACTTAATTTTCTGTTAATATGTGCGATTTTAAAATAGAATTTAAAAAAATAATTTTTAATACGGTCTACAAAAAAAATAAAATTCTTATTGTCGAATTATTATTTGACGTAAGTTTCATATTACAAAAAATCATTAAATCGATACTATGTTAAAAAAAAACTTTTTCTTGTTACTCCACTAAACCAAACTGAATTTTTTTCGTAACCTCTCATTATTTTTCTTGAATTTATTCTTTAAAATATAATATATTTATAAAAATATAAAATTATAAAAAATAAGAAATTATAAAAAATAAGAAATTATAAAAAATATATTTTTATAAAAATATAATATATATTTTACAAATTGGGGTGGCTAATTGAAAGTGTACAACGCTAATGATCAACGATTTATAAGGGAAATATTTTTTCGATTATAATTATTCTTTAACTAGTTAAATTATTATTCTAAACAATTTAAAGCAATTTTAAATTAAGTAATTTTTAAAGAAATAATTATAACAAAACTGAAAAACTAATTAAAATTAAATTTTCAATTTATAATATTTTTAAACTTTAAAAGTATAATATAATATAATATAAAAAGTATAAAAAAATAAATAAAATAAATAAAATAAATAAAATAAATAAAATAAATAAAATAAATAAAATAAATAAATATAAAAAAAAGTTGAACAAATTTCTATATACTAATTACAAATTTGACATCAGATTATCTAAATTCAAAATAGCGAATTCAACATATAGCAATTATTCATTTTCAAACTTTACCAAATTCACCCCAAAAATCACTAAATCTGATAAATTAAAAGACTTTTTACGCTATAAAATCGGAATTTAAAATGTTAATGTTAAAATCGCAGGATTTTAATTATTTATACATAAATAATAAAATTCTACACAAAAATTCAATTATTTTTATAAATAAAAAAATTCTTCATAAAAATTCAATTATTTTTATATAAATAAAAAAATTTCTAAAAAAATTTTGATAACATTCTTTAGAAAAGTTCAATTATTTTTTTCAATACAATCCCAATTAAATTACTTGATTAATTTAATTATTTTGAGAAATTTAAATTGTTAAGTTTACCCACTTTCGATTCACGGTCATCTAATTGAGCAACTCAAAAAAATGACAATTTTATTCAAGGGAACCATTTAAATGGTTCCTTATATCTCAATTTTTTTCATTGGATTTTTAATTTCTTTGAACTTTTTGATCCAAACAATAAATCTAAAAAGAAACTATTTTTTTTTTACTTTTTTGGATTTCATTTACTTTGGACTTCTTATGTCCGGATAACTTTAGGATTAATTAAAAAAATTAACAATATAGATTTTCATTGATTCGTAGAATATTCTATGAATCACGTATTCGATTCCATAAAAATTAAGACATATATTAAAAGTTTATAAAATTAACATTATAACATTTTTTTAAAACAATTAGTAATATTATATTAGTTAACAAATAAGTATTTTTTTATTGCACTAATAGATGTCTTATAAAGAAATAAATAATAAAAAAAAATCTTAAAATTTGAACATAAATTGAATTTCCAATTGTAATTATATAGAATTATTCTTAATTCAAAATTCCCACCTTTTTGTAAACTATTATGAATTAGCGGTTATGATTAATTCTCTATATATACGACGAAATAATTTAGTTCTCTTAATTAATTCGTTATTCTATAGATCATGTTATAATAATTTCTCTGACGGGCGAATTAATAATCTAGTTTTTTTTATTTCGACAGTTTCTTATTTAGCAAATTTTTCTTTTCCAACGGGCGAAATAAACTACTTTTCTTATTTCGCCCATTTTTTCAGTGTATATTCTTCTGTCGGTCGAAATAAACTATTCTTCTTACTTTGGTATGTCAACCGGGATATAATTTCAAAAAAAAAAACAATGCTATTTTTTCATTAGAAATATTTTCTGACAAAAATAAGCCTATACTATAAAGAGGTTAGAACGTAATAACAGGACAAGTAACAGGAAGTTAAAAACCGGAGTTCAGTTAGGCGCAGAAGTGTAAATATAGCCCTTGTTCAGGCGCTTTTAACGCCTCTGCATGCGTATCTCTTTCTGTAAACACTATATTATATTATTTATTTTTATAGGATTTAAAACATTGAAAATAATTTGTTTCACACATGCAATCTGAGATTATAAACAAAGTAAAATTCAATATTTTAAAAATATTTCTTCTATAATTTTCTCGACGCAAAGAATTCTTAACCTTATTAAAACGAATATTATAAAGTTGCGTCTTGCGTGGAGTTACGTGACAGATGACAACACATACACACACATACACATCGTCCAGATGACGACAAATTTTATACAACACACACCCATAAATTCTGTGTATCATATGTTTCAGTTTCACTCACATAGTCTCACATTAATCACTGGAATTGAGAGGTTTCAACCTATATTATGTGAGCTGTGTTGCATTCAAACTTGAAAGTTAAACAATATTTTAAAACGTATAAGAGGAATTTATTTAGAAAATAAATAAAGTGGAGAAAAATTATTAAGTGCTTAATAGTGTGTTTTTGAAACTGAACAATGGAAACTGTTAAACATTCAGAGCAATTTGAGGAATGGAAGAAAAAGGTAAAATTATATATTAGCAGAAATGTTTTAAATTAAAAATTGTAAACATATCGCTTACATTATTTTTAAATATGATGATTTGACAGTATTTTCATACATACATGTATAGAATGTGCTCTACATTATATATATATAAATACAAATAAGTGTATGTTTACATCTACATATGATAGACAATGGAATCTTTAATTTTTATCATTCTCCGCGATATATTTTGGTAATTTCTAGCTTTTATATTGGAGATATAATTTTTAATACCACTAAATACAGAGGATTTGATATTTTTTAAGAAAATTCAAAAATATTAATTTTTTAACAACATTAATATTCTTAATTTTGAATATTAGTTTTAATAAAATAAATAAAATAATAAATATAAATTTTTATTATAAAATACCTAAAGTATTACTGTAATGTTAGTAATGTCACATATATAATATTAGTAATATTAGTAAATAATAATATAATTCTCAAGAATTCAATTATTTTCAATACAATTATTAACAATAATTAAAATTCCATTGTATTCAATAAATTGAAGAAATTTTTTGAAGGACTTCTATTATTTTCTAAAAATTTTAATAAAATTCAAGAATTAAATGTTTAATTTCAATTATTAAGAAACACGATTATTGTAAAAATTTGAAAAAAATTGTTCATATAAAATTCAATTACTTTGAAAATTTTCAATTAAAATAATTTCATTATTTTTAAAGAAATTGAAAAAAATTCTTCAAAAGAATATTTAATTAGGATTATGAAATTTTTTTAATAAAATTCTTTTCCAAAAATTCAATTATTTCCATAAATAATAAAATTCTTTGAAGAAATTCAATTATTATCAAATTTTTTGATAAAAATCTTTGCATACATTCAATTATTTGAAAATTTTTTATAAATTTTTTCGCAATAATTCAATTATTTTCATAAATAATATAAAATTTTTATAGGAACTTAATTATTTTCGTCAATTATTTTCATAAATAATATAAAATTTTTATAGGAACTTAATTATTTTCGTAAATAATAAAATTATTTTTACTAATTCAATTATTTTTATATAAATAATATAAAATTTTTATAGGAACTTAATTATTTTTAAACAAACAGAATTTTCATAAAATTTTTCGAAAAAAATCAATTATTTAAAATGATTTTTGTAAAATTCTTCGCTAGAATTCAATTATTTAAAAAAAAATTAATAAAGTTCTTCGGAAGAATTCAATTATTTTTGAAAATTTTAATAAAATTCGTTGCAAGAATTCAATCATTTTTCAAATTTTTTATAAAATTCTTCGTATCATTTTTTTTCTTTTAATAATAAGAATAATAAATTAAATAATTAATAAGTATATGGAGTGTATAACTCCTTTTTCATTTTAAGCCAAGTTTAATAAAGTAAAGATTTCCTTCTTTCTTGTGGCCTAATGGCTTTAAACTTTATTTAAATTACATCAAAATTTTGACGCGTTTCGATGCAGTATTCTGCATCCTCATCAGAAAAAAACGGAACAAAACGTCTGTAAAAAGACAATATAATAGATACACAGATCTAATGACTCACACACAGATACATATGTTTTTGTAAAAATAAACATTATGTGTCTTAACATACGTACCAGACAAAATAAAAGTCAAAAAATAAATGAACATGGAACATTCAACATTCAGACATAACCTCAAAATAGGTCTGTCACTATTTCTTTAAACTCTTCATAAACGATAAAAGAAATCATGAAATGGTAAAAAACCACGTTTAGACAAACAATAGTAAAAACCTTTTTTGAAAAAAACTTTTTCATATGAGATTATATAATAATAAAATTATTAAAAAAAGGTTTTTTTCACATTTTTCCATGTGACATATATGCTCCATGGTTTATATTAGTTTGTATAGAAGGTCTTCTTCTTCTTTTGTTTTAATGGCCTCTTGTATAAACAAATAGCCAGTACTGTTAAATAAGTATATAAGCGAATTTATCCTTAGACTTCTTATATTAATGTTATCCTCGTAGGTATTTTAATTTCCGTCCGAATTAAGTCGGTTAATTTCTCAAGTATGGTATCAGCAATTGTTGGAGTGACGAGTATTGCTAGGTAATTGGTTGTCTCGGGAATTAAATTCCGATGGATCCGTTGAGGTTAGGCCGCAGTCCCATGGCAGCGTTTTGCGTTGCGTTGTAATAAGAGAGAATGCAGCAAACGTATATTTCCGTCTTTTTCTCTCCCATTACGACGCAACGCAAAACGCTGTCATGGGACTCCACCCTTAAAGTTGTCTGATGGAGAGGCATGTGTACGCCTTCTACTGTTGTTAACGTCAAAAATGGTTGTGGCGCGAGAACTTGCGTTTTTTTAAAAAAAGTAAACAAAATTTCTGTAGACACAGTCATAGATTAGAACTTTGAACATGGTATCAGGAAGAACAATGCGTTGAGTAATTGTTTCAAGAGTCCATCTCAATCATTCATTACTATTTTCAAGTTAACTGCCGTATTATTGGAAAGGAAGGAATGTATTTTACTTATAGGATATAACTCAATTTAAGGTATGAGCTCATTCAGCAAATTCGAGTTTAATTGCATATTTGACTTAATCGGAAGTTCAAGTATTTTAAAACCTTTCTCACAAAATCATGTTATCACCCGAGAAAAATTTACCAATATTTATTGCTATATCAAGGTCAGGATTAAAAATCAACTGACTAATATCGAACTCTTCGAAGTCGAAATGTGGAAGTCTCCTTAATAGAAATGTGTTTAATGCCGGTCTCTGGGAAGAGAGCAAAGGACAGTATTTAAATAAATGTTTTAGAGTTTTAAAATTATTTCCACATGGGCATTCCAATGGCAAAGTCCATCCCATCCGGGCGAAGTGCTCTCCCGTGCAGATGTGCGATGTACGTAGCCGTGTGATAGTATTAATATTTCTCCTCGATGTCTCGACACCCCTGAACCAAGGCCTCTTTGTTTTTACTGTGATGTAGTTGAAGTATGTGGTAAGTGGTAAGTGGGTTCAATGTCCAGGACAAATTACGAATCATATGTCGCCTATTGATAAGGATTCTACGAATAGATAGTGGAGGAATATTGGACTCAGACAAGAGTATACTGATAGGTGTTAATTTCATGCAGCCAAGAATGATCCGCAGAGATTGATTCTGAATCCGGTCCAATGACCCCAGATTACACTGTGCTGAATCAGCAAAAAACTGGCTACCCCATTCGAGATGAGAGCGAGTTAGACCCTTAAATACGGTAAAGCAAAGATGAAGGATTGGCCCTCCAGGAAATCCTGGTCATCGACTTGATCAGGTTAAGTGTTTTTGTCGCCTTTTGTGATATTTCTTTAATATGTTTTTGCCAGGAGAGTTTTTTGTCCAGTATAATGCCCAAATATGTCATATCTGTTTGTGGTGAAACCACGGTATCCTCAATCTTAATAAAACAGTTCTCAAAGTTCTCGTTTGCCCTTGAAAAGATGGTCAGCTGGGACTTTCCGGGAGATATAGATAGGCCTACCTCAGCAAGCCAAGGAGCCAATTCCGTGATTGCTTTCTCCAAAAGGCGGAGAGAAGACTGTAGGTCTTAAGATGTAATGTAGAGGAGCAAGTCATCGGCGAACATCAGCCACCTGATCACACCGGGAATGACCACCCCAATCCTACTCAATGCCAAATTAAACAATAGCGGGGACAAAACGCCACCCTGTGGGACACCTATGTAGGAGTCTCTGGAATCTTTGCCCTCAGGATTAAAATATAAATGTTTGACTGTGGTTATAAAAGAGATGAAGTTAACAATTCTAGCGGGGACTTTCAATTCGATTAGTCTATTATAAATGGATTGGGGAAGGATATTGGAAAATGCAACCTTCAAATCGACCGCAAGTGCGAGGGTATGCTCGCGATTAATAAAGCCCCTAGTCACGTCCGCGACAAAGACCGAACCACAATCCGACGTCGATCTTCCCCTCCTGAATCCAAACTGATTCATCGGTATACCATCAACATACTCGACATGATGCTCCGATCTTTTTTGGACTATTTTTTCAAAAAGTTTACAAATATTTGAGGTGAGAGAAATAGGGCGATAACCCTTCCCTTGTGGTTTGGGTAAGAAGACCACCCTAGTGTCTCTCCATGTTTCAGGAAAAATTGATTCAACAAAGAAAATGTTAAAAAGTGTTAATAAGAATTGTTTAGCTTTAGCAGGGAGCTTTTGAGTATGTAGTATGTAATGGTATCTAAGCCGGGTGAAGTATTTTTTTAATGCTATTTAATGCGTTATAAAATTCATTTTCAGTAAAAGGACTGTTAATCAAACAACCGCTGCCAAAATCCGTGAGGAAAGGGAGCAAAGTTGGTCGGACTTCCTCCTGTACAAGATCCTTCTGTAGTTACCCTCAGATTGCAATAGGGGGAGCCCCAGGCCCATGAGTAAGCGTTAAAGTCTCCAATGAGAATATTCGGGTCTGTCAAAGAACAATTCTCGATGAGATCAGTCCATTGCTTCATAGATATTTTAATATTGGGGGGCATATACTCTCAACAATTGGACCCTGTATTGTGCTGTAGTAATGTTTATTCCTACACAGTCAAGGTGTCTTGGTGCAAGATTAGTGATCATGATAGGGGAGACGACAAAGTTTTTCCTAACCAAAATCATCACCCCACCCCCCAGACGATCACTCCTCCGGTCACAACGGAAAGTGAGGTAACCCCTAATTTGCCATACCGGAATTCGATTCGAAAGCCATGTTTCTGTAATTATTAATATATCAAGGTTATGTATGTGTAGAAGTGATTCGACTTCTGGCTTTTTATTGAGGACACTATGGGCATTCCAATTACCATAACGCAATCCTCTGAGATTGGTAGCAGAGATCATCTCATTATCATTAATATGCAAATATAAAGTTTAACCACTTCAATTATATAATTTCTTATAAGAATGTGCCAATCAATTCCAAGTAATCGTCTCACACCAGTCCTCAATGAT